ATAGATTTAATTTCATGCTTCAGTCTGCTTTTTCTTTATATTTCATTTTCTGTTTTTAAGTGATATATTTTTACTTATTGTGTTCTATTTTATTTGTTGTAATTATTTGGTAAAAGTTTTTGACTGCTTCTCGCACTATTGTATTGATATATTTTGCTTTGGCTTTATTCAATATTAAAAAGCACTCTTTTTCGCGGATGTGTGAGGTGATGAAAAGATTAAATCTTTTATTTTCCGAATTTTCAAAATTTTTCAAAATTTTTTTTGTCCATTTTACCAGATTTTGCTATTATTATTATTATTATTCTTTTTTTTCCCTTTTTTCATTGTTCTGTAATTTTTCCCCTGCTTTCTCCACATTTTGAACTGATATATATATATATATATATATATATATATATATACAGGGTGTTTATAAAGTCCCGAACCCATTTTGATGTTTAATAACTTATAAAATAAAAAAGATAGATTAAAATTAATAACATAAATGGTTAGATAGACGCAAAAAGTTTCATGACCCTTGTCAATGAACTTCCACGTGTGCCCCCTTCGTCGCACGGAGAATATCAAGTCAACAGTGAATTTCACGCCAGGTAGCGGCAAGTATGTCGGCATCCACAGAGGCTATTGCGGTTGTAATTCTGGCTTTTAGGTCATCAATGTTCGACACGATCCTCCTGTAAACATTGTCCTATATGAAAAAAGAAAAGAAAAAAAAAGAATAGAAGAAAAAAGTCCAGCGGCTTTATATCAGGTGATCTGGGTGGCCAAGGAATTGGACCTCCTTGCCCTCTTCTGGTGTTGGAAATACGAAGTTTTCCAACATGTCTAACAACATGTAAAACCAACATGTAAAAAATTTACTATAATACTTTTATTTTACATAAATAAATAAAAGAATAATAATTACAATTATTTGTAAAATTGTATGTTCCCACTGTTTTAAATATAAAGTAAGACTTTTTTCCTGAGTAAAAATACTGTACAGTGCGGAAAAAAACGACCACCTTGAGCAATTCTTCCTCTAATGTTCGGATTTTCACATTCTAGCACTCATTCTTATTGGTTTGAGGGGTGAAATATGCTAATCAATTAATGCGGATGATATTTTAAGTTACGAAATCTTTCGCAAAAACGTACTTTCTCTAAACAAACACACCTCATTTTCTAACGGATTCGGACTTCTGACTCAAAAAATATAGGGGTAGCTGCAATTTGGGAAATATACGAGTAGTTCCAACAGTTTGGTTAAGAAAGCAATCCAAAGTTGGGACACCTTAATCTAAATTTTATTTTTTGCGCTTTTCCAAAGCTTTTATCCAAAGATAATTCCATGCAAAAAAAGTTTTAGTAAGTATTTATTGTTTTTTATTATATTAAATAATAGTCTGAAAAATTAAAGGATTACACTTCTCTGCGCCATTTTAAAGTGTGTAATTTTACATGCCAAGATACAAAATTTGAGCATAATCAGTTGATTGTTACTGCGAAATCGAATTTTATAGAAATTGTGAAAAGTTCCCGAGATATGGTGAAATACGCAAAAAAAAGTTAACGTTAGGGGGTCCAAACTTTGGATAGCACTCCTGACCGTACTATAGAGTTTATATTTCTGAAATGGCGGCAACTCCCTGCATTTTGGAGGTCAAAAATCTGAATCCGTTGAAAAAAAAATATGTTTATTCATAGAAAGTACGTTTTTGTGTCTGATTGCGTAGCTTAAAATATCATCTGATCAATTAGCATGTTTGAGATCACCCCCTAAAGTCACTAAGATTGAGTCCTAAAACGTGAAGATCTGATCATTAGATCAAAAGCAAATATGACTGATCCATTTTTATTTTTTTTTTTGCGTACTGTCGAAAATAAGTTGCCATAAGAAAATTGAGGAAAAGCTAAAAAAATGAACTCATTTCTAGACCGATTTGTAACTTTTTTTTAATCATTTCAAACTTCATTAAAAGATGATGCTTTGATAGACTATGACATCATACGTTTCACCATAACAGCATATCAAGGGAATCATCAGCTGTCAAATGAAGTTGATGTTTATTTCTTCAAGAAGCACGTGTAATATTTAGTGCGTGGTCACTTACACGAGGAAGAAAATATTTTGGTTATTTTTATTCATTTTTCTTTATTATAATTTCCTTACATGGGATAAGGAAGTGTGCAAGTAATTTCCAAAAATTATAATTTTTAATAATGGCAAAACGCCGATCACTTTAGATCATTTCTTTAACAAGTAAATGAGTTATAATTAGTTACAAAACATACACTGAGATAACTGAGGAGAATTTTTTAAATGTATGGGGAAATAATAATATAAACATTATATTACCTGTTTTGTTTTCAATTATTATTTTCAACCTAAAATTGTACTTGATTTTTTATTAAGTTCTTAATGTTTTCATATAAAAAACGCTTTCTTAAGGGTTAAGGAATAACAAAAAAAATATGAAATACTATAAAAAAATTCGATTATAAAATTTCAATTTTTTTTAAATTTACGATTGTTTTTTTATATTACTTCCAACTTAATTTATTATATTATTTTCAACAAAAAATTAATGAAACATGTCTTAACTATTCCTTTTTCTCCGAAAATTAAAGAATAAAAATATAAGAAAATAGTTAAAAAAATCATAAATACAGTTCTTTTCAAAATAAAATGGATCTAGTAAGCAAGGATCTAGCAAAGTTGCAGAAATCTACTTGTAATATGCATAATTTAATAACAAAGTGAATTTATACAAAAATTTTATATTTTTTGGCCCATACAACAATAATTTCTACCAAAATTCTAAGCCTGGAGAAGCGTAACATTATAATTAGATGAAAATACATTAAACCTAGACAAAAATAGACATTAGACAAAAATACTACATATAATTCTATTTCTTTTATATAAAATCAGAAAACAGTTTGTGCTAGTTAGTGAATAAATCCCATAAGGTTATTTGCCAGCATTTTATTATATAACTTTAATAAGGTAGAATCAAGAATTGACATTTCTGTTTTTTAGTTACACTTCGAGGAAAACCAGGAAAGAAATTTCAAGGATTTCTACTGATGGTAGAACCCAAAGAAATTCAAAATGATATTTCTATGAGACAAGATGTGGGGTCGTTCCAAGTAATGTTTATTCCTATAATTTGTAAGATACTCAATTATTGTAATATAGATGAGAAAAACAATAAGTTTCATTTATTGCGCGCATAAGATGCAAGTAAATAGAGCTCTTAAAATAAGTTCAAAATGAAGATAAAACAAAGGAAAACTACAGACATATGAAAAAAAGGGGAGAAAGGGGAAAAGTTTTACGAAAATTACCACAAATAAATAAAATAGAACACAATAAGTAAAAATAACACGTAAAAACAGAAAATAAAAAACAGAATATAACGTAATCTATAAGGCTAGCAGCGAATTCAAATGAACTTATATGAGCGAAAAATTGTTCAAGAATGATTTAAAATATTTTCGTAACAAGATTGCCAGATTGCAAAATATGAAAGCAAAAGCGCAAATTGAGCGTAACTAGAGGAATTTTTTTCTAAATGCATTCTTACTGCATTAATGATGTGCGTTTGATTTGTTAGTTACCTACGAAATTAGTAATTTTCAGGCAAATTCGTGGTTATAATTATTTACTAAATTTTTTTTTACTTAATTTATACAATTCTTCCACGTGCAAATTCATTTCGGGCAAATCCGTGGCTAGAAGTATTTACTAAAAATTTTTTTCTTTGTTATTTTATATAATTTTTCCTTGTGCAAATCCATTTTGGGCAAACTCATGGGCAAAATTATTTAATAATAAATTTTTTTTGTGAATTTTTACAATCTTTCCATGTGCAAATCCATTTCGGGCAAATCCGTGACTAAAATTATTTACTAAAAAGATTTCTTTGCTAATTTTTATAATTTTTCTGTGCAAATTCATTTCGGGCAAATCCGTGGCTAAAATTATGTGTAAAACAGGCAATTCATGTTTCTTTCTCTTTTCTATTTTATATTTTTTTCTTGAATAAATACTTATTTTCTAAAATTACTTATTGTCAACTTCTTTAATTTATCCAGTATAATATTACCTTGCGCACATCCATTTTCGGGCCCATCCTAGGTAACTAACAAATCAAACGCGCTTCAATAATGCAGTAAGAACGCACTTTAAGACAAAACTCCTCCAGTTACGCTCAATTTGCGCTTTTGTTTTCATATTTTGCAATCTGGCAATCTTGTTACGAAAAAAGTTTTTAAATCATTCTTGAAAAATTTCCCGTTCATTTGAATTCACTGCTCACTTTATAGATTACGTTTTATTCTGTTTTTTATTTACTGTTTTCATGTGTTATTTTTACTTATTGTGTTCTATTTTATTTATTTGTTGTAATTTTTGTAAAAATTTTTGAGTGCTCCTCACACTACTGTATTGTTATATTTTGCTTTGGCTATATTGATACAATATTAGAAAGCCCTCTTTTTTTGCTGATATAATCGTGTGGGCTGATGAAAAGATTATATCTTTTATTTTCCGGATTTTTTTAAAAATATTTATCTTTTTCTTCCTTATTTCTTCCGGATTTTTATTATTGTTATTTTTTTCCAGTTTTTTGTTATTTTTATTATNAAGCATAGGCAGATGCTAATTTAATTCATGACATGATATATGTGATATATGTACTTTTGTGTTAAATATCATAAAATCATATATTTATATTTAATAAATATTTATATTTAGCAAATAATTTAAAACTTTTCTCTCTGATAGTTTAAATAATATAAAAAAGAAAATAGGAATTTTTTGAATATTGACAACCAGTTTAAACCTAGACAATCGATTTTGAGTTTTAATTTTGGCAGAGTATTTTTGAATCTTTAACAATTATCATGGAAGCCTTGTAAAAGAATATCAAATCTTATTATATGTATTGACATGCGTTCAATGTCAGCGTATCAAAACTTGCATTCCTCAATTTTCAAAAAATTATGTTACATACATTAAATATATGTAGAAAAAAGAAAATTTTTTGCGTCTAAATTATAATAATTATTTATTTTTTTTTTTTTGAAAAAAGCTTCAATGCATTATCAGTTTTAATCACAAATTTTTTTTTCAATATTCTTATATTAATTTTCACACTGTTGGCATTTCCGGCAAAATTAAATTCCTAGTGCACCTCCTAAATATATGTAATATATTCCTAAATATATGTAGAAAAAAGAAAATTTTTTGCGTCTAAATTATAATAATTATTTTTTTTTTTTTTTTGAAGAAAGCTTCAATGCATTATCAGTTTTAATCACAAAATTTTTTTTCAATATTCTTACATTAATTTTCACACTGTTGGCATTTCCGGCAAAATTAAATTCCTAGTGCACTTTAGCATCCAAATAGAGTCCCTGTGCTGCCATCTAGTGTGGCAGAAACTAGACGTCCAAATTAACATGACCAACGGTATCTCACCCATTGCGGTGGTCCTGAAAGAGTGGTTACCACCTCTGGAGAACGCACTAGGCCTGCTCGTCGGCAAGACCGATTGTGCAGCTCATTGGAAATAAAAAATATTAATTTTCACGAAACTATAAAACTAATTATTTAAATTGTTGTTTACTTCTTGACATGGTTCATGTTCACATTGAAGAGCGATAAACTAAATAAGTATTTCTTTTTCTACAAATATAACTTTTTTGGCAGCTTTTTGGAGATGTAGTGAGTAAATATTCTGAAGAATGTCCAAATACGATCGTGAATGCATCTAAGATAATGAAAAGTGAAATCCAGGTAATGTGGAGAGCTCCACCAGCAGGGACAGGATGCGTTGTATTTAGGTAAGTTTTACTGTTACTTTACTTTTACTTATTGCGAACAGTCCATTTCGGACTACTTGTGGCAAAAATGTAATAAATAAAAAGTTGTCCAACTTAAAAAGAATACTTCGTAAGAAAATACGCATTTAAAATGCAAACTGTTAATTTAATAATACAGCATATATCTAAATACAACATCCTAAATACTAAATACAACAGTACTTCCAATACTAAGGGCAATACTAAATACAATACTAAACACTAAATACTTCAATTCTAAATACAAAATTTATTCAAATTATGGATATGTGATTAAAATTTCGCTTCCTGCGTGATTAAATAAAATTATACTGCCAACAAAAATCAAAAAAATATCATATTTAGAATTCATAATAAGAATAAAATCCATCTAAAAAATTCTTTCGACATAAACTGGAAAAAAAAACTCTTGTATAACGTAAAATTTCTGACATTAATGTTGTCTGAGATTATCCGTCTGCTACGGAAAGAAAACAGGTTGACAGAAGTTTTCTGTAACGAAACACTACAGAAAATATTTGTACTCACCAGATATATTTAATAGTTCAGGATACGGAAGAGAAATTTGGCATGGAGGTAGCTGTATAGTTTCTAGCCTGCATTGTGATACATATTTTTAAAAATTTTATTGAATCTTTTAATTATTCCATTATTTTTCGCGATTTTTGAGGTATGGAAAACAAGCATGTTTAAAGGAATCGTCCTGGAAATTTTATTTCAGTTCCCTCGTCGTTAAAATATCACGCGCCCCCCCTGATATGAAGCCAACACCTCGACGGCCGTGCGAACCGTACGGCATCTGATTCAATGTATCAAATTATTTGTTGCCTCTTCGATACCAATGTTCCTAATAATCAAAAATGAAAAAAATATCTGTCCCCCATAGATGCAATATGCGTCAATAGTTACAGAGTTTGCTTGTTAACAGAAGTAATGTCTCGTTTGGCAGATTACGATGTAGTTTAGCAGCATATTTCCGTAGCTTTTGTAGAACAGAAACTTTCAGTCGGAAAGTTACAAATTATGTTTTTAACAGAAGCATTTTGCTGTGTAAGACTCCATTGGACTCTTTACTGCCGCGATTCATTGAATAAATAACTGTTTAATTTGTATAAAATACTTCAAAAAAGTATATATTAAAATATTGTTCATTCCATGCTGTAGTAATGCAGCTCATTTAACTTAAGGATTGATCTGAAATTGGATTGCTGCTTGATTTAAAAAAATTGCGAGCAGCAAAAATAGCAAAAGTGTAAAAAAATATACATATTTAGAATTCATATTGAAAACAAATTCCAGGTATAAGATTGCTTTAGTATAATGCGATATATTCAAAATACCTTTCCTTAAATATTAAGAATAACCAGGGAAATATTAAGTTGAAATAAATTATAAAACAAAATGTAAATTTAAACTTATTATGTTCAGATGGTTTTCCTATTTTTTTAAATAAAGCTAAAAAGAGTTTAGAAAATAACAAAGCAATTGTCTTCATTTATCAAGCTATTAAATCATACAAATTTTACGATTTGAATGAAAGGACAGAATGGAAATTTCATTCAATTTTTTTTAGTATTTTTAACACATTAAGATATGTAAATATTAATGTTAAAATAAATATTTAAATATGTATTTACTATTTTTTTTATATAAATAAAGCTCGCTGTTTGAAAATCATGAATCATAATAAAATTGTTGCATGGCAAATAATATTATTCAATCATTATTTCAATATGAATATTAATTCCTTTATTAAATAAAAAATTGACTTCCATTTTAGCAATCATTAGCAAACTCTCATAAATATGAACATTTGTAATTAAATAAATATTACATTTCCATTATCAATGTTGAATAATAAGTGAATTGAATGATGATCACTGTTTAATCTGTGACTGTTTAACAATCACTGGTATTTTTGTTTAACAATTGCTCAACGGGATACCTGCAAGTGACGTAGTGTGGCTATCACAATCCTGATTGGTTTTTGAAACGTGGTATTATCAATTGTTCGTTTCATTCCATTTAGAGCACGCCAAGCTTGTTAAGCATTAATTCTCCGAAGTGACACAGTCTATATTCCTTTAAAAAGATTTCAATTCTCTCACTATATATTTCCTACTTATACAAAAACAGGCACGAAGTCCTGTAGTACATAAACAAATTAATCATGCATCGAAGTTGCCAGGTACACAAATCAAAAAATGATTATATCACGGTTACAATAAAGTACAGAAACAATAATGAATTCCAGTTAAGTAAAAGATGTAGACAAGGAAGAATTATATTTCAATAAATTCGATGCGCGATACGACGTTGCATTTAATTAACTTCACGTTAATTAACATTTTAACTAATGTAGCTCAACTTTAACACACCATTTTGCTTAGAAGAGATCTGTTGGCGCTGACGTGATAAGTCACATCAGTGGATATCTGTGGTCTTCTTCTTTTAGAAGTACAAGTACCCATATTTAAATTTAAGAGAGTATGTGCACGCAATTCGACTTTCTGCAAATTCCTTAAATACAATTTTTTCAGTGAAAAAGTACAAGTATTTTAGAAAAAGTTTTTTAAAAATAGTAAACAAACGGTTGAAGCTCAGTGCCACGCCTACCGAAATTGAAACTATACGATGGATTGCGCTTAATGCATTTTATTTTTCGAGATTTAAATCTCTTTTTATTATCAGTCATTATTTTGTTCTTCTCTTCCCACCATTGTTCATGACGACTAAGAATATTCAAAGTTAGTATATACTGGAAAGCAAAAGTAATTGTACTTGTTACCAATATTATACAGTTACAATTTCTTATTTATAAATAGAAAATTAATTTTGTTTTATGAAAAGTAATTAATTGGTCCCATAAATTTTATTTTCAGAGCGATTGTTCAAGAAAATAAAGATTCTTGGTACATGGATGAAGGTCGCCTAGTGCAAATATTATGTGAAGAAGGTATTGAACTCAATTTGTTAAGCTTTTTAGTTTTAAATTCGTTACCGAAATTAGAGAAATACCGTGAATGTGTTCTAAACAAAATGAACATAAATTTATTGTTTATATTATTCAATTAAATAAGATCGTTAGGTGCAATTTCCATTTACTCTATAATCAACTATTTTTCCTCTGAATTCATGGAAATAACAACAAAAAACTTTAATTCCTTTACTAGAGAGATTTTGCAGTCCTTTTCATCCAGTTAATTTAGTATTTTTCACTTCAGCCAAGATTCACTCTGCCTAATCTCAATCGAACTGCAATTACTTAGCGCTTGCGCAGTGTTGATGTAGTTAAGAGGAAGGTAAATGCCAACCAGATATTATTCTATTTTTGGATCTAAGTATGCATGAACTAACGTTTGAACTTTTTCCCTTTACTAATTGTGAGAACCACATTACTCCCTTGACCTATTTAATAGACCAACTGCAATTACTAACGTTTCCCTTTTAGCATGAGATTTAAAAGTTCATCGGGAATTATTTGCAAAATTATCTCTAGCTTTTGAGAGCGAAACTCTTCGATTTTGTTGCTTTCCATGCAATGATTACTTAGTAAAATTTTATTTTGTTTTTTGCTTCGGCATGCCCGTTTATTTCCCCTACTCATATATATATATNGTTGTTTATTTACGTCGCACTAGAGCTGCACAATGGGCTATTGGCGACGGTCTGGGAAACATCCCTGAGACATGCCATCACAAATATCCGAAGACATGCCATCACAATTTTGATCCTCTGCAGAGAGAATGGCACCCCTGCTTCGGTAGCCCGACGATCTGCACGCGAAGTCGAGCACTTTACGGTAGAATAGTTTAATGAGAACCAATACCGCACACCCTCGGTCACTTCGCAGACTGATCCAAGTGGTCACCCATCCGCACTCTGACAGCAGCCAGTGTTCTGCTGGGAACTGTGCCTTTATGATTAGTCCACTGCGGGACACAGAACAATGAGAAGAGGGGGAAAAGAGAAAAATAATTTTAAAAAAATTCCGAAGAAAAAGAATAGGATAAAAAAAAATTTAAAAATCCGGAAAATAAAAGATATAATCTTTTCAACAGCCCACACGATTATATCCGCGAAAAAGATTTCGTTCTGATATTGTATCAATATGGCCAAAGCAAAATATATCATTACAATAGTATGAGGAGCACTCAAAAATTTTTTTTGCAAGAATTTTTGTAAAATATTTTTTTTGAGTGATCCTCACACTATTATATTGATATTATATTCACACTATTATAGTCACTATTATATTGTCACACTATTATATTCGCACTATTTTATTGTCCCATTGGCCTCTTAATGCCAGAACTGCTACTCTCTTCTCGTTACTCAGTGGGCACCTGTGGCGAAGCCACGGGGGTGAGCAGCGTCGCCCACGTCACACAACCACAAACCGTTTATAGGGCGGGTCACATTCACACAATCACACAAAGGAGAAAGAACATAGAACACAGAGAGAAAGAAACATCCATGCCTTGAGCAGGATTCGACTATCGGCTCCGCAGTCAGGCACGCTAACCACTCGGCCACCTGGTTGACATATACATAAATATATATATATATGTGTGTGTGTGTTTGTTTGATGTTTTTAGAACATATATTTTTAAATGAGAGAGTGATCACATTCACATCAACTATCCGGAATCGATTTACAATAGTACCTAGCGAAAACAATATGATTTAAACGTATTATCTAGATTTGATTTTTTCCCCACTTAAATCGTAATAAAGAATTGATTTACAAGAAACAATTTAGCAAAAATTTGTAATAGGAACTGTAAAATAGAACATAGTTCCGTATATTTCTAAAGAAATTATTACCAAATTATTAAATGTAGGTAATCGATTCAGAAGCTTTTTTAATGTTGAGGATTAGGCCGCCATGTGACCAAAGATTATTCTTTTATATGATTATAAACATATGTTAGCCTGAAAGCTAACGCTATCGTTCATCATTTAATTTAAAGCTACTTAGTAATTTTTTTTAAAAAAAATTGAATCACTATGATTATCATAACTGTGAATGTTTCTCAATCCATGCAAAAGGAAAAAAAAAATTTAATTAATCATTCGTCACTCATCAGTCAATAAACAACTCAATTTGGTTTAATCTTCAACAATAAGTTGATAAAGTTATGATTTGTTCTTTGAGTAGATGACTACAAATATTTTAAATATTTGTATTTTCATTTGATTTTTGTTGACTTGAAATATAACTAATGTTTTTTGCATTTCAGAACAAGAGAACCAAGACGAGCAACCAGAAATACTACAGGAGTGTTGTGCATGCGAAGAAGCAAAGTATGAACTCTCTTTTCAAGGAATGTGGTCTCGACATACGCACCCGAAAAATTTTCCTGATTGTAAGTATCAATAAGCGAAATAATGCATAAAAACTTCTGGAAATGTTTAAATAAGAGAATAAATGAATTGCATGCTTTATAAAAAAGCTTAACCAATGGAGTGTGGATGATTACCTCTTACCGAGTCACATTACCCTCAGTTTTTCTTCCAATTCCCGCCTGGGGAAAGACCTACGTCATACAGGCATCTGAAGGGCAGACTTGTTCACCACTTTTCCCTAGGTACCATATTAGGTGGGCCAACGTTGCTTCCACAGTAAGGACAGATGGTACAGAGAATGAAAGATCATCCATACCTTGTCTGGGATTCGAACCCAGAACCTTTCTGATACAAGGCCAGTTCCCTGACCCAAGCACAAGCCAGTTGGCACAATACACACAGTTGTTTTCCCTATAAAACTGGTAGTTCAATTTAACATGCTGTCCATTGCAATAAATTCTCCCTCAGCATAAATTATACTCTTCGTAAATAGAAAAGGTCTTAAAAAGTTATGTGATCTCTAGATTCTCTGCATTTTTACTCTCTCGGTTACCATGTTTGCGTAATATCTTGATTCCCCTCTCCCGCAAATATAGTCCAACTATTTACTATAACGTCTGCCGTGGGAAAAAAGCAAAATTTGGCGTAGCCATGACGATGGGGAGAAATAGATGAGGAGAATGGAGAATCGTGTAAGCTTGAGACGTCCATTTTATTTACAAAGCATGTAATGCTTTTCATCAATGAAGAACAAAAAAATAATTAAGTTGACTACTCTGTAGTGTCCCTGAATTAGAGATAGACAATAATGCGCACATTTTGTTGCGCACCACATAGTTTGAGCGAGCGTTGTTGTCAATTCAACTGACAGTGTGAGTAATACCTCTGATTTAGACGCTTTTGTGCGTGGACAGGATGTGTACGTAAGTAGGAGCTCGATGTATAGATAGGGGAAAATAGCAAGAGCAGGATGCATGTTGAAAAGCGCTCAGTACAATTTTGAAAATCGTCAAGGAACTGAGATTTACTTGAGAGTTTTCAGAGTAAGAAAACAATGCAAAGTAAGTGTGGAGAAGAGAATCTCTCTGGTGAATTTTGGAGGACAGTAATCTTTGAACAAGCTTGCCAGCAAAGTCAAACATTAGCACAAATTACCACCCACTAATTAACAACAACTATAGTACTACCTATATATGCAATTATTCCAGCTCCCTCATGAACCCATATTGTTAATATTTAATCACTGTGTGCTTCTCCACCTAAAATTGTAATTGACCACTTGCAATTCGTACCCCATCTAACCATGGTTAAGCTCCTATCCCATTTTCACAGATCTATCTCTTAATAGCCATGGTACGAATGCCATGGAATTTTGAACTCGGTCATAACGGGGGACAATGTCCGAGCTGGTAACCCTCCCTCTACACTTCCATTCTACAACCAGCTGCAGATTTAGCTAGTATCTTGCTGCGTATTCACGTAAGTCAGCTATCAGGATCGAAGTAACAACTCTAGACCAGCGTTATCAGTGTTGCCTTAACTAACTGCTCCACTCCCAAATATCATTGTATCTTCTGTTTCTTCTTAGGTGCAACAGTTGATTACCGACCAAGGCCGTCTAAAACAGTTTACCCCATCTAGATAAATTCGATGCTATATTTCTCCATTTTTTAACTCCTAAGTCCTTTAACTACTTCTCTACTCTGTCTAATCATCTTATTGAAGGTCTTCCTCTTTTTCTTTTTCCCTCTTGTCTTTGGAAGGTGGTGTTTTATGTTTTTAACGGGATTTTCATCGTTATATCGAATTACATGTCCTTCCCACCTTATTTGAGAAACCTTGATCACTTTTACTTTGTTAGGTTCTCTGTATTTTGATTGTATTTCATAGTTGTAAAGGGTTCTAGGTTCCGTTTTCTCTTATTTGTGATTCTGTTTGTTATTGACGTGAAAATATCACTGTATGCTGAACCATAAAGTAAATATATTTACTATCTATATGTTCCCTGATCTTTAGAATTTAATGAGTTAAAAATATCCATTATGTAATGTAACAATTAATATTATTGAGCATTGCTTTCTTAACCTGATTTGTTTCTTTAACAGATGAATGGACAACACATTTTTCTGATCTTATTGGAGTGTCTCATGCCAATGGGTTTCGTATGTGGGAGTATGGCTTGAAGGCATCAGAGGGTGTCCAGGAATTGGCTGAAAAGGGGGCCACAAAGCGTCTAGAATCAGAATTAAAAAATCATGTAATTATGGTCATTTTATGATGTATCACATAAAACTGTCCATTAATTCTTTTAAAATAGGTTATTTAACCATTAGAAGAGTCCTTTTTATTGAAGAAATCTAGCAATAATAAACTGAAGGATTGCATAATTGTAAGAGGACAATACCATGTGTCCAAAATCTCGTAAACACGATCATTAGTATATCGTTTCATGTTAACATAATTATGTTTTGAAGCAATTTCGAAAACAATGTAACGAGTAAACAAAGTAACGCCGAAACAAAAGAACTTTATAATATATGATACATTATCATGGCACAAGATGCATTATCATGATACATGATGCATCATTATGATACATTATCAGGATACATGTTGCATTATTATGATACATTATCATGATACGCGATGCATTATCCAAAGAGCTTCAATATACATGATTCGTTCAGATATATTTCATGTTATCGCAATAATATTAAGGCTCATCAGTTTAAATAATATTTATACAAATACTCTCCATGAAATAGAAATCAAGTCATGTAGAATGTATATAAAAGAACTAATGCTATTTAATTATAATTAATAACTAATTTAAAACAAATTTTTAAGTTATAATAATGTATTAATTAATTACCATTCAATAAATAATTTTAAAAAAAATTATCAATTAGTTTAATTATAGTTAAAAATATAGAATAATTAAAAAGTTAATTAACCCCTTAACGATCGGTAATTTTTGAAGAAAACGGTCATAAAAGTGCCTATTTTGCCGTATACACGTAGTGCTGACATCTAGTTTAAAATAAACTAACTGTCTACAATTACCTTAAAAATATCCTGGTACTGCCATCTGGAGTGTAAAACGAGAAATAAAATGTTTTCCAGGCAAAAGAGATGAATTAGTTTTATTCTTACTGGAGCGTTACTACTGAACACTCCAGCCCGGAACTTTCACGGGAGCGAGAAATAAAGGGCGAAACCTCACCCCGTCATTTACACGGGAGCGAGAAGGAAGGGGTTAAATGTCGAACCGTATCACACATCGAATTTGTTCAAATATAATCCTTTTTCAGCTACTTCTTCTACTTAACTTTGATTTATTATTTGTTTATGTATTTCATTGTAACAGTGATATATTTTGGTTTTGTGTACCTGGCAACTCCAATGCATAAGTTTGCTCATGTTCTATTGGCTACGTGTCTATCTTTGCGTTAAGTTTTTGTGTAAATATATAGTGAAAGGATTGAAATTTTTTTTAAAGAATCTTTATGAAAAAAATAATGGCTGTCTTATTTAAGATGGCTGAGTTTACTCGAAATAGAATTGAAAGAACTGTTTTGAACGTAAACAAACGCCACGTTTCAACAACAAATCAGGATCGACATACCCACACTACGTCACCTGCGGGCATCCCATTGTAGTTTTTGTCCTAAGAGTACCAGATTTAAAATAATGTGATTTTTTAAGAATAAAAATTATGAAACTCCTATTTGTCATCTGTCATTTACCAAGAAGTAATTTTTTTAAAATTATTTTGTTTCTGAGAGCAGTGTTATCAATAATTCGAAAAATTATGTCAGGTTAGTAGTTGAACAGTAGCTTTCGGTATAAATAAATAAATAAAAACTGCGAAAGTTCTCATGTTTTACTGTTGATACTTATAGTTATGTATATATCACAATTAATTATGCTTAACTTACATAGTGTTCCCAGGCGTGACGTTCATCACCAGAAATAAAACTCGGTATATTTCATGGATACTAATTATCCAATTTGTCCTAAATTTTGTTTCATACTTAAAGGAGCAACCCAAATGCGTGTGGGAAGTTAAAAAAATTTAAACAATAAAAACTCTTACCACATTATTAATAACAATTTCATTTTCAGTCTGACAGTATACGAACCATCATCAAGACACGAGGATTGTGGTACCCAAACACACGTGGCAAGACTTTTGCTGTGTTTCGTGTTGACAGACGCAACCATCTGATATCCATACTGACAAAACTTGCTCCAAGTCCAGACTGGATTGTGGGAGTCAGCGCCTTGGAGCTGTGCCTCAAGAATTGCTCATGGGTTGCAGAAAGAGTTATGAACCTGTACCCTTGGGATGCAGGGACAGACAGTGGAATCAATTACGATGTAAGAATTGGCTTACTAACACAGATTTTTAAATAAATAACTGAGAATTGTCTCAATGAATGAAGCAAATCAATGGGAATAAAGCACAAATAAAGGTACAGAAATAGACATACTATAGTTTCGGTTCAATGCAAAAACATAAATATAAGCACATATAAAGTGGTTTATCCAATAGGGAAATATGAACAAGCTTGAATAAGGTATTATACAAAAAATTGAGGTTAAAAACAGGTAACTCGTATATTTCATTGATATGGGTTTTGGGGAGAATTTCCATATCTTCAAAAACATCTTGCTGCTATATTATATTTTTTTTAAATATTTGGAAATCTTCAATTTCTTAATTTTTTTTACATATACTGTTAATCTAATGTTTAACTTTTAACTGTATTTTTTATCTCTTTAGTGTGACATCAGCGTCATTTATTCTATTGATGACGATGAATTAAGGTGACAACGAAACATAAATTTTTTTAATTAAATTTTACAATTTCTGATATTTAGATGTTGCTTATAACGACATTTTATATTATCACAAAGATCAATAAAATTACTCCCGTAATATTATAAAGTTACATTTTCTGTCTTGTTACGTTTCTACTTTCAATTTGTGCTCAGACATTTAGGAATTTTTTTTAATTGAATGGAAACTATAGTATGTCCATGTTTGCATCGTTATTTGTGCTTTATTCAAGGTTTTTTATCCATACGTAGCACTAAGTATAAGTATTTCAATTGGATCATTTCCAAAGCATGGAGCTCGCTCCAGATTGTTCTGAAGGTACTATTCGAAAACAAACCATAAAAATTCAGCTGTTTTCATCTTAAGAGAAAAGTAGAGGTATTTTTCCTTGTCTTTTTGTTATAGATAAACGATTTTGTATGGAATTCAAATGTTTTGAAAACAAGATTTTCGCCTGAATACAAAATGCTGCACCGACATTATTTTTTGTCACTTTCTCATCAAAATCAAAATTAATATAAATTATTCATTGAGAAAGTGAGAACGTGATCAGTACATTTAAGGAAGAATGATCAAAACACATTCAGTAGGTATGTTTCCATAGTAAGTTAAAATCATTGAATTGTATTTTATTCTATAAGATTTTAACTTTCTTGTTGCAATTAAATTTTCTGAAAGTAATATTTGAAATATTGAGGAAAGATTTGTTTTTAAGTAAAGAATGAAAGCGTGTAGTGAAAATTATGAGTTGAATCGATCACAAATCAACAGTTAAACAATTAGGTACGGTTAAGCATTAAACCATAACGTTCTCAAAAAATGAAGAGATTTAAAGCGAGATCCAAAAACCCCATGTCGTGAAATAGACCCTCTGTTTTACTATGCCAGCTATTTATCCAATTGATAAAGCTTTACTAATGACAGGTGATAACAAAATGCGTATAGATTTTAATAAAATTTTACCATTTTTTCAGATTCTTAGACTTTTTTTATTTATTTTTTATATTGTCAAAGAGAATTACTCTCATAATTTTATAATGTTACACCTGCTTGTCTCATTACTTTTCTACTAATCATTTTGTGTTGAGTCACTAAAGAAATTTCTTGTTTATTGAAACTATTTCCGAAACTATAGTATGTCCACTTCTGTATCCTTATTTGTGCTTTATTCACATTTGTGCACAAATTACACAACCTACCCTATTACTTTAAATTGTCTCAATGAGTAATTATTACTTTCTTTCCCCTTAGGGTCCTAAATCTCCAAGTATACCTCAAGATAGAATTCGAAGGATCACTTCGTCAACTCCGAACAATCCTTTATCCCCTTTCTACGATATATCCGGTGTTCAAATGAAACCGGTGGCCATTCTCTCTGTGACGCGGCAGAGGTTGTATGAAAGGCAGAAGTCGAACGGTAACACAGAAGACGGCTGTTTCGACGATGACGTTACCACACCAATTTATCCATATAGCAATGATGGTATAGATGATAGGAGTGAGATAATATTCTTCTTATTAATTTGATGCACAGGGTGCACCGTAAACACCACTCTTAACATTTATTTATGGAATTCTTATCAAAAATGAAAATAAGGAAATTTACTTATCTGGGGGGGAGCACAAATTTAGGTTTAGGACAGAAAAAAAGGGAATAACAGTAGAGGAGGGTGGATGTAAAAAGCCGCAAGACAAGTTAAATTCCAGGAAGAAGCATAGAGGGGTTGAAACACGATTATTGGAAATCCCTTAAAGTTTGAACCTCCAATCAATTGATACTTGCAGCATCAGTCTTCCAGGAAGATGTCAAAAGCGTTTTTGTTTTTGTATTGCTTTAATATTAATTTGTGACTAAGAATATACTGTTCGTCTAAGATAGGTACTCTGACCACCACTAAGTCTACGGCAGTCTGTTTCTTTCACTGAAACCAGTCCTAAGGAGGCACCCCGCATCCCTATTTGAAATAATCATACCTCGTTACCATAGTTACCGCCACAGCTCCAGACGGATGTCTGGTAGAGTACCTATCGTAGACAAACAGTAAATGCTTTCTTGTTTTCAATTTTGATAAGGAATAAAACAAAAATTTAGATAGACGTTGGTCCTTACAGCACACCTTGTAGAGTAGAAGATCTCAGTGATAGGACATGTTATGTAATATTTTTAGAATCTAAAAAAATTTTCTTTGAATTGTTTGAATTGTATTGAAAAAGTAAGCAGCTGTTTTCCAAACAACATTTAAAAACTTCATTTATGTGCAGATTTTTCACACACAAAAAATGCATGGTAAGTTGAAAATAATTTTGATTACATATGCCCCCTGGAGAGTTTTCGTTTTGGAGAATCGAATAATAATTTTTACAACTGTACTATAATGTATGCGCTTAAGAATTGTATAGAAACAACTATCCAGTTCTTATGGTTACAGACACAGAGTTTTTAAATGTTGAAATTGTTGAACTTCCCTTTTCATCCAAAAATCATAAAAAACTTTGAATGAAGTTGGAGCACGAAAACAACGGTGCTAAGTAAAGATAAGAGTGTTCAGTGAATCTTTAAGTGTCAGTTGTACTGAACGCCCTCTGGTGACATTTAGGAAGAAAATTATACCATACTTATTTTCATCTGCATCTCTACACTGATGCATGTCTACACTTTTCATGTATCTGAACACCTAAAATGGTAGCAAGTAGTTTACACGAAAGTAATGATTCACTAAGTGTTCCACTACACTGAAACTAAAAATAGTTCCTGGTTTAGTGAAGAATCTAGACGTTATTTTTTCACTACTTGGTGCCAAGTAGTCGCCGCGACGTTTGTTATTCAGTAAGACTAAAATTTATAATTAAAGCTAGTTTCATATACAGTAAAGTAACTTATATATGCGATACAATAAAGCAAGAATCATAAACTTAGGAGATGCACATATACAATATTATTTACAATAAAATTTGTTTATTAATCAAGCTTTCACGTAGCACAAAGAGGATGTTTCTATGAATTCGAACTAAGTGAAACAAAACCGAAGTGAATAGAGGCTAAATATTGTGAAATTACATTATGTAATTGACAGATTTAAGTGGATCTTCTTATGAAAGTATAGATATCTTTATCATACAACTAAAAACGTGCATGGTTTCATAACAGTTTATCAAATAAATCCTCACAAGAAGATTAAAATTGATAGGCTAACAATCGACCATAATCAATCCTTTTTATCAGTTAAGATGATTGAATCTTAGTTGGCATTAAAAAAGCTATGGCATAATCAATTTGTTAAATCAATCCAACAAGACGATTTAAATTGTTTGGAAAAAAATGAATTATGAACTTGCAACAGTTAAGCCTAGTTAGGCTTAACTGTTAGTTAGGTTTAATATCGAAAATTAGAAGAAAAGCTCATAGCTTCATAAATGAAATTGAAGAAGTAAACTCACTCATTATGTTTTGTTGAAGTCTTGTGTAATTGATTTAATCACTTAAAATACAAATAACCTCACATTTACCTTTATTTTCTAAAATTTACGGTGCATTAAAAAAAACAATACATCATCCAGCCTGTTCCCAATCAATAATAGAGCAAATGTATTTGATACGTTGAAAGTTTTATCAACTATTGGTGTCTAGATTTCACTAACCCCTTTAAAATGTAAATGAACACTCAATTAGATTTTAACTTGATATAATGCACAATTTTTTGAATTTTTCAATACCATATTTGAACAGGTATTACACTACAGTTTTTACAGAGAAGATGAATAGCAGTGTTAAAAACTGCAATAAACTCCTTCCAACTCGTTCTGGATCGTAAACAATTTACTGATATCCCAAGCACATTATGAATAAGCGTGAGATTGCTGTGTGGTTCTTCAACTGTAAAGTGATAAGATTTAAATTCAATTCTTTAACCTGTGTATGAAAGCTTGATTTGGTACTAACTTGAAATAAAGTGTTCCTTTAGATTTTTGGGTTGTTCAACACCATATTTGGAGAGATATTACACAATATTTTTTACACTGCAACTTTTACTTTAACCGTAAGAACTGAATATCCTTTATTAACACCATTTTTGAATGAATAACTTATAATAATTTTATGAAAATTTTATTCTATTTTCCTAAGCAAAACATCAATGGATCAAATGCTGGCAGGGTTATCTTTTGATACTTTATACTTACCGCTAACCTACTTAGGGCTTAAAACTTTTTAAATATGGAAAATTAACTATATTCAGAAGGTTACTTGATAAGTTTTTTTCAATTTACTCTTCAATTATATGGTATAATTAAAAAATTATTGATTTTTTCTCCCAGCCGAATGTCGAGTTAGTGACTGGACGGACTTTCAACCATGCAGTGTTTCTTGCGGTCAAGGCAACAAATTGCGAACACGCAAATATGAGAATAAACAGAAAGCCAATGAAGCTAAATGTAAAGTACAGCTTGTAGAAAGAGAAATGTGCTATCAGTCTTGTCCAGGGTGGGTATCAGTATTAGAAGTATTTTCATCATAAAATCCAATTGAAAAATCGTTGTAAAAAAAAGTTAATCTTAAGATTAACTTTTTTACTGTCTTCATAAGAATATGAAACACTTCACTGTAATTAATGTAACCAGTGGTCGAGGAAACTACATTATTGTTGTAGTTTGCCACAACTACTTTGTTACAAATTTAATTGACTGCAGCTACTTCTTATTAAATCTAGTTAGTACAAACTATTTTCAAAATTCGTAACTATTATACTACTTTAAGGATATGAACTTTGCTGGGGAACTTAATTTTCAACGATGTTTAAAATGGTTTTGAATAAAATATTGACTTATATTAAACATGAAAAGTTTTAAAGAAATATTTTTTTATGTTTAATATTCTTCAGTTTGTTATTCTAAAATATTTGTTTCAAATTTTTTCATTTGGATTTAAAATTTTTATGCCTTTTTCGACAGTGAATATTTAAATCAGGAAATGCTAGAAAATTATCAAAAATTTTCAATTTTGTTAAGTGTATAATGCTTTATTAATTTCTCTAACAAACTAAGCTTATCAAAAATATGTTCTCTTCGATTGTGATAATATCTATGTTTCACACTTGTACATTTGCAATTGAAAGTGTGATCAAAGTGATGAATTAGATATTATTCATAATGGCTAGTTTACACATCAGTTATACCTAATTCTTATTGCATAATTCTTTTGAACTCTCAGTCACAGAGGTATCTTCATTGCGTCCATAGTCAGACCCATGAAAATATGTACCCTTCAGATTCGAAAAATTAGTCAAATAAGAACGTTTCTTCATTAAACTAAAGTTAAATATAGTTACCAAAAATCACAATAAACTATTGTTTTTTTTGTAGCGTTTTATTTGCTAGAGTACTTTTTTTAAAGAGTAGCACACTGCCCTACAAAGTACGAAAGAAAAGTAGCAACAACAATAGTTTCACTACTTGTAGTGCACTATTCCAGACCACTGATTTTAACCCTACTCTGCGTATTAGTCCTGGACCTTAGCGTTTATCGAATCATATTTTGCCCGTCTTATCAGTAGCTTGCCTGCATTGAGAAAAACGAGGTTTTTTTTCCATATTTAATGAGGAGTAGTAAGTGAAATTTTGCCCTGATTTTCAACGTTTAGAGAACTTTAAAAAAGACGATATTTTCTTTTGTCTGTAGGACTGCCCATGATCAATTTGGAAAATAAAAGATTAATTGGTGTAAATAAATCTTAAAATATATATTGCAATTTTATTTCATTATTAATTACAATTTTCATATTTATTCTATCATTTATTGAAAATTTTTGATAAAATGATTTTCGTTTGAATAAATAAAAAACTATGGTCTTTAATGAATTTAATTCGCCGCGAATAATATATTTAGCTACCATAACAATCGTCCATTTTTATTATTTTGTTTTCCAAGTGATAGCTTATAACAGTTCGTGGTACTGGTAGTAAATAAGAGAAAAATCTGGCGAATAAAATAAATTAAACGAAACAATAAATAAAATAATATAAGCAAATCAATAAACCCCTTAATCGATATGATAAGGAATTGATTATTTTTGTAAGATTGTATTAGTGAATCAGATTCCCAGCAAAAGGCGTATGAACTAATGAGCTGCTTTTGAATAAGCGTATTGGGAAATCGAGAGTTCATCGAATGAGCGCATTAATGAGTTATCAATTCACTAAACAGATATCGTATAGTCTAGCAATCACGAGACGAGCTCACAGCCAGATATCTTTTAGAGAGGGTTTCACCTCCTAATTTGGCTGGTTGATTTCTTTTTTTTTAAGATAAAGCGGAAACTTTCATTTAGCTTATTGAGACCGGAAATAAATGTATGAGCAGTTCAGAATTTGTTTTCGGGGTTAGAAAATTTTTATGAACGATTAGAACATTTTTATGAACAGAAATCAAATGCTGTGAACTCTCTCTACAACGATATCCGATGCAGCAATAACTTCCTCTTTTATGGTGTTCCGCTGTCGTGGAGATTTTGAAAAATATATAGCAATATAGCAATCTATATATAGCAATATAGCGATATTTCGTAGAGCACTAATTATTGTAATAATCATAAATTTTGCATTAATAATTAATTTTGCACTAATTAGCGCTGATAATTAATTCTGTAGTGCACTAATAATTTTCTCCAAAAAAATTTCCACGTTATTTTTTTTCCTCATTATGGTGCTTTGGTTTTCAAGTACAATAAATATTTATTATTTTATTATCGTTTGTCATTTTCTCTCGGTAAAATTGAACTTAGCATAAAAAAAATGAACAAACAAGCAAAAATTCGGGATTTCTTTGAATAGAAGCGGTTTTTTGGTATGTAAATAATTTTAATATTTATTTTACGATTTTTGAAATATTTAGCTTCTATTAACACTGGACAAATTTATTTATTACTGATAATAAATAAATAAAAATTAAGTAGTACATATTTATCATTTAAATTTTAAGAAAAATTATGTGTTCCTAAAACATATAGGCCCTGGATATAACAATATGTCTTTCCGCAACAATAATTTATTTGGTCCCCAAAATATTGTTATAATAAACAAGGTTTTGATAAATTAATGGAAGAAATTGAAACCTTTGCCTCGCCAAATTATCTAGGTTCTCGATATAGCAATATGTATTTCTGCAACAATGTTATTTAGACCCAAAAATACTTTTGTGTCAAGGTTTTAATATATTAATAGAAAAAAATAATTATCTTAATGCTTCCTCAAATTCTGTAAGCTTTCGATACAACAATGCATTTTTCAACAACAAAACCTAATTCGGTCCCCAAAATATCGAGATAAATGCATTAATGGTAGAAAATTGAGACTTTAATGCCTTCTTAAAATACGTAGGCTCTGCATATAGCAATATAACCTTTTACAACAATAAATTATTTGGTCTCCAAAATACTGTTGCAACGAGGTATTAATAAGTGTTCTAATGGAAAATAATCTGTTGCAGGGGAAACGTCAGTTGCCGTACTACTGAGTGGGGTGAGTGGTCTGAATGCAGCTCCACTTGTGGTAAGGGCATTCAGCAAAGAAGCAGAAAGTATCTTGACAACAATGCCAAGAAGATGTGTGCAGTTGATAATATGCAAAAGAGGACTTGCGATGGAATTGTTCCATTTTGCGATGAGGAGGATGATATTGATGAGGTTAGTTAATTTCCTAATACAGAAGAACTCCAATTATCCTGACCAAACACGATCCGTATAACGAAAAATCCGGATAATTGGATTAAACGTTTCAAAAACTGCTACAAGAACGTATTTAAGTAACTTCCATTCAAACCTTTCAAAGGCTTAGGATTAGTGCCTGTTATACCATATTTTCAATGGCGTGTTTAAAATGATTAATTTTTTTTCAAATTCCATTAACAACCTGTTCCTTTATTAGAAACTACTATTCACCCACCTTGAAAGAGCGTGAGCTTTTTTCAAGGACGCCGTGGAACAAAAGAAGCCATTTTTTGACCCATTTCGGACATTCTAAAAATGAAAAGGCATTTTCTCAATTTTTTTTTAAGACAGTGTGAAAAACACATGGTCTTTGAATAATCCGAATAATTGGACAATCTGGTAAATCTGCGTTCAGATAACCTGTGCTTAACTGTACAACTATCTATCAGATAGATATTAAAATAACTTTGTCGACATATTTTATAGATAATACCTTTGAGTGTATTGAATCATGATCAATGTTTTCAAGAATGGTGTTTAAAATGATTGGATGCCTCTTACGGTTACAAAGACAAAAATTAGAAACTTTCAAATGTCCACACGCGCTTTTTTTATCCCAGTATAAACTTAAAATGGAGTTAGAACGATATTTTTAGACGCTAGGTCCTTGCCAGCCTAGTCATTTTCAGCGATCACTAACGAGATGAGAGTTTAATAAAAACTTTTACAGACAAAGAAGAAATTAAGGACATGATAAGGGGGCCATATCGAAAATTTATAAATAATAAAAACTTTCTTAGTAATTTCGGTTCTGTAAATTTTATTACTGCAACAATTAACACGACAGCTACGCAATCGTTTTTAAAATCATTCGTTAGAGCATAAATCACAATGCCTGAGTAGAAAATTTATTCGGATCATTCAATTGGTATTCTTTCATGAGGGTCATATGTTGGAAAGTTATTGTGTTACATGAATTAACTAAAAATATTAAAATGACTTATAATTATAATTATTTCATAGTTTACAGATTAGCTATAAAATAAAAATAAAAACATTTGCATAAAATAATTATAAATTAATTTGTTAAGAGGGTGAGATACCATTATTGATACTGATGAGAATGAGATGCTTGCAAGTGACGTAGTGAGGATATCTTGATCCTGATTGGTTGTTGAAACGCGGGATTTGTTTACTTTAGCAACCGTTCTATCCATTCTATTTCGAGTAAGACTTACCCGTCAAGTATCGATTCTCTTAAGTTACTCATTCTGCGTTCCTTCACAACGATTTCAATTCTTCCACCATATATTTCCTATTTAACACGAAGACAGCCACGAACTAAACTAATTATGCATCGAAGTTGCCAGGTACACATAACGGAAATATATCATGGTTACAATGAAATAAATAAACAAATGATAAATCTAAGTTAAGTAAAAGACGTAGACTGGAAAGAATAATATTGCAACAAATTCGAGGTACGATACGGTGCTGTATTAAATTTTTTTTCACGTTAATTAACATTCTAAATTATGCGGAGAAGCTTAGCTCAATTTTAGCATGCCATTTTACTTAGAAGCGATCAGCTGACGTTGACGTCATAGGTCACATGTGTGGGTTTTTGTGATCTTCTTCTTGAAGTGCAAATACCCGATTGCCGTGTTGTACTTGTAAATGTCAACCCGTTGATTACACTCTTTCACTTTGAAATGAAACGTGTGTGGGTATCCGAGAGCTTCTGCTTGAAGTGTAAGTACCCAAGTGAGAAAAAAAAGTTTAATAGCGTATGAACCATTGGCGAGATTCTGCTTAAACTTGGAGATTGAATAGTCAAATTGGGATTTTTATTTTGGTTGGGACTAGGTTACTATTTGTTTTTCAGCGAAAATCTCGATACATACAGCATTTCTAAGCAGCTATATCTTCCATCAAGGCCTAATATACACTTGCTGAATTTTGCTATTCGTCTGAGAAATAACATGTTACATTCGAACATCTGTGATTGCTTGTTTAACTAGTATACAATTTTTGAAAAGGGTAGTTTCTGAACCGCTTAAGTTCTTAAGCTGTTTACGTGCACATAATATAACTAACCTGCACATCAACCGAACACGCCATCTTATAACATAGATTATAAAATCTTCACTATGGTTTTTTTAGAATCTATTATTTTATTTACACGCTAATAATATAATGAAATATGTTTGTAACGAAAAATTTTATTACAGGAGGACGATCCAATATGCACTGTTACTCAGTGGTCAGAGTGGTCACCTTGTTCAGTGACCTGTGGTAGGGGTGTGACAGTCAGAACTCGTCTCTACCTTGATGTGGAAGCCCTTAATCTGTGTAGGGAAGAATTGAACCAAAAAACTCAGTGTAAAGCGGAAAAAGAAGACTGTGCTATTTCCTTAATTGAAGCTAAGCGTTAGTATTAAGCATATTTTTTAAAAAATTATTATCTTTCTGTTCGACAAAGTTTATTTTTTTTATGGTATTTGACGGTTAGCCTGATGCAAGCGAAAAGTCGCCAAGACCCTGACCCAGACCAAGAGGGTAGTTCAGGCCAACTTCTTTTTTTTTTTACTTTTTAGAGGTATAAAAATTTCAAATATAAAAATAAAAAAATCTACATAAAAAATAGTACTTTTAAAAACCACGTTTTTGTAGTGGAGAATAATAATTGAAAAATAAAGATTTGAAAAACGAAAAACGTGGGGCGCATGAAATACATAACAGTAATGTTATATTAGTGTGTGTATGTGTATCTGTAATTGTAATTGCATCTGAATTGAATGTGGATGTAGAATATGTTTGTGTATTTGCATGTGTGTGTGGCTGTGCATGTGCATGAGTAATAAAATGTGTATATGTATGTGTATATGTGCTTTTATGTATTTCATGCACCCCATGTTTTTCGTTTTTCAAATTTTAATTTTTTGATTATTATTCTCCACTATAAAAGCGTGATTTTTAGAAATAAAATTTTTGATTTTGATTTTTTTTTGTACTCACTTCCAAAATCTCAAATTTTTCACTCACTATACACAAAACTTTTCAACTGCAACGCGACACTAATTTGAAATAATCGAATCGACAACAAAAGACAATCGCGAAAATACTAATATTTAATTTTAATTTTATTTCACTTTGTATGTCTTCTTTCTCTTCATTTTCATGCATTGTTATCCAGTTCTGAACTATGTGCCAAATTTGAAGTCTGTAGCTAACCGGGAAATTAGTTTAAAATCGATTACAAAATTCCACCCGAACGGACATATACGAAGGCAATAAGTTAATATAAACGTGGTAATAAATAAAAATATGTGAATTCCCTTGCGCCCACCTAACCGAAAAGTACCTTTAATGTCTGTGAAACTTGACTCATCAGATTTGAAGCAGCCCATCAGAGCAATTATTTGCAAAATAAAGATACGTAAGAATAATTTTTTAAAATAATAATACTGAACGGGATTAGAATCTCAATATATGTGCGAAAAAATTTATTTTATGTCAGGATCCAACTTAAAAAGACGCTATTTGTACGCGAGATAATATCTATTCCTTATACATTGGTAACTAAAAATTTAAACCATAGAAAAAGTGAGTTCATGTTAACCCAGAGTAAGGCGTAAAGTTTCAAATGCAGAATTTTTTTTTCTTCTAAATATCCAAATAGAAACAATTTATGGCAGATTTTTTCAAGATAACACAGGGGAGAAGTAATCCTGCCGTAATTTGTTTCCCCATTGATATTTTGAAAAAGAATTTTCAGAAACTTCATGGTTTATTCTGGTTTCACGTAAACTCTCTTTTCCCTTTTCTTGAATTTGAAACTACCATTGGAGGTGAAGCAGAATTTGCCGTGAAAATATTCTCTCGTGGTATAGTGTTTTTCTTGACATATGGTTTTTCGATGCTCTGCTGCCAAGAAAAAAGCCACAATTGAAATGCCTTATATTTGAAGCAGAATGATGATTGTATTATATAGTCGTAAAGAATTTTCTGGGTCTTAGTACGGACAAATAACTTTATTTTAAAAGTTATATAACTTTTTTTAAAAATTTCCGATTCAGCGACATTTTTCCACGTGAATGAAAATTATCAAACTCACTGCTTCATTCTCAGTTTTTTTCGCATTTTTATGAGCCCAAATAATGCAGCTTCGGAGTAGGTTTTTAAATATTAAAAATTTAGACCACAAACGTTTTTCATTTCCACAAAACTGTGGCTTTTTTCCATTTGGACATTTTGCGCCATTTTCCGAATAAGCACCCTTAATATTAGCGATTATTTGAATAAACCATTGCATTTAATCTGCTACTTTGATTATAAATAAAGCAGCCTTCATATTCATTTGCTTTACAGATGGCTATAGGAATTACTAATTTTGTTTAATTGTCTTTTTAGAAAACTGTATGATGCCGAAAGAAATAGGTCCATGCAGAGGATACTTTCCTCGGTGGTACTACGATGTGAATCGTAAGGGTTGCCAACAGTTTATTTACGGTGGGTGCAGAGGCAATAAAAACAACTTCGAGAGGTACAATGAATGCAGTAGAATCTGTGAAAGGCTTGACACAGGTACATTGAATATTAATTACTAAACTCTATTGAATTAATTATCCCAGAAAAAGGACAGATAATTTGAAAAATAATTTTTCAAATAAATGAAGAAGATAGAAATGTACTCCTTGTAACTCTTTGCGAAAGAAACAAGATTTTATTATCAGTAAGTAACTATGTTGCAAAGTTCGTCAGCAGATGATTGCAGAATTGCCTATTATTTTTTGTCCTTTAGACTGCGATTTTTAATTTAAAATGTTTAAATACGAACCAAACAGGCAGGTTGAAAGGAATTTTTCTTGTATTAAAAGTGCTATTTTTGAATTGTGTTTATTTTAAGATTAATCCTTATAACTTCATAATTATAACTCGAATCTTATTTAATTCAAGTCAGTATAAAAAATTTCTTTGGATAACGTACCTTACTAGTTCAGATAACCCCTAGATAGAAAAGTAAAAAATGTACCTTAGTCAAGACAAAAATAGTGCATTTTATACATAAAAACCCTAGTAACATTTGAACTATACATTGCATAGCAGCAAAATAATTTTGGACCCTCATTCAACCAGTAATTACAAATCTTGGCTTAATAAGGGTTCAAAGGGCCTATGTATTTCCGATATGGGACCCATATAGAATCGTCCGATTCACCCGATATTTTACTGCTACTTTACAACTAATATCGGCCCTATATAGAATTGTCAGATTCACCCGATATTTTACTGCTACTTTACAACTAATATCGGCCCTATACAGAATTGTCAGATTCACCCGATATTTTATAATCATTATTCAGCTAATATAAGTCTTTTATTGGCACTATATTGGTCGATAATGGCACGGCATAGGACCAATATTTAAAAATCTATAGACTTCTCAATATGGGTTCCTCGGAGCATGTTCATATACGACCCATATTGAACCAATTTTGAGCCCAACATGGGCCAAGGTAAAATTGTTGCTGGGGTTCTATTGACTGGTGTACAATCTAACTCGGTTTAACATAAAAACATACAGGGGAAACAATGCTTTATGTGTTTAGAAAGCAACAGCAGATGAAAAAAAAAAAATTATAAATATAAAATTTTACTTTTTGTACATAAAACCCATTGGTTTGAAAACGATATCATTCAATTCAGTGTGAAAAAAATATTGGCGATCGAAATGGGCTGCAGGTGGCTCAGAGCAGAACTCTCTATCTAAGAAACACTTCGTATGTTTTTCCCATTACCATGTGGATAGTCATAGAAGAAGTGCATTACTTTCTGACTTGATTTTCAAATATATTTGACATTTTAAGTTAGGAAACTATATGGAACTGAAAACTACATTAAACATCGATCTAAAAGAAAGCATTATGGAAATTTTGGAAAATATTTTTGACAATTAAATACGAAAAATTATTATGAAATTTGAAAATATCGTAGTACATTCCCATACAACTGAAAAGAGGAAAGGAAAGAAAGGAGGACGGTCAAGTTTTTCAGCCCAGGGACCCTACCATGAGCTAACGGTAATGGAACGGGGATTCCCGGAACTGCGAAAGTTTGGTTCCATGAATGATCAGATGGTGTATTCAAGCATTGTGATCGCGAATATCGGAAACAATGCCTCCTTAGTCAGTCTCGAAGAAATTTAATTCTCCCTCTTGATATCTTGATATCCCTAAAAATACATAAAAAAAGGAAAAAGAGACAACAGAGTCAAGTTGGGAAGTTTTCAGATATCTCAAAAACTTTTTTTTAGGTAATGCATGATGTTATTTGATTGTTGTTAGATTTTGCATGATGTTTTTTCAGCATATATCACAAAAATCGAATAATCGTTCGGTCGTGCTTTTTTACGGTCTCACATGCAGTACAAACGATTATTTCATAGTTTTTGCTTCAACAACACTACCTGCTGAAGAACTTTGTGACTAATTTTTAAACTTAATGATTGTAAAAATCTATTTTGCTAAGAAGCGTGCAACGAATCATACATTCCTTTCTCATTACATTTTTATTTAATTGATTGAATTGAAAAGTCATTATTTTTGGGACAACTGGTATATTGAATCTTAGTACGCAGCTTTAGCTGTAAGGTTAGAAAATAAGCATTTGAAAAACACACTATTTTTCTAATTCTTTTTCACATGAAGTACATCAGGAAAATGTTCCACAATTAACTTTATCATTATCATTACCATTGCCCTCAGTTGAGTATTTACTTACTTTTTTATTACTGCATGACCTAATATTACCGACGATTTGAAATATCAATGAAAGTAAATCAGAGGAAGACAAACTTGTAAGATTATCAGCGCCTTAGTAAGAAATTTATACGTTTATGCTTATCAATCTTCAAAATTAGTAACAAAGTTCACCAACAGATGGCTCCGCTACTCCAGAATTTACTTTCACTAGAGGCGTCATCTGTTGTCGAGATTTCTAACTAATTTTGAAACTTAATGGTAATAAATGTCCCTTTTCCTAACTAGCAACTGGCCATATATTTCTCTCATAATCCGTTTTAACTTATTTATTTCTTAAAACCGTAGCTCTATAACTTTTCGACTTTAACTGTAGATTTTGAAAATGAATGCTTGACAAATGAATTATTTCTCTAATTTTTTGTTCTTAAAGTGCGCCAAGAAGATATTCTACCAATACCCTTACCATCACCCTCTCCACTACCCTCAGTTGAGTCAACGGCAATATCTTACGCCGGACCTATACCTGGTGCAGCAGTGGACTGTGTTATTAGTGAGTGGTCAGAATGGGGTTCGTGTACTGCTACTTGTGGTACTGGTCGTAAAGAAAGGAAACGATTCATCATCAGAAATCCAGATAATGGCGGAGAATTATGTCCAACAAAAATGGTTCAGAAGAGGAAATGCAAAGATAATCCACCTTGCAGTAAGCATCTTATTAACTTGCAATTAGTTATTTAAAAAGTTACTTAAATTATCAATAGCACTTAGTTGAGAGAACCAAGGCCTACAAAAGGCTGTTGTGAGTACGAAGAAGAAGAAATTTATCTAAAGTAAAAGAAAAAGAACCTCACAGAATAAATACTGATAAATTCATAAAACTTACCTTTTTTAAGTTGAAAAAAAGGCAATTTCGCTGTTATTGCTTACATGGTATATAATGCATAAATAGATTATTAAAATAAATATTTTTTTTATTCTAAAAACATTTTTTTTACTCTAATATTAATTGAGCTTTAAATAAGTTGAAAACTAACATTAACAGGTATGCTATTAATTTCAGAGTCGTTAAATGAGAAATATATTGTTAATTTCAGTTATTAATAAGAAATACATTAATAATTACGCAATATAATTACAAATGCATGATAATAAATTAGACTACATATTGAAAACAGCCTCATATGTTTTTAGAATAGCAGCTCAAATTTGGAATTATCTTCATTTTGAGAATTTTCTTTGGCTGGTGGATATACATATAGTTCTAAATGTTCCGTAACTGTCAATAACCTATTGCAACATTTATAAAAAATTATAGGTAAATAAGTCGTGATTTCGACTATTTATATTGAAAACAACATTTTTCTCTTTCATAATTTTGAAACATTATTTCAATAAAATAGTTAAGATAATAGTATTTTACTAAAATGTTTTCATAAGAGTGACCAAATATTATTAAGTCAGTTTATACTATTAATCAACTGAGCTCACAAGTTTGCTTGTTCATACATGTCACAGTGCGTATTGTGTCACACTCGACATACCATGCTGTAAGATTTTATATTTTGACCATAATCAATTCAATATTTTGATACAATAATCTTAAAAATAATAAACTATTGAATACTTCAATAAAATTTCCTTGTTCTTTTTCCAGAACTTTACTGTATTTATTTCCTTTTAAAAAATGTTTTTAATTGAATTTTTTTTATAAAAGTAACAGAAATTAAAATGAGCAAAAGAAATTTTTTTTGTAGCGGGTATCCTTATATTTATTATTATTTTTTTATGTTACAGATGAGGAAATGGCTAACGAAGAAGGTAAGAACATGTTTAGTTCCCCATTAAAAATTTCCTTATATGTATATACCTATACAAGGAGTTTTTCTTACCATACGATAACTTTACATTTCCTGAAATAATTTTACGATTATTTTCCGTACTAGTATCTATTTTTATAAGAGTGGGCCACTCTAGTTTTAAGCATTTTTACACTTATATGTGATTTCAATATGTAAGACTTTTAGGGTAAAGATAGTTTCATACTTTCTTTCATAATAAGACACCAGAGGTCAAGCTCCCTAACCTCCCAATAAGCTGACTCAGTTTCGAAACCCAGAAATGACTGCTCGATAAGTATTATGTTCTTTACTCGCGCCGACATATTGCTATCATTAAATATCCATCGATTAGTGCTAGTACAGATTTACTTAGTAAATTCCACTGTGAAAACTTGCTTCCATTTCGTAGAAATCTGTTGTTACAAGACATTTTCGTCGTAATTTTTACAGATCAGTAGTGTCAAACTTTATTTACTTCGTACTAGAACTGCACAATGGGATATTACGAGAGTCTAGGAAGCATTCCTAAGGATGAGCCGAAAACATGTCATCTCAGTTCTTCCACAGAGGGGATAGCTTTTCCGCTTTGGTTTGGTAACCCGACAACCTGCGAGCGAAGTCGAGTGCTTTATGGTACAGCAGTTACTAGGACCGATGCTACGCACCCTCTGTCTCTTTGCAGGAGGCTACCTACCCATTCATTGATCGCAACCAGTGACTCTAGACTTCAGTGATCTACAGGGACATATTTTACGATCACTGTGTCACTGGGGGATCGAAAAAATGTTCTTGTATGGTAAAAAAATCATTGTGGCTACAAATTTACTTCGTAAGTTTTACAGTTTTGTACAACAAACCCAGCTGCCAGTTTATAACCGTAAGTTTTAAGAGATTCTTGTCAGTTTATAAAAATTACTTTTGCAGTGTTCTTCTCAGTGTATAAAAATGACTCTTCCAGTGTTTTTTACTGTGTATAAAAATGATTTTTACGGTGCGTAAAAACTACTTTTACAGTGCTTATTACAGTGGATAAAAATTACTTTTGCAGTGTGTGAAAATGACTTCTACAATGATTTTTACTGTGTTTAAAAATTAATTTTACAGTGTTTATTTGCAGTATATAAAAATGATTTTTGTCTTTCCAGCATATCCTGCAAAGCACGCAGGATTCATGGAAGCGTTATACAGGCCAGTCCTTGACTGTCGATACAGTGCCTGGTCAGATTGGACACCGTGCTCACAAACTTGTGGGCGAGAAGTACAATATAGGGCGAAAACGATACTGAATTACCCAAGTGACGGTGATTCCCAATGTAAACCAAAAATTGAAAGACATTTTTGCGATTTGCCACCTTGTCCACCTTCATAGCATGCGTAAGTCATTTGAGAACAAAAGCTCAAATGTTTTTTTCTTTTTTTTTTTTTCTTTTTTTTAAGAAAAATAGTCCAGTTTTGACTGTTTATAAATAATTACATGAACAAAAAATTTTTTGTTTCATGCATGAAAAAAAAATCCTCAAACAGCTGTTTCTGACTTTGACTATTTTTAGCGTGGTTTTCTTTATTAGAGGTGGCTCAAAAAGTACGTAAGCACGTAAGGGGAAAAAAGATCTGAGACTTGTTTACATTTGCTGAGAGGAGAAGAGGGAAATGATGTCCATTTCACCCCCTTTTCTAATGGGGGTGAAATGGAGGAATGAAGTTGTCGATTGGTTTACTTATAACGATCTTCGCTAAGATTAATAAGACAAAACTATTCACCCCATACCCCTATTCGAAGTGACCTTTCCTCGTAACCATAGTACCCACCACGACGCGAGGCGGGTGTCTTGAGGAGTTCTCTTGAAAGCCGTACTATAATGCTCACGTTAAATGCCAAAAGTTCTTATTTTCCTTTTTTTATACGTAAAAAATAGCAAAAAATCTGAAAAAAAACTTACATTGTAAATAAAAGTTAAATTAGGGAAAGAAACGAACAATAATTTCTTGAAAGAGTTTCAGAGATAAACAGTTTTGACCACAGATAGAATCCACAAAATATCGCTAAAGAATACTTTCTCAAAACTTTATTAAAACAACAAAAACGAACACTTTGTTTCATAATTTTTTATTTGAATTTAATCACAAAATTTAATTACTACAGTATAAGTACTGGTTAAAGTAAAAATCAAGGGTGGGTAATACCACTTTCTTATTAAGACATGGGTGCAGTCTTATAATTTGCTTATTTTTGTAATAGGAGAGGAGAGAATTAAGTAAAAAAATGCTTACGTAGTATTTGAAGGGTCCGTCTGCATTATTTTCCAAGAAAAAAGGTAGGTAATTTACGAGTTGCTGACAACTATATTTCTATGAAACATTATTTTTGTGCCTGACCCCGGAAAAAAATATTTATAGATTTCGTCTGTAAATATTGTGCAAATTTAGTACAAAAAATCTTTCAGGGAAAAGTTGATAAAGAAATTCTATTTTTATATTTGAAACCAGCACACGAAATGTAATCGAAATAATTGTATAAACAGCTGCCAATAAGTAGAATTTTTTTTTTTCGTTGAAAATGTGAAAATAGAAAATTTCGCAACTTAGCTACTCTTAATCTGTATAAGTAGAGCAGATAAAGAACAAAAATATTCGCACATTGGAAATCAGCACATCAGATATGGTCAAAATAAGTTTAAATTATGTATTTATCTGTGTTATTTTTCTCTCCAATGGCAGTTTCTCAAATTTTCATTTAATGCATAACATATCGCAATTTAAGCTTATATTGATCTTTAATTTAAAATTAATAGCGAAATAAATCTTAGTTTAATAAACACAATATTAATTAACTAAATACAATAGCATACGGTAATGTTTAAAGAAGTGAAATCTCAAACTAAGTTGTAAAACTACGTTAATTCTTTGTTTTAATAAAAATAATGAACCAGTAAGTATAAAATCTAACACACCTGATACGAGTTAAAGAAATCACGTTTGTGTAATATCTGCTTTTTATTAAAAATTTTCAAATTTTAGTACACAATTTTAAAACTAATTAAATTTTAACTTCCACCCTTTCAATTTCTATTTGAAAGGAATAAAAATAATTTCTATTTTGATCAGAGGAGACTTAAACGATAATAAATTCAGGGTAAAATAGGAGAAACTATGTTGGTTTTTAAATATATAGTGATTTTTTGTAATTGTTTTCCATTTTTTAAAAAGAATTACATAATTTGTTTTTTTTAACCACTAATGATGTAAATACGGAAAACGTTACGGTACAGTAAACGGTAAAGTATGATGTAAGTTAAAAATTCCAATTGAAGCTAAATATAATAAAGCAGTGATCAGTTATTGCATTTTAAAACACGACATATTATATAACGATAAAAAATTTAAAAAAAAATATTGCGGTAAAAAATTTTTAAGAAATTACTTACTAGAAAAACTAAATCTACCCTCTACTTACTAGGAAAATTGATTGTTTCCGCTACCTAATAGAATATGCACCCTCTATTGGCTAGAAAAACTGAATGTATCCGCTACTTACTAGGGTGTGCACATTTTACTTGTTAGAAAAACTGAATGTACCCGTGACTTACTAAAATATGCACCCGCTACCTTCACGCTACAGAGAAATGCGTGCCATCTGTTTATTTGTTTATTGATGCAACATACATATACAGGCTTGTTTGCTCAGTTAAAGCTTATAAACCTTTGTCAAGTAGGACTACAGATAGAGAAGGACAGCACAATGATACACCCAAGGTTACAGCGGGATTCGATTCCGCTACCTCCCCGCTTCGCACAGCGCTTGACGATACCGCTCGGTCAGGAAGACATTCAGTTTATTTACTTTTAACCCATGTGTAGGCTTGTGTGCTCATTAGTTATGATGACTTATGAGCTCTTGTCAAGTAGAAAAAACAAATAGCACAAGTCAGTGAAAAACATCTCAAGGATGAATCCAGGGTTATAACAGGATTTGACCCATTACCACCAAACTACAGAGCGTTTGACTTTAAGACGAGACTGCTTGGTCAAGAAAACCCCATAGCTATCATTTTCGGAGGCCAAATTAATTTTTTTCACACATATATAGATAGCGCCAAATAATACTGCACACCCTCGGCCCCTTCTCAGGCTGATCAAAACTGCCATCCACCCGCGTTCTGACGACTGCCACTCATGCTTGACTTTGGTGATCTACTGGGAAGGGAACAATGTCAAGTTTTGAGGTGACCGAAGGTTTTGGACTAAACCTGAAAGTAACTAGTTCGTGCCCACAATTTTATTTTTCCAGTAAAACATGGTGGGAATGTAATTGTCAAGTCTCCATTGACTTTCATGGTCAAAGTATGAAGACCATATGCTCTCTTTTATACACCTAAGCGTGAGAAGTTGGTAATTTGACCAGGTGCTTCGAAGATTCTGTTTCTCTCACTCCATGGATTATTACTAGTGTAATATAAGCCATTATTTTTGAAAGTGCATATTTTTATAACGGTTAGCTTTATGGTTAGCGTTTGAAGGAATTTAAAAATATTATCAAAAATTAGTCAACTTGAGGGATGATAATTTATTATGATTAAATTTTAAAATGCAATAATGGTTATTGGAAAAGTTTTAAAAAAAGCGATTTTTAACTCCAAATCAATTTGACCCTGTTTAAGCTATAATATTTTATAAGAAATAAAAACAAGAGGAAAATTAGGACCATATTTTTTGCAAATTAGCTTTAATAAAACGGATTTTTAACGTAAAAAATGCTAATCAAATTTTGACACGTAAAGATTAATTTTATTTACAATCTCAGTCCATGGCAAATAGGCAGTAAGTAAGACAGTAAACTCATCATATCTCTGTACTCCTCAATTTTTATTGGACTTGACGTTTTATACTGAGGTAACATCGTGATCTTGTTCGGATATTTTAATTTATTATTTTTTGATAATTTTCTTTGATGAAAATTATATTAGTTGACTTACATGTACGTACACAGTTGATGGATATAAGAAACACGAACCTACTGAAGGATTTGCTAAAGAATGGTACTGTACTGTACTTTTATTTACGTCGCACTAGAGCTGCACAATGGGCTTTTGGCGACCCTCTGGAAAACATTCATGACGATGTTTTACAGACAGTATACACACTTCACATCCCGTTTTACAGGCAGGACACATTCACACACCATCCATCCATCTGCTGATCGTAATTTTAATCTGAAACAGAGCATGATCAATCTCGGATCCAGTACCCTTAATGTATTGATTTGTTATGGGTACTTGGAGGATTTGTGACCCCGACAGATTTAGCGTACATCAGCCACTGTTTTGTACGCGGGCAATTTTTTCGGCTTGCGGGAATCGAAGTCATGATCTCTCGGACATGGGTCCAACTGGCTAGGCTATTCCGGCTTTTGCGGAAAAAGGCTGAACCTAATTAGTTAAATGATTTCGGAATATGCTTGGGCCCGATAAGTGGCAAACTTTCAATGCGCATGCCCACATTGACGCTTATTCTCCGACAGTGTTGCCTAACGAGCAGTAATTTGAAAAAGCAAACCGAAAGTAGTTATAACTTTGGCTATTAGACTCAATCCCCTTTTAAAAAAAAGTGACCCATGACCTCTCGGACATGGGTCCAACGTCCAACTGGCTAGGCTAGTCCGGCTTTTGCGAAAAAAGGCTGAACCTAATAAGTTAAATGATTTCGGAATATGCTTGGGCCCGATAAGTGGCAAACTTTCAATGCGCATGCCCACATTGACGCTTATTCTCCGACAGTGTTGCCTAACGAGCTGTAATTTGAAAAAGCAAACCGAAAGTAGTTATAGCTTTGGTTATTAGATTAATCCCCTTAAATAAAAAGTGTTTTTGCAATTTTGGACGAAACAAATTTGTTTATTTTACCTACAAGTAGTACTCTTTTCAATGTATGGTTATAAATATAAATTGCTCTTGCTAAATTGGTATTTACACATTTTTTTTCCGAAAGTGGACTTATTCCACAGTTTTTTTACTTATTCCATTTCACAGCTTGTTGCGAATTTCTGCCTTACCAACAGAGGGTGGTTCAACAACCANCTTACTAGAATATACACCGATATTTAGAAAACTGAATGTACCCGCTACTTACTAGAATATACACCGATATTTAGAAAACTGAATGTACCCGCTACTTACTAGAAAAAATGAATGTACTCGCTGTTTACTAGAATATGCACCAGCTATTCACTAGAATATGCATCCGCTACTCACTAGAAAAACTGAATGTACCCGTAACTTACTTGAATATACACCGATATTTAGAAAACTGAATGTACCCGCTACTTACTAGAATATACACCGATATTTAGAAAACTGAATGTACCCGCTACTTACTAGAAAAAATGAATGTACTCGCTGTTTACTAGAATATGCACCAGCTATTCACTAGAATATGCATCCGCTACTTACTAGAAAAGTTGAATGTATCCGCTACTTACTAAAAAAACTGAATGTACCCGCTACTTACTAGAGTATACACCGATATTTAGAAAAGTGAATGTACCCACTACTTACTAGAAAAAATGAATGTACTCGCTGTTTACTAGAATATGCACCAGTTATTCACTAGAATATGCATCCGCTACTTACTAGAAAAACTGAATGTGCCCGCTACTTACTGGAATATGCACCCGCTTCTTACTAGAAAAAGTTAATGTATCCTCCACCTTCATGCTACAACGAAATGCCTGTAATCTGTTTATTTATTTATTGATGCACACGTATATATTTATTTTAACACCCGACTACCTACGTGCGAAGTCGAGCGCTTAACGGTAGAGCAGTTTAGAGACGTCCGATAATGCACACCCTCGGTCCCTTCGCAGGCTGATCAAGGTTATCTTCCACCCACTCACTGACGACTGCCAGTTATGCTTGACTTCGGTGATCTTCTGGGAGGGAGCAATGTCAAGTTTCGTGGTGACCGAAATGGCCTAAGCCGAGGTCTTGGACTAAACCTGAAAGTAATTGGTTTACACCCACAATTTTAATTTTATTGTAAATCTCGCTTGAAATGTAATTGTCAAGTCTCTATTGACCTTCGTGATCGCTGTATGTAGATCTTACGCTATCGTTTGAACTCCAAAGCGTGGGAGGTTGGTAAAATCTGATCAGGTGCTTCGAAGATTCGGTTTCACTCGCTCTATGGATTATTAATTGTATAATATAAGACATTATTTTTGAAAGGGCATATTTTCATAAGAAATTTAAAAATATTGCAAAAATAAGTCAACTTGAGTGATGATAATTTAATATGATTAAACTCTAAGATGCAATAATGGTTAAATACACCAGTGGGCGAACTTTGTGCTAAAATACAAACTAAGGCAAACAACGTTAAAGAGCATGAAAATATTTATAAAATACAGACAGCTGTTTCGGATGCTCAAAGGGCAACCTTCATCAGTGCAAGAGGACCTCTTGGACTGATGAAGGTTGCCCTTTGAGCATCCGAAACAGCTGTCTGTATTTTATAAATATTTTCATGCTCTTTAACGTTGTTTGCCTTAGTTTGCAATAATGGTTATTGGAAAAGTAAAAAAAATCAAAGCTGTTTTTAACTCAAACTGGACTTATTTCAGTTTAAGAAATAATATTTTAAAAGAAATAAAAATAAGCGGGAAGTTAAGTTCATATTTTTTACAAATTGACTTTACTCTGAAAAGGATTTTTAATGTAAAAAGTAATAATCAAATTTAGATACGAACAACTAATTCTTATGGGAAATTCTTATGGGGAAGTCTAACAAATATGACACCAACATTATTGTTTGTTTTCATTGTTTTACATTATTAAATTCAATTGTTATTAAACATGGCCTTGTGTTCATAGTTTTCTACACTGAACCATTTTGCAAAACGGCTCATATGAACATAAACATATCTGCTTCATTTAAAGATGCGGAAAAAAAATAAAATCGGAAATAAAGAACTAATATAACATTTGTAGGAATATTATGTCTGTATATTATTTTTATCTAGTTCTTACAAATTAAATAAATATATTTTCTATTATTATATTTTCAGGTTAAAAGAAAATTCCTTCTTATTTAAATAAGTATTTCGCCTTGCATGCTCTGAAGATGTCTACGTGTATGGTTTTAATTTGTTGAAATATGTAAAAACTATCTTTGGAAAAATGGATGCTTTATAATCGAATTTCAGAACTGTTACTGCTATTTATTGTGTAATAAAAGATGTTGCTTACCCTGCTATTCTTACTTCATGTCTTCATTTAACTCATCAGAGCATAAACAGACTTAATAATTGTGAATTAATTGTTAGAAGCCAACAAATAATAAAAATTTCATCTGGAGATCAATGGTGCAAGGTTCCTTGCAAGCTCCCACTCACTAACCCTCAAACTTTTCTTCACAAACAGGACTACACAAACACTACTACTGTCCACTATATCACTGGTACTGGTCAAAATTTCCTAGTTTTGTCCTATAATTTATACTGATTCGCCGAAAATCTCCAATGTTTGGCGAAGACATAGCAAGTATATTCTAGTAGCGGTCGTTACGGTACATCTTATTAGTTTATCCAGACGCTAAATTGCATGAAAATGTGGCTGACAAATAATTGTGGGCAGTCTTTTAATTATGGGTAAGTTTTTTAAAAGTTCAAAATCAAAAAAACTTGCTTTTGGAGAGTAGCTAGTTGTAATGTTTTAATAGTCAGAAAACTGCATGAGAATGTGACATAAAAATATCTTACGAATAACTCGCTCAACCTATGTTGCATTGTAATCAAAACATCCACATTCCGTTAAACAAAAGATAGTTTTTTTAAAATGCAAAATCAAAAATCTTTGCTTAAGGAGAGCGGCCAGTTGTATCATTTTTAACAGTGGAAGCTTTTTGAAATATGTGGCCATTTTTTTAAAAAATTGAGAATTTCAAACTATAAAAGTAATGGTACTTTTCCGTTTCGCAGGCGTAGGAATACAACTCGTTCTTGAATTTTTCCAAAGATAAATATTGTTCTTTGCAAAAAAAGGGGAAAAAAGTTGTAACTATAATGAAGAAATTATATTTATAAGACTACTTTTAAATATTATAGGCATAAACTAAAAATTAAAAAAAAATGACGTGAAATGAGCTTGAACTCGAATGAAAGCTTTGAAAATCAAATTCAATCCCCCTGAAATTTCGAACCATCGCAAAATTACCTGAACATTCCAGGGATGATTACAGATTTCCCGCGTAATAAATAATACGAGAAGTTTAATGCTGTTTTTTTCGAAGGCTTCGTCGTCACATGAAATGATGCTTTTTTTGCGAATAATATGCTATTTTCTTAACTACTGTGAGTTTGCAACAGTTACTCATGACCGTTAGGAGAAATTTAACGTATGTAAAGCCAGCGCTTTTTATGCTTTACCTGAAAATAGCGCAAAATGTCAACGCGGAGAAAAGCCACTGTTTTGTTCAAATAAAAAGCGTTTGTGGTTTAATTTTTTTAATATTTGAAAACTTACTTTAATGCAGCAATATTTGGGCTCATAAAACTTTTCAAAAACTGAGAATAAAGCAGTGATTTTGATGATAATTTTCTTCTGGCTGGAAAAATATCGCCAAATTGGTGATTTCGGAAAAAAGGGCGTTAACTGTTAAAATATTTAAGTTATTCGTCTGTTCTAAAGAACAGAAAAGTCGTTACAGCAAGATGATATATATAGTTTAAAATCATCGTTTTGCTTCAAGTGTAAGGTACTTAAACAGTGGCTTTTCTTTTTTTATTTTCCTTGGCGACGGAGCTTCGACAAACCAAAGTAATGAGTTATATATTAAATGTTAAAGCAAGCGTATGAGGAGCGTTTTTGTCTAAAAAAAGTGACGATTGATTGTTTAACAAATAAATTTTCAATCTCCATTTTTTATACGCTTTGCGGGTGTGGGGACCGTTAATTATGCATTGCATTTGAGACAGCAAATATCCATTTTAGCAGTAAAAAATTACAAAATCTAGCGAATCACCACTGAAGAATACAGGACTGAAATCATCAAAGCCTGTGTGATTGCTGAACGAAACAGAGAAGGGATGAGAATCAATTATTTTACAAACACTCAAAGTTTAATGAGGTGATTAAATGGATTTACATTTTTTTCCCGTCATCACTTCTTCCCTAATGGTTTGACAGAATTCTAAATTATTTTTTTTTATTATTCTTTTAAATATCAATTGTGACCCCTAGTACGTATATCAAAAGTATGCATAAACGGTGGTCATGAAAGTACATTCTGCAATTGAGTTATTATTCCTATTGTGTTAATTAAAATGAAGGGTTTTATAATATTTGTGTAAAATAAATAAAATCGCATGAATTTGAAGGAAATCCATTAGAGTTTTATTCTAAATAATATTGTGTGTAAAATTCGCACACCCAAAAACTAATTGTAGCTTTCAATGTCAAAAGAGGGTCTGTAACATTTTTACGAAAATAAGTTTTTTTTTGGTTTTGGAATATCAATAACCGATTATCAAATACCGAGTAATTTTCCAGACTGCCTAAAGAAGAAAATCCAACAATTTGGAGGCAATTGAAACAATTTTTCCACAATTAACAGATTTTTTTTGTTGTTTTTTCTCAAAAGGGTAGATTTGTAACATACCCCTTTTAATATTGACTGTTTCAATTGAGGTCACATAGTAACATCGAAGTATAAATTCTAATGAGAATTATTTGAAGCTTGTGTGAGATAACTAAGAGAATGCGAAAACATTCATATTCTTTTTTTCCGTTATGACTCATTAATTTTTTATTATTACTTACTTTAGAAGCATTTAAAAAATTTTATTTCCACGAAAAGATTCACCTGCTCAACTTATTTTGACATACAAAGATAAATAGAAGAAATTATGTATTGATTATCTTTCAATACACTTTTCAATACATTTTTTCAATACACTTCCCCTACTCTGCAATATAATCGTATCCTTTCTTTTTTTTCTGCTTTTATGATTATTAGAAAAAATAACTTAGACACATAAGTATGATTTTTTTTAATTTTAGACAAGGCTTTAATATACGCATAGTAGGCATATAAATACATGCGTAAATAGATCAAATATACATTTATATGTTTATTATCAAAACTATTAAGATTTATAATTAATTTTTTTAAATTAAGCTTATAACTAAAATATAAAATTAATCATTGCCAATTCACGAGTATTATTTATTCTCAGAAAAAATAATAACTTATTAGTTGCTGCTACTTTTCAAGTCAAATTTATATGCATTTCTTTTTTAATTTATTGCAAGAAATAAAATTTTGTAAAATACAGTAAATAAAATATTTGAAATAAATATTTGCTTTTGTCATTTTCCCACGCAATTATGTGAGTGGAAATCAAAATCAAAAAGTATCGCGATTTTTACAAGTGAATCCAATTAAATGAGATGAATACTTATTGAGTCTAATAAAATAGGCAAATACTAGTTATAAACACCACTTACCGAATATAAAAATAATTTTACAAACAATTATATATAAACTTCATTTACGATATTTAAACAAAGATTTATAAAGATCATTACTCAGGATTTTTTTTACAAATTTTTATTTATTTAAATTTCGTTAAATCGTGTTCTACAGCCACATGGTAATATTTTATTCGTACATTTTTATTAAAATCATAACAGATGTAATTTAATGGATACATAACAGATGGCGCCACCTCTACAAAACAGTCTCGAATCCCAGTCATTCAAGGACGAGGAAAAGATGCAGAAGAGAAGGAGAGAAAGATGTAAGATATGGATGAAAGGATGCTGTTTTTTATCATCTGAGTTACTTTCCTGCATCATCGAGTGATAAACAACAGCTAAGGATAAGACTGAATATATTTATTATTACTGTGTGAATAAAGATTCGTTTTTGCAGTCTCCAAAATGGAGAAAGAGATAAAAGTAAGTAAGGATTTTTTTTTTCACTCTCATTTTAGCAACGTTTTTATTTTATATTTGTGCCCAGGCACAGTAAAGTGCTTGACCTATTAAATATGCAGTTAAAGGCTATCATTTGTAGGCTTAGTTTTTAAAGAAAAAAAATATGAATCTAATATTATACTTCGAATATTTAGATGTTACACCACAAGTGCATTTTATCTTTGATTCCGAGATAGCACTTATCCTTAAAGGATGAATGTACAAGACTATCAGGGGAAAATGTAACTTAATAATACTTTTTATTGGAAAAAAATTCGATTTTTTCAGCTAATTTTAACTCGTACTTAATAAAAGGCTATAACTAAAAGGGAAAACGAATGCTGTTTATGATTTCGCAATCATAGTCAACTAAAAACTCATTTTCCTAATTAAGGGTTTATTTAATAATTCTACTTTCAACACCATAGAATTACTTGAATTTTCAAAGTAGTGATTTTATAATCACACATGCATTATATATTAAAAGAAAATTCATCATATTGTATGAAATAAAATTTAAAATACTAAGCCTAAATAACTGCAAACTAATTTACGCTAAGTAGCTGTTAAGCGTTAAAATAATCAATTGAATTGAATTTTAGAAGATATAGCTTAAAGAGTTACTTTCAGAGTTTATTTTCAATACACGCTATTCATTTGTGCATTCATTTTTTAATGAATTTCAAATTTATGGAGATTAAAATTATTTCTCAGTTAACATATTCAGCTCCATGGAAAAATATGTAATTTATGGAGATTAAAATTATTTCTCAGTTAACATATTCAACTCCATGGAAAAATATATAATAAACAAATGTAGTGTACAAAATCTGTGTTTTTTTATACAATAAATAGATAAATTAAAATTTTACTAAATGAAAAAGAAAGAAAAAATGAATAAAGAATACACATGGAAGATTTATATTTAGATAGAACAAAAAAAATATGTTTTTACAAAGTCACATTTTAACATTAAAAATAATATTTGATATAAATAAAGAAGAAAAAACTTAGACAGAACATACCGAAAGAAAATTAAAGGAAATCTGAAAAAAGACACATTATTAAAATTCAACTATATGATAAGTAAAGAATTTTTAATATTGTTTTCCATTGATTAAATTATTATACCAAAAAAAGGTACAGTTTGTGTAATTTGTTAATTTTATATCTCAAAAGAAATAAGTTGAAATTTCCTTATTAGACTGCTACACAATGATTTATCACATCATACTTTCAGAGAACAGCTTAAAACTGTTTATTTAGATTTTCAAAATATAACTGATACAAAATCTTGCATCTGATAACACTTATAAGAAAATATTAAATACACTTTTAACAATTTGGCAAGTTTGAAGCTATATTATATTACGCAATATCAAAATTAAGCTGACAAAACTGTAAATTTGTAAAAATTGATTAATTAATTAAATACTGAGATCATTTACTAAATTCATGCTTTTAGTTTTCACTTCAAGATCATCAAATTCAATTTTTTTAATGAAATAATACGATTTAATATTACATTCATTAAATAATAGCTGCTGATTAGCATTTTAAGTGCGTTTAAATTATAAAAGTTCTAAATTTATATATTTATATATTTTGTACAATACTTCTGGTTAATACAAAAAAATCAACTTTAACAGAGTTTTTATTTATTATATAATATCAACAATGTTGATTAACAACGTGCTTAACGATATATAATAATAGCACGTTGAATAAAACCAATATTCAATATAAAATAAATATAAATTAATATTATTTTTAATAAATTAATAATTAAACGTATCTAAATATTAGATAAAAAATAATTCTCAACTAGCTTTTTAGGAAACAAATAAATTTCTGAAGTTATAAAAAAAATAGCTTTTAATTAATAAAAATTAAAAATTAATTTTAAATTCATAAAAATTTAAAGTGAGTAATATTTCATAAAGGTTACCCACAACATTCACCAATTTCATAAAATAAATATTCAACATAAGATAGGCAGCTTCAAGTTTTAAATAAATATAATAATAAGATTTGAAAAATTTGAGAAACTGGTTGCCCAATATCGAGAGCGCATTCGTCATTTTTATAGGAATAATTATTAAAATAATAATAATAAAGAAAAGAGAAATATATAAATGTTTTTGTTAGAAATGAATGAGTTTATTAAATAATTTTTTTTTATTTAAAATAAATATTCAACTTTCAAATTAACATTCTATAATTTACATTCATAAAACAAAATGCAAGAATTTGTAAAATGAAATTAAATGTTTGTTTCATGAAATAAAATGCTTTGACATCTAAGAAACTGGCCAATGTTAAAAATATTTTTGAACATATTTAAATATAAAATATCAAAAATAAGTTTAATGGGAAAAATATGAATTAAAATTAAAAAGCTATATTGTAAACCTCTAATTCTAAAGATAAAATTCAGTATATGAAAAGGAAATTAATTTTTAAATACAATTAAAAGCAAAATTTAGGAAACTACTGCATTAATTAAAAAACGTGTTACAAAAATTTTTATTAATATAACAATATGATTTACGACACATTCTACTTAATAAGATATTATATTCTACTTAATCGTATGAAATAAAGTAAACTATAGGCTAGAAAAATTACAGAAATAAAATACTAATTATCGTACAAAGAGTAAACTTTTTATCATATACAGAAAAAAAAACATTTTCTCCAAACATTTTTTTTATTATTGCTAAATATTCCGCAAAACTTCAGCTACTCTACAAGTTGAAAACCGTATGAAATCGTATCACAGCTATCTGTTACAAAGTTTTCTTTGAAATGAGCTAATTTCTTCTATCGTAAGGTTTAGGAAGTCTATGGTTCAAGATCGGAACTATAAGGTGGATAGTCAAAAACCTTCCAGCAGGAACTTTTGGTGTATTTTGCCTTATGTAGATCAAGCGTTGACGCTAGGATGTATCTGACCATTCACTCCATAGGTCAGATATTCCTCCAAGTGACTTTCATCTGTTCTTGCTCTTGAAGAAGTTCCTGTAAAGAACATGTAGAACGCAAAATAAGAGAAGAATATTGTGGAGAATTAGCAAATAATATCTTCATAATCATCTTTAAGCTTTGTTGTATGAAATTTCTGTGATAAATTTGAAACTTTAACGCTCTTCAACTCCAAAATAGTTAGCAGTTTTAAGAAAATTAAAGACTAATACCTTAACAGTTATAATTCAACATTAGTGTGAGATAATTCTAAAATAATTTTGAACGGAATCTTGCGCTATATTAGCACAGTGTGAGAGAAACAGCTAAAAAGGGTAAACACGTGTTTTACTTTAAAACTGAGGTTGAACAGTCAATCTATATTTAGATTTGAGATTATCAACGTTCAATTCAGAACTTGTGCAATTTTGAACTTAAAAAAGAAGACAAGAGAACTTCTAAAGCAAGAAATGGGGTAAACCACTCTTCGTGGTGGACAATTTGATGGAACTAATCCGCATTTGCGTTACATGAAGAGGAAAACCACAAAATTCTCCCATCGTGAGCTTGACAGGAAGGGGAACTTATTATTTGTATGTCATTGAGGATAATTAACGTCAGAACTGTGATTCGATTGAATCGGAAGCAGAATTTGTTTCAACCACTGGGATTCGAATCTGGGTCACCTAATTGGGAGGTGAACGTTCTATACTCTGAACTACCGCTGCTCACAGATTAGGGAGTGCCTAAATTAATGTCTGGAAAAATTCTTTGAAACTCGCGTTTTACAGGTGTGAGTCACCTGTAAAACGGTTTAAAGTTACGGTTAAAACTGATTTAAAGATACAGTGCGTAATGATTTTTTTATTTATTTTTATTTCCAATGAGCTGCACAATCGGTCTTGCCGATGAGCAGACCTAGTGCGTTCTCCAGAAGTGGTATCCACTCTTTCAGGACCACCACAATGGGTGAGATACCGTTGGTCATGTTAAATTGGACGTCTAGTTTCTGCCACACTAGATGGCAGCACCGAGACTCTATTTGGATGCTAAAGTGCACTAGGAATTTAATTTTGCCGGAAATGCCATGAGCCAATAAGGCACTCCAGGGATCTCTTACGTGGCGCATAATCATACGACATGGCCTCTGAGGATTTTCTGCATCCCGAAAATCCGGTGTCTGGGCCGGGGATCGAACCCGCAGACTTGGGCTCAGAAGGCCGACGACAAACCAACTGCGCCACCCAGCCACTGCGTAATGATTTTAATAACGTAATAGCAACTTGATATTTCCTATACAGTTAATCTTTAGATTATATTCATCACCGTGATTCCAACCTGGGTCACCTCATTTAAAGGCGAGAACTTTATAAAGAATATTATATTTAAAATCTTCATTCTTGATTTTGGGATAGTTAACACTTTTAATTATCCCAAACATTAAAAACTTAACATTAAAAACTAAATTTAAAAACTTCGCGTTTGAAATATCAGCACAAGTAGCAAGTTGATAGAACTCAGCGAATAACTCCTAAAATATCTATCATTTAACTTGCTGGGGAGTTATTTTTTGAATAATTTTAAAATGTATCGATATGAAAGAAAAAATGAATTTATTTTTTCGGTTTAATCCGGTACGTAAGTTCACCAAAGTTTACACGATATTAATGTTCAAAATGTTCAACAGTTTTAACACTGATAAAATTTTAACAACATTTGGTGTTAAATTAGTTTCACATGTCTAATCTTTCGTGTTTTTTTTTCTCTTTTGGTGTTAATATTAGCATTAAAGGAAATTAAATGTTCTTTCAGAAAAATGTTATATCTGATCGGTGACCCTGAACGTCGACTCTTCAGCCATGACGACCAAAAATCACCGAACTTCAGCCAGCCCTTCAGCAACATTCAGCGGAACTTGTAATACATTCAGCTCAAGCAACATGCGACTTTCCATATCTAAATGGCTTGTCTCACTTCTCTTGGCGCATTTTATATCGGCGACGATAGCAGGCCATGGCGACGATCGTACTCAGGTGTACAATATCGGAGCCGTGCTGTCCATAGGGGACAAAATTCAAAACTTTCTCCAGGCAATAGAAGATGTGAATGAAGATATCAATGTTCTTCCTCCAAGAGTTAAGCTGGAAGGAGTGTCGTTGCCAATGGACAGAAATCCTATAAGAACGGCTCAGAGTGTTTGTGAGCATCTAATATCAGCTCAAGTAAGCAATTCTTTCAATTTTTCAATTAAACTTTTTCAATCTTCCAATTTTTAAATTTTCAAATGTTACATTTTTAATCCTCCATTGTAATTTTTTTTATTCCCCAAATTTCATTTACTGATCTTCAAAAATTGCTTTTATTTTTAAGCATCCAATGTTTTTTTTTTTTTAAATGCTATTTTTTTTGTTTCCAATAAAATTTTTTATTTTCTCGCCTTATCTTTTTATTTTTTCACTGTCATTTTTGAAATCTCAAACTGTTATTCTTTAATCTTATAATGTTACTTTTTAATCTTCCTATGTTATTTTTTCATATTTAAGTGTTACTTTATTCCTTCAATGACTTTTTTTGTCTTTCAATGTCATTTTTCAATCTTCAGGCTTTATTTTTTTTATATTAGAATGTCATTTCTTAATCTTAGACAGTTGATATCTCTAAAAAGTAATAATTTTTTTTTCTTCCAATATTTTTTTTTTAATGTTACATTTTAATTATTCAATGTTATTTTAAATTATCTATTGTTCCCGTATCTTCTAAAATCAGTTTTTCTTACTCTTTGACTACCATTAGTAGAAGGATTTTAGAAGTTAAGCAGCTAATATCATGTAATCCAATGAGCATCTAATATAACTCAATAGTTCATTGCGTTTCGTTTAATCTTTTCGCGATAATTCTCAATCTTCCAATAATATTTTTAATTCTGAATTGCTTTTAATTTTCACTCTTAGAATGTTTTACTTTATATACTATTACTTTTTTTAAGTTCCAGTTCTTAGATTCCAAATTTTCAAATGTTTTTTTTTCTAAATCTCTAAATGTTATTAAAATGATTTTTGTTTTTTAATATTATTTTTTATTCTTATATTATAATATAATATTTTTATCTCCCAATCCTATTTTTTTGTCTTTCAACGTTATTTTTTTAATCCTCAAGTAATATTTTAGTCTTTAAATGCCCTTTTTTAATTGTCAAGTGATATTTTTTAATCTTTTTATATCACTTTTGTATCTTTCCCATTGTTAATTTCTTTTATTTTCCAATGTTATTATTTTTTTTTATCTTCTTATTCAATTGCTTCCGTCAAATAATGTTTTAATCTTACAATACTTTTTTTTTTATCTTAGAATATTATTTTTGTAATCTTCAAATACTTGTTTTTAATTTTCCAATGTTAATTTTTTAATTGTACATACTAATTTTTTTTAATAAATAAATGTAAATTTTTATTATTTAATAATTCCATATCTTCTCAGTTCAGTTTTAAATACAGTTAGTTGCTTTCCTGTATGAAAGTTACATTTTTAATGCCCTAGAATAAAAAGCAACGCTAAAAATGTAGAATCTCGTTATTTTAAATAGCCTTTTTTTCCTATTGCTAAAATTGTATTATATTTCTTATTTTGTAGTACAAAGTTTCTATGAAAGTAATAACTGACAAAATGCTTGCATTTACATTTGTCTAGAAAAAACCACAGGTTAGGCTAAAGTATATATATTATTTTTAATATATACATTTAATGTGTTATTTATCCTTGGTTTGTTCAAAACTGCTTGCAGATTGTTTTGTTTTCTCTTTTAATATTTTTCTATTTTATGAAGTTTCTGGAGCTGTGACTTCATATTTAGTGAGATAATTTCTACCTGTAGTATCACTTAAAACGTCAAATTAATGTTATTACTGATGCTTAGAATACGGGGCTTCTATATATAATCTAAAAACTTGACGTAATATTATCGAAGTAAAATAAAAAGTAAAATTTTCAAGCAAGAGTCTAAAAGCTAAGCAATTTTGATTCATCTGAACAATAGAATAAATAATTACACTCAATTATATAAACAATGAACACTATTATGAATTATTGCTCCTTAGAAATTATTTGTTTTTCTTTTAATTTTTTTCTTTTAATTCATTTTCTATTTTATGAAGTTCACGCAGGTATAAACGTTACTTATAGTGAGATAATTACAGACTGTAGCACCGATTAAAAACGTAGCTTAGAATAAGGAGATTCTATGGAATCCTTAGTAAGACTTTCAAAAAAATTAAAAAAATTTGAACTCAGCATTCAATCAGAGTACTTTAATTACATATGGTCGAAAAAGAGAGCTGCTTCACTTAAATGACTAAAACAATAGCCATTTTTTTATTTTTCATTTAAAAAATTATTTTTACAAAAATTGAGGTTAGTTAACCCACACTTTATTTTTTCTACGTAAATACGCTGACATTTTTCTCTCAATCTATACCCTTTATTATGACCCTATATTATTACTTTACCCTTAATCTATACCCTTTATTTAATCTATACCATTAATTTGGGTGTTCAACTTAATGTTACAATTTATTTTGTTACGCTAAGTACAAAACTAATAAACTTAAAATTTCGAGGGTGGGTTGACACATGTACAAGGAGTACAATGGAGCAAAAGAAAACTATAATTGTATAATTAGTTCGATAACTATTAGGTGTTAAACTATTAGGAAGAAATATCATGTGGGCCGCTCTGTGGGCATCAAGAATGAGAAATACATATTTGAAAATTGACATTTTTTATTAAAAATCTAACGCTAGCTTTTTTCAAGAATTTTCATCTCTTCGAAAATTACTGCAATTCCTTTTTTACGTTTAATTTTATTTTGGTTGCTCAAAACCTATAAGAACTTGAAATTACGAAGGTGTGTCGATAAATGTACAAAGAATTAAATGAAATTTTAAAAAAAAAATTATTCAATTATTAGTTCTGTGATTACCAACTGCTAAACTTGCAGTAATCATAAGCCATGTTGAGGGATTCATTGCAAATATCTTGGGGGATTAATGCGAATATAGTGCGGCGATTTAACGTGCTGAAATGGCTATTTTCCTTCATCTTATTAATTTTGCACACTTTTTTTGTTTTCGAAATTCATCTTTATTTTAAAGTGATTGCAATTTTAAGTGTTTTTAAGGCTCATGTCCAAGTGGTCGTGAGTTCGATCCCAGCTGGCCAAGGATTCCCTGTGTAGTTAATGGTGACTGGTACACGTTAAATCTGCTGGGTCATAAAGTCCTTCGTGTTCCCAATACATATCCATGCCTCTGGGGATACTGAATTAGATATTGATCGTTCTCTGGTTCACGTCAAAATTACGATATGTGGTTGAATGAATGGGACCCCTCTGTAAACGGGCTATGACGTGTGTGTGACCGAAGTCAAATTCTTGGTCATTGACCCCACCACGGAAAGACAAGACACGCACTTTCTGGCTAAATTTTCTTGGTATTAGAAAGCAGGCTTGCTGATATTGGCAAGTGGCATTAGAATTTTCATCCTATTAGTTTTCATACGCTTAATTTTAATTCATTTTTTTTAAATTTATATATTTTCCTAATTTTCTGTTTTTTTCCCTTTATCTTCCTAAATTTACGTTAGTTTCAATTTTGTTCTACGCTTCTGTTTAATTCATTCTATTAACTGACTTTTGTATTCATGATATTAATAAGACAAAATCTTCCTTATTCATTTTTGTTTTTATTTTTCATTCAAATTTTTTCTCCAATTAATTATGTATTATGCGAGCTAGATTGGTAGCCGGACGTGGATTATACGGTTAAGGGTTTTGCAAGCCTAGATACGTGTCCACGACTGGAAGAAAAGAAAAAAATGGCATTAGAAACAACAAAAACATAATTTTGAAAGCAAGAACTTTCGCTAAACCGTTACCATATAAACAGAAAAATTACTAAATGAATGGTTTAAATACCTATATTTCAGTTTTATTATCAAAAGTTTAGAACTCTTACCAGAAATGTCTTTACATTTCTGGCATATTTCTGCTGTCTTTACATTTACTATAATGTCTATTCATTAATGAAATTTTTCTCCGTTTAGTTTAGCATCTAACTACAGCAATAGCACTTCAAAACGTACAGATACATTGGACCATTTTGAACCAAATCTTAACTGGCTCTCAATTACAATTCAATATAGTGAAACGTTGAAACCTGCTTTAGATAGTGGGATTATTACTTATGTTACTTCGTAACTAGAAATCTCCTTTCATTCATAACAAAACTGTCAAACTTTTTGAATAAGAAAAGTAAAATTGTAAATTTTCCCTTAATTAAAATCATTGAAAGTGCTGAAACCGTTACTTAATGTAAAGTTGAAATTGGATTCTATCTTAACTGAAAGACTGTGTATTTTCGTACTTTAAAAGTAAGTTTTTGTTGTTTTCGCAGGTATATGCAGTTATTATCAGCCATCCTACTGCAGGGGAATTATCACCTGCAGCTGTTTCTTACACTTGTGGATTCTACAACATTCCAGTAATAGGTATCAGTTCCAGGGATTCGTCTCTCTCCGACAAAGTAAGGAACCAAATCAATTGCTGACCTATAGTTTCTCTAAAGTAAGAACTCCCCTAGCTATTCGTCTGGACCCGTGGCAGTGACTATGTTAACGAGGAATAACTATTTTAAGTAGGGGTGTGGGTCACTCTTTAGGACAGATTTTGGCTCAGATCGGCGAGGGAAAGGGAATCGTTTTCTTTGGTTGTTTAGCCTTAGAATGAAGAGAAGCTACCCTCCCTGAAATGAGCTATTCTTGTTTCCATAGCAGCAGACCACCTCAGACTTTGTGGTGGGAGAAGTTCTTACCGTAGACAAACTATAACTGTTAATCAACTGCTAATTACAGCTGTTTTCAAAAACTGTTTATAAAAGTTATATTTTATCACCACTCAATTTATTTTTTCCAGAAAACTTAAAAACATAAAAAATGTGGCTAGTCATTGTTTTATAAAACGGATTTCAATTTATGCATTTATTACTTTGAATGAGACATTTAGAGCACAAAGAAAAAGAGTTAGGTCTAAAAATTGTTAAGAGAAAAAGAACTATAGATATTTTCGAAATTTATTAATTGCAGGTTACACCTTCTACGCAATTTATTAATTGCCAATTTAACTTTAAATATTTGTATTTCTAAAAGAAAATTCAGATTAAATTCCTATGGCTGTTGTCGTCCAATTCAAAGTATTGCAAAGCTTTGCAATCATATTCTTCTTAACGATTAAATAGGGTAAAATGAGTTTCAATTTCTGTATAAATTACAGAATTTAGTTTTATAAAAGTGGCTTCAACCCCTCACCTAAAAATGTACCCCTCCTACTATAAAAGTCCCAATAGTGTTCTGGTCCTTTTCTCCTAATAAAGTCCGAAATGTGTCTTATTAAAATATTTGATTGGTTGTCAAACTTTGTTGCAAATATATTTTCAGGACAAAAATACCATTAATTTGTTTTGAATATATTAATAAGACTTAGCAAGCTCCTATTCACTTAAGAGAATAAGATCGCTTAAGATAAAATTTTCTTTTAATATGTTTTCTTGAAAAAAACAATACTCTACATCAGTGATTCTCAACCACTGTGCCGCGGCACTTTTGTGTAACGCCAAATTCTTAAAATGTGCCGCCAAATATTAGAAATTATACAATAAAAATGAAAATGATTTTTTTTTATTATGAGTAAAGTTTAAATTAAAGAAAAGTGTATATATATAATATTATATGCATAATATTACTTTTTATAGTGTTTCCACGCTTTAACCGCGTGAACATCTTTGTTGGCGATTGTCTTGTCTCTGACAATCTTAAAATAAGATGGAAGTATTTAAATTGTATATGACACACAATTTTAAAAAATGTTGTAAGAGCTAATCATTAAAGTAAGCTATGCAATTAATAAGCAAATTAACAAAGGATAACTAAAAAAACAAATATATAAAACCAAATTAACAAAGGATAACTGACGAAAATTGAGCTAACAATTANAAGCTAACAATTAATAATTACCAAAAAAACTAGTTTACAAGAAATCACAAAAAATAACAGTTAACGTAAAAAGAAACTAACAGTTAATAACTATAGAAGACAAGCTAACAATTAATAACTAGCAAAAAATAAATAACTCTTACTAACTAATAAAAAATTAGTTGAAAGAAAAAATTAATCCCTTAATAAACGTGCTTCTGTAGTACATATTATTTTATTTCACATTCAAAATTATTATCACGAACTATTTAACATAGTGCATAACAGGTAATTAAACAACTTTTAATCTAACTTTTTTCATTGTGTGCCGTCAAATTTCGAAATCGTTAAAAGTGTGCCGCACCAAAAAAAAGTTGAGAATCACTGCTCTACATTTTTGTTACATATTACAATAAGAATGAGCAAAACCCTATTTATTTAAGATAATAAGAATCAATTAATATGATAAAATTTGTTATAGATATGGTATTTTTTTAGAAAAAATACTTTATATTTTTGTTGAATATTACCATAAGAAAAAGCAAGGTTCTATTTACTTAATTAACACAATATCAAATAGATATCAATATCAATATCAAATAGTACTATTTTTAATGGAACGAAACAAGTCCTTGCTTTGGCTGATGATGTATTATTGATTGAAAGAAGAAAAAATGCACTTGTTGACCATTTTAAAGACTTGACCAAAGAAGCTAGCCTTTTTGGTTTAGAAATAAATATTGATAGGACGAAATACGTGATAATGGATTCTGAAGGAATGGATATGGACACAGAGCTACGAATTAATGAAATGACAAAATTTGAAAGAGTTAGGGAATTTAAGTACTTGGGTTCAGTTTTGTCAGAAAACAATGATATTATGCCAGGCATTGAGCAAAGACTAACTGCTGGAAATGGCAGTTTTTTTTTTCACTGAAGAGATTGCTAACATCAAAAGTAATAACGAGGAAAACAAAGCTTCAGGTTTATAAAACTATAATCAGATCAACCGTTATCTATGGATAAGAGACATGGACTCCAACCCAGAAAGAAGAAAAAATGCCGATTACCAGGGAAAGAAAAATTCGTGGAACTATTTTTGGACCTGTCAAAGAGGATGATCTGTGGAGAAGACGATGCAATTTCGAAACTTCAAGACTATTTCAGGAAAAATATATAATCAATTATATGAAAGCAAAGAGAATTCAATGGCTAGGACACCTTGAGAGAATGGAAGAAAACAGAGGCACTAAGAAGATATTCAAGGGGCAGTGCCAGGGCCAAAGGAAAAGAGGAAGGCCGGCCAAGAGATGGTTAGATGAGGTGAAGAAAGATCTTAAGATTCTAAAGGACCGAAAGTGGAAATAAAGAGCTAGAGACAGGCGACTTTGGAGAAAAGTTGTTAGTGAGGCCATGGTACAACCAGTCCCTAAGCATTAGTTAGCTTTGTATGTATGATGCAATATCGGTACCTAAGAAAACGGTGGTTACGCTAACATACAGGATTGTTTACAACACGAGTTCAATTTGTATAAATCGTTAACAGGTTTATAATTAATTTTGTTAAAATATAACTTCTTCAGAAACAAGTGCTGTTTTTAGTGCTTATTTTAAAAACAGTACTTTTCTCTCTNGAAAAAAATTATTAAAATTGTGTATTTTAAAAAAAAAATTATTTAAAAGAAAATTATGAAAAAATCGAAAATCAATATAATTAAAAGATGTAATCTCGTCACACGATTACACCTGTAAAAAGGATATATATATATACATACAGAGAGAGAGAGAGAGAGAGATTCACGGTTGGATAAGGACTTAAAGCTTCAAGATATCCCGTTTAGAAACAATAATCAAATAAAGAAATAATAAGTAAATAAAAGTTCTGTAATCAGTATCACCGATTTGACGGCAGCGTCAACTCATGTTAGAATCTATTGAGACAATGCGCCTCAATAGATTCAAACGATTCGATAGACTGAATGCCCTATTTTATTGTTGCTGTTGCAATGCTTAGGGACTTCTTGGGACATTTATTGGTAAATTAGTTGCCAAACAACGACACAAATTCCAAATATCTTTATGTTATTGTTAATAAAATTGCTGGATTCATTATCACCGATTTGGCGTTATCGTCACATCACGTTTGAATATATTGAGACAACGCATCTCAAAAGAGTCAAACGTTCCATTTTATTGCTTCAGTTGCATTCTTAGGCACTTGTATTTCAAATAAAATTTGAAACCAAGAAATTATTTAGTTTACCAGTATCATATTGGTACGATTTTACAGTAAATTAAAGTGCTGTAATTAGTGACGTGATGACCACTCATTTGACGTTATCGACTCGTCACGTTAGAATCTATTACAATAGCGCGACTAAAAATCAGGGCACGTTTCAGACGTAACAAAGACCAACCTAAATCACATATAAAAGGGAACTCATCTCCGTATACCGATTCCCTAAAAACAACATCGAAGCATTCAAGCATCCATTTTATTGCTTCAATTGTATCACATCTTCGGCAGTTGAAAGCGTTATTTCGAAAAACTGAGATTGTCTTTACTTCAGCCCAAACACTCTCTATAAATAGAACAAAAATCCCATCAAGAGGACTATCCCTCTCTACCCCCGGTACTTCTCTGGAAAAAAGCAGGATCTTGGCTGGCTGCCAGCATTCTCCGGACCAAGTCCGTATTGATTCCGGCGAACTTCGCTTCACCATGGAAACCAGGATTCGTTCTCCCATTCCGGTTTTCAATTTCCTGCGCAGCATCTCCAGATTATCGTGTGTAAATTCCTAATTTCGAACTTTATCAACGGCAAAGTCGTTTGTTTTCATTATCGTTGACAAGTTCGAAACTCTGCACCGCCTTAGTTTGTTCGAGATGTTCTTATTGTTGACATCTAAATTAGCTTCGAGGGGTGTCCAGAAAAGGGTTTTGGAGTAACTTGTTTTTTTTTTATGATAACATTCGAGGGAAAGATTTTATTAATAAATAACTCAGAGTTATGGTAGAAACATTGTTCAAACAAAACTTTTATGGCTATAGCTTTGTCATCATTTTAGTTTTCCTGCATTAATTCTGACTTTTCGACATATTGGAATTTAAAGATTTCTGTAACATTATTAATTAATATCATAACGACCAATTTAGAAGCTATGTCAAAAATTATCTTTTGATATACTAATATTACACTGTAATTTGACAAGAATTTATCATAGCTTGGTCTAAAAGTGTGACAATTATTTCAGACAAATTATAAGTTAACATAATTTTTTTTTCATACTTTAGCATTAACCTACGCAGTATCTCCAAATTAAAGGAAATAAATTTCTCATTTCAAACTTCAAAATCAAATTAGTGAATTTTCATAGCATTCGGCATTTTCATTTTCAATGTAATAATCACTCATTTCAACCAAAGTATTAATTATTTCACAGATTAGGGTTTGATCTAATTCCATTATTTATGCCTTATTATCTATTATTCCATAAGTATTATCCCTTTATAAAATTAAACCTACTTACATATGATGTAAATGTATCGCATGAATTTGTCTAAAATTACGTAAAAAGTTATTATTTCGGCAAACGTTTTAGACTTTATCATTGGCTATTTCATTTATGTTAGTTTTTCATTATATCTCATTCTCTTCATTAGTTCTATTAGTTTCTTATTTTTAATTTTTGGCAACGAAGAAGTAGTTTCGTTTTCCTCATCTTTGACGAGTTCGAAATGCTTCAGGGAATTAGTTTGTTCGAGATAATCTTATTGTTTTCATCTAAATAAGATTCAAGGGTTGTCCAGAAAAGATTTCGGAGTAACTTTCTTTATATTTCGAGGGAAAAATTAATAACCCTTCTCTATGGTGGAAACGCAGTTCCGTCTAAAATTTTTTGTTTAGCTTTGTTATTATTTCAGTTTTTCTGCATAAATTCTGACTTTTCAAATTATTGAAATTCAAGTTTTTTTAATATTTTAAAATTATCCAGCATTTAATATCATATCATTTAATCATTTATTGTAATATAATATCATATAATCATCATTTTATATCATATAATATCATATAATTTTATCATTAAATATCTGTTAATATCATATCATTTAACTATATTTAATATCATTAATTATCATTTAATATAAAAATTTAATATAAATGTGGCCCAATTACTTATTGCAACGCAAATTAGGGTTTGATCTACATATAATGTGATACGTGAATTGTCTAAAATTATGTTGTAACGTGATTATTTTTCGGCAAATTATTAAAATTATATAAGCATATTTTTTATTCCTTATACAATTTTGTATGTAGCATCTCCAAATAAGTTCCTTATTTCGAAGTTAGGCAACAAATTAATGCTTTTTTATGGTCATTGATTATTCCGAAGATCTGCACCATATTATTTTTTTCGAAGTGATGATATGGAATGCTTGTCAGCTTTTCCCGCTTTTTGCGGGTAATTTTTTTATTAATTGAAACATTTATGAAACTTATATTTTACGATTAAATTTGTCTATTTCAATCTCGGCTATCGTAGTTTTTCTTGTTTTTTATTTAACACTTATTTTCTAATTTTTTGTTGACAATTTTACGTTTTCTGTTTCATTTCATTATTGCTTATTCGCGTCGACACTGTTAGAAATTTCTTGGTAAAATAGTTAAGTACCCATTTATTTAATTTTTATTTGACTATATTCAACCTAAACAGTCAATTAACCATAAAAAATATGCAAACTGTTAAGTTTGAGAGAAAACGTTTATTGGCGGTTTTTACCTAATGCAGTTTAGCAACTAGAAATCAATTCGCTCCAACTAGGCCCACCTTATGAAACTATTTTGCACCGTGCTTTTGAGAACATGATGTAGCTGAGAGGACTAAACGTTCAATCTCATAACCGGCTGAACAGGGGTTCGAATCCCAACGGTGATAACACAATATTTTTCCATTCCTTCAATACAAAAAAAGTATCATGCACTCTTCTATCTGAAGACAATTAGAATACGAAACTATTATTCGCGCCTAAATCTCCAGAGCTCCAATATCAGTTTTATTTTTATGGTTTAAAAACTATGCTAATCGTAAATGATTACAAAACCATATAGTTTTGTATTTACAGTATCTTAACTCTACCAGTTGTAAACGATATCAAAACAGTAAAAATAATGAAGTTTTCCTAAACGTAAATTTTGTGGCTAATCAGGTGGACAGGCTGCTGCCGATTATTTAACTGTAATTCCAGACTAAAAATTCAAACAGTGTAGCGAGTCTTAAGAATGGTGCTTGCGCAAGGAACATGTCGACTTTTTTTTGACATCCTCATATTTTTGAAGCAAACGAAACTACATCATCATCATAAAAATCCTCATCATCAAAGCGAAAATCATCAAGTATATATATTTCCGCTTCAGTGTCTTAGGAACATTCATTTAAAAAAAATTTTTATCAGGCTTTAAATAACTTTGTTTTTGTTTGCATCGTGTAAAAATTTATTTAACTTGTTCTTTATTTTAGAATTTGCACACGTCATTTATGCGAACAATACCGCCTTATTCTAACCAAGCTGATGTATGGATTGAGATTCTCAAGTTTCTTAATTACAAGTGTGTCACCTTCATACACAGCTCAGACAACGATGGCAGATCCACTCTCGGGCGATTCCAGAATTTAGCTGATTTCTCTGGCATCAAAGTAAGTCAAACACTCACATAATGATTTAGTTTTCATTTTACAATTGTTACTTAGCTAATTTTCATTCCACCATTTCTACAAGGCTTGAAAAATTATATAAAAAAATTATTAGGAACTACTTTTGTGAAAAAGAGAAAATAATATTTTCTCTGCCAGAATAAAATTAAGAACATTAGGTGTACCACTTTGGCATAGTGTCGGAACAGTTGATTGTGAAAAGGATGCCATACAGCGGAATGCTCTTTCACATACAAAAGTAATTTGGAATTCAGATAAGAGTAGCTAAATTGTGTTGTTAAGAAGACGCTATAACCGCTGGAAAAACTTTTCATGGCAATTTTAGTTTCACTTTTATTGGAATTTTGAAATTTTAAGTTTTGAGATAAAGGAGCTCAGGTAAACCTAGAATAAACTTAAGCCTGATAGCCATCTTTACAATGATTAAACAAATTATTACAAAAATAGGGAAAATTTTATAAGCTACGTTTTTAAAACAGAGAAGATAATCAGATCTTTCTGTCAGACCTAAAATAAAGAACATTAGGTGTACCACTTTAGCAAGATATAGGAAGAGTTGGTTGGGAAGGGGACGCTGTACTGGGGGAGAAACCCTTAATATTAAATGCTTTTTCACCTAAAGTGTAATTTAAAATTACTTTTTAAGTGTTAGGTGATTTAGAATTACTTTTAAGATTAGATTATCTTCGGTGTAATGTTAAGAGGAATCTATTACAGCTGGAGAAATATTTAATGGCAATTTCAGTTTCACCTTCATTGGCCTTTTGAAATTTAAGATTTTGAGAAAAATAGTTCAGGTAAACCCAATGTAAACCATGATGTTACCAAAACTAACTATACTCTGAACTTTGAAGTTCAAAATACCAATGAAGGGGAAACAGAATTTGCCATTAAAAGGTTCACCAGAGACTGTAGTGTCCTCTTAACGTCACATCAATGCTAACCTAATTTGACATTCGCAACCGCCTGGGATTTATCATTACTGATTGTACGAATACAATAGTGACGCATGCGCATGCTACACTTTCCCAACCGTTGCAGACTTTACATTATATGAGAGTAGTAACACTAAGAAACGATCGCAGAAAGTACAGTCTGATTAGACAACCAGACTTAGTAAAGGGAATGGAACCCAAAGCAAGGCCTAAGTTTAAGGCCTAACCCTTTATGTCGACTGGGTGGCAGATGGTGTGTTTGTTGCTTAAGTAATGGCTTTGCTTTTTCCGTTTTAGACCTGATTAAAATATTATTTTAGTGATCTTGGCTAAATTTTAGTCTACTTTTTTAGCATTTTAATTGTTTTTATTGCTTTCAGGTAGAAGACATCATTGAGTATGAAACAGGAATTACAGAAATCAGTCAAAAGCTGGAAGAGGCTATGGGACGATATTGTAGAGTTTTTATTTTATACGCGAGGTAAGTTTTTTCGCATCAAGTAGTAAAAGCCTAAAAAGTTGCAGCTTGTTTGTTAGGTTGTAAAAAAGTGCTTTTGTAAGATTCTCCAAAAACTTGATACCTTCAGATCTAAAATTCTTAAACACTGAAAGTGTTATAAGAAACCTGAAAAAAAAATTAAACTTTCTCCTTATTAGGCACTTTACTGGTGGAAAAATAAAAGGAACCTAATTTAGCGATATTGGCTATTAATTGGCTCAAAAAATACCAAGAAAATGAAATTTTTTTTATATAATTACTACAACAAAATATTAAAGATACATTTGGACTTAGTTTAAGAAAGAAAATATAGAAAGTTTTTTTTCTTACCAAAATCATCACAATATCACACATAAAGACACTTATTATTTCTTTAAAGAATGTTTTCACGCATAATACAGATGTTGTACAGGAGAATAACTGTAAAAACTGTTACATACCTCAGTTTAGAACTTCAAATCTATGATAAGAACATTAAGTGAATCTGATCTACAACTACTTCATGAATCCAACAGAATGTGGGGAATAAACAGGGAAGACTCTTCAAAAATTTGCTCTTTTTTCGTAAAATTAGGAAACATTTCTGACGCCAGGAGAGTAGCATAAAAACCTTTAAACAACCCTTTAAATTATTCAAAATGTCAAGTTTAATGAAACAATTTAATGAAATATTTTTTATACGGCATTAAACATGCATAATGGGCCGGGATATCAGAGTTAAAAGTACGTTGGGCTCGTGTTTGTGAGTTCGAATCCCTCCGGTTGAAGAATCCCTGTATATTAAATGGTGACTGGTGCACGTTAAATCCGTCAGTGTCACAAAGTCCTCCAAGTCCTCACATCAATACCTCCAGGGTACTGAATTAGAGATTAATTGTTCCCTGATTTAGGTTTAAATTACGTTCTGTGGATGAATGAATGGACGTGTGTGTCTGAAATCTTATTCTTAGCCATAGATGGCACCCCTAAAATAAGAAGGAACTCACCCTCTGTCTTAAATCGCTTATCTTCCCACAGCAGGCTTGTTGGTATTGGCAAGTGGCATTAGTAACAACGAAAACAAGTATACATAGTTAATTAACACTACGCTAAATATTGAAATGTTGGTGTAATAGTTTTAAATAAATTAAATAAGTCTAAGAAAAAGTTTTGTTCTGGACAGGAGGGAGACTTTCGTATTAGGTTCGTTCAGTGACGAAGATGCCTTGATTTCTCAATTATCACAACATAATTGTGAAATAATATCTCATTTTATTTCAGTATAAATTGTTAGAAAATATATCGGATTAGCATTCTTCTTCCTTTTTTGAACAGAGGCAAAAGCAGTAGGAAGTTAATGAAAATGTAACATAACAGAGAATATTAAATTCAAAGCTTAAAGAAAAAGTTTTGGCCGTTGCTTGAAATTAACCTAGAAAATTGGCGTGCTTTAATGCTGCCAAATGGCGATGCGTGGACTATTCGCAGTTTGAATTGGCGATTAATTTTAAAGGGAATTATTAGCCAAAAATGGAATACTTAAAATATAACGGGGAGGGATGATGATCATTGGAGGTACATAACCCCTCCCAATATAAATATGGATACTCCCAGAGAGGGAAAAGGACCGTTTTATGATCCCCGACTCGAGAGTATTCCACCCCTAAGCTTAACTTTAACCCAGTTAGAAGAAGGACTTCAAGTATAAACTTGATGTCTGCTACCGCTTCCGCTACTTTTCTCACACTGGCCTGCGCTTAGTGCCATTAATTTAGTCGCCAAAGGGCTGCATCTCCTATAAAAGTGTGGAGTGTGCGCTCAGCAAACAGGCACATCTTAGTCATCCTAAGTTCAAGTTCAAGTTCCTCAGAGGTATTCGATTAAAGAAGTTAAAAGATAAATTGCAAAGGAAATGGGCAAGGTCTTAGACAAATTTAATGTAGAATCGAGTTACAAATGCAAATCTTATAAATGTAAGTGCATAATTATGTCGAAATATTATTTCAATACGACAGTTTTAAATTTAGGTAATTTAAAAATTTTTTTAGGAAATTGTAAATTAATCTTTTTTATATTCAAGGATGAACATGAAAAAATTTCGCCTTAAAAGTAAAAAAAATGACAATTTTCTATCTCGGACCTATTTTGTGATATTTCACTTGAATTTCGTGCTGTTAGGTGTTTGTAAAATCTTCGTATTTTGTTAGTGAAATATTTTATGTATTACCCATGGGCAAAACGGGTCTTGTTTTGGGTTTGATGGCGTGCGCACTTTATTTGAACGTCATCACACTTTTCAACCATGTTCAAGAGTAGTAAACAGTGCGCATGCGTCGTCATTACATGCGTTGCTATGACGACCGCTGTTGTTCGAAAAAAATTTTTAGAATTCTTTTCTTCTTTTTCTTTTCACCAGCAGTCATTCTTAATGTATTTACATAATAATAATTTAATGTATTTTTATATTCTTTTTATTATTAACTTATAATTACTGTCTTGACGGTGATTTTAATATGAATACTGTGTTTTGCGACGTCTTGAGACACGTATATAGCCAGGATTTGAAAACCAATCCGACGACAAATATCACTTGAGACAGTTTTTGCAACTCGTGATTTGAAATGTTGTGGCGTTTATCGGAGTCAAACCAGAAAAAAAAGCATTTGACAAATGGGTAACCTGTAATCGTAATAAAGCGATCACAATTTTTAAAAAAAAATTTTTTTAGGAAATTGTAAATGAATAATCTTTTTAATATTCATGGACGAACATGAAAAAACTTCGCCTTAAAAGTATAAAAAATGACAATTTTCGGTTTTGGATATTTTGCTTGCTACGTGCTGTTAGTTTTTTGTAGAATCGCCATTTTATTTATATTTTGCTAATTTTATGTATCTATATTTCTTAACAGTACAGAAGACGCCGAAAGTATTTTTAAAGAAGTCGATGCCTTGAATATGACATCACCCGGCTATGTTTGGATTGTCTCTGAACAGGCACTTTTAGCTCCAAATAAACCAGATGGTATGCTCTCAAATGACCATTTGTTTCTAAATTACCAGTGTTTTTTTCTTTTAGTCTAAAATTTTATATTTTACGATTTTTTTCATGCCTTGAAAAATATAGTAATCCCAGATTATGATAACTTCCTGAATAAAGCTTTCGAGATTATAATTATCTCTTGATTGAGGAAGTAATCGGAATCTTATAGTGTACTAAACAACAAAAAGCCTTCTAAAAAAATCTCAATATTATATTATTAAACAAATGCCAGTCATTGGCTATCTATTAGGTCATTAGGCTTCTAGCTCTCCAGTACTTCTTAACAATACAGTCAAAGTCTTTTAGTCCAGAGCACGTGTCCAAATGTGCAGCAGCCATGGCTTGTCCGGAGTTACATAAAAGACAATCTGATGAAATAGTCAGCTTGAGGCGAAATAAATGAGAACGTAGACAATCATGTCCGGTCAAAAGTCTAAACATGGCTACGGCAGTAGCACGGGCTGAATCCAGAACACTGTGAGTTCCACAGAGCACTTTTTAGGACTTATCTCTCCTCAATATTATATAGTTAGTCATGTATTGAATCTAAACTTTAATGTTTGAGCATTTTCAGAAGAGGAATCTTTTTGCAAAATCCCTTCAATTGTCTCATCGCTTGTTTGGTCTGATTTCTTTAATTATAATTCTCTTTAATTCTGGTTTTTTCAAATTATAAAATATAGTCCAGCAGTTACTAAAAAAATGTGTTAGATTATCGGAATTATATATGTACTAAAATATAAAATCCAGAAAAATGATTCGAAAGAAAAGTAATTTTTAAAAGTTTAAAACAGCATACCTCAAATATAGTTGACAGACTTACTTTGCAAAATCAGCTAATAAAGATTTTTCTGATTAGCATCAAAAAGTTGGTAAAAGGTCGGATAACATTAAAAAAGATTTTTTTTAAAAAATTCAAAAATCCTCATAGATAAGCTTTTATCTTGATTTTCTTTTTAAAAATTATTATTCTCACATATTTAATCATGAAAGCAGTAATGAAAAAATGAAAAGTATTAGAATCATCTACTGAGTTAGTTTAAAAATGATTATTTTTGGTAATAGAATCGACAATAACACACCGGTCACTTCTTATTGGACATCAGAAGAAAAATTTATATATTCCAGTAAATTTTATCTTAAAAAATCAAATCTACCTTCTAAATGTATTATAAAATGCATTTCTTCAAATGCATAANATATATATATATATATTCCTGAAGTAAAATATATTTAGGAAAATGCTCATAGGTAGAATAAATAATTGTTTGGTTGCTTTACATGCAGATTTCACTCAAAATCAGTATTTAATTTTCAAAAATCAGTATTAGGCATACACATTTTAAAATTTCTTTTTTTTTTGGAAAATTTTCAAGCTAAGTTCAATGCTTCAAGCAGTAAGTGATTGCTTTTTTTAAGAAAAAATTGTATAAGGAAGAGCCGTGGTTGCTTAGGGAATAGAGTGCTCGCATCCCTATATAGTGTCCCGGGTTCAAATCCTAGCGATTGTTAGTCGGAACGAATTTCGCACCCGACTCGCATTGAAGACAGTGCTGACTTAAAATATCCTCAGTAGTAGACTGATAATGGGTTAAAGGCCCCTTGCTATCAGGCTAACCATGAGAGGTTTTCGTGGTTTTCTCTCCATGTAACGCAAATGCGAGTTACATCAAAATGTCCTCCACGAAAGCCTAATTTCTCCTAATATTACCTTGTTAGCATTACCTTACCTTAGTTACCTTGTCCCTTGTCTTCTAGATGTCTTTTAGGAGTTGAACATTGAAAGTCCTGAACTCAGAATTGTCGAATACATATTTTTCCAAAAAAATAAAACAATATCTGTGTCATTTCAGGTGTGATTGGATTGAAATTAGTGAATTCGACAGATGAGGAATCTCATATTCGTGATAGCGTGACTGTAATTGCAAGAGCATTCCGCCATCTTTACTACAATTCGTCCCAATCAATTGAACCTGCCCCCAAGGACTGCAGTACACACGAAAAAGATTGGGATACAGGACAAAAGTTTATCGGGTAACTCTTCAATTGTTTCTGCTTCGTATTTATTTTGTTTCCAACTAAAAGCTGTTATTTATAAAACAGAAAAGGTTTTTCTGGTGAAATGAAAGTTACTTTTTCTTTTGCATAGTTTGAAAGTAACACTTTTGAAATATGCATCCAAATTTCCAAAAGAAAAAAAAATTTGAAATATACACCCAAATTTTCATATGTTTTTCTTTTTTGCATTTATTGTGTCTGTCATAATCTAAGCTCCTTCTGTAGAGCTGAATATTGGTAATTTAATAGAGATTGAAAGTTTTTTTTAAAATTCTCTCTTTATGTTGCTTTTTAATTTCGTCTGTAGAAAAAAAGAGGGAATAACTTTTACTTAATTGAAATTGATTTTTATAACTGTTGTTACAATCATCCAATCATCATGAAATTTAGTTCTGAATTTTGATTTTCAATCAAAATTCGAGGCTAAATTGAGTCAAATCAAAAGTGAAAATAACCGATTTCATACGCTATATAAAAGAGCAATTGATGGTTCGGAATTTTAAATTATTTCCTGGCAAAAAATGTCTTAATTAGTCTCGTACTTCATAACATAAATGTCCTAATAATTATGTGAAAAAGTAAAAAGTTTCTATTAATGTGATTGTTTTTAATATTTCATAAGTGGGAAGATATTACTTATTTTGCGAATTTTTATTTCCAAGACAAAAATGTACAAAACAAGTGACATAGGAACAATTTTAAAATCGATACACTTTCTTCACGATTTCCAAAATCTTAAAAATGTATTAAATAAACTGACATGACACTGTTGGAAATTCCTTGATTAAATAACAATTTATTGTAATTTCATTTTACCATATTTAACCAAAATAAACAAATAAACACTTAACTGTAAGCTCTGAGAATAATTGTTTATTCACCGCTCTTGCCTAATACGGTTAAATAACCACATTATCCGCTCCAATTAAGCTCAATGCCAATAAAAATCGAAAACGCGCGTTGTTCAAAAGCTGATAGTTAAGCCATGTGATTGGGATTACGAATTCAAATTTTTCTTTTCCATCATCGGATACCTAATAATCTTATAGTAAGAAGAATGTGAGAAACACCTTATGTAGCCATTTAATTCCGTGAAGATGGGTACATACTTTAGATGAGAGGGATAATCTGCTAATTTTATAACATGCTGAACCGAATCCCAGAGTTGGCACAGCAATATTTCCTTCGACGCATGAGTTTACAGAAAAGGCCATTATTTCCTAATCTTTCACGCTTGATAATACCACTAACAAACTAATTTAAGCCACATTCTCTTGACAGAACACATCTCAACCGCAACCTTACTCCCATCGGAAATAACTATATGAACTAAAGAAGTAACTATACAAGTTCTAAATGCTTAAACGCCTTTTTAGATTTTTGAAAGAAGTAACTATACAAGTTCTAAATGCTTAAACATCTTTTTAGATTTTTGAAAGAAGTTACTATACAAGTTCTAAATACTTAAACGTCTTTTTAGATTTTTGAAAGAAGTAACTATACAACATGGGAAGACTGGAAGAGTAGCCTTTGATGATAAGGGGGATAGAGTCGATAGTAATTATGATATCATCAATATCGTCAACAGCAAACTATACACTGTTGGAGAATATATTTACTCTCATGTAAGTTTCATTGAAAAATAACAATTCCATATTTTTAATTTTTATTGAGTAACTCTTGATAATTAATTATATAATTTTGATCGCAGTTATGATATCAATAATATTATAAACAGTGAAAACAAATAACTGCTTAATGATTCATTTGTTTGTACTAATGAAAACGATATCATTAATATTGTACAGGACAGACGGTATTCCGTCAGATGAATAGATTTACTCAAATGTAAATTGTAAAAAATAAAAATGTCTTATTTTATTTAAATGGTAAGGTTTCAGATTTTTTAGCAGTTTTTTTATGATTAATAATTATTGATTACTGGATATTTTCTTAACTTATAAAATTATCAGAGTGACAGTTGAGTTTCTGTAAACATAATAATTTCAAACTAATACTCGCAATAACCCATGTGTAAACTTTCGGTTGTCTGAAATGAAACAAATTTTATTAAATAATTAACGTTCATTGGCGTGTAACAATACAGTATCATAAGAGATAGCTGTGTAATTAACAATTACCCGTATATTTATAAAAGTTAATTTGGGCAGAGCGCAAATGCACTATGGAGGCACCACCACAAAATTTTATTTTCTATCGAATACAGTCAGTTACATAATTGATCTCTGCGAATAGTAAGATCTCTGTCTTATTCCAATGGAAAAAAGATTTTCTCAATCAGTGTGAAGAGTGGTGATCTTCAGGTCACCCCTGACCATATATCAGATTGTCTGGGGGTTTCCAGACAAGATCTTTTCACGAACCCAATTCCACTATTAGACTTTGAGTGACAGATTTCATAGACCTGATTTAGCATTGCTGAACAACGGATATATGCAACAACAACAACATCGAATCAAGTCTGCTCAATTTTCTGTGACCAAGAGACAAGACTTAGACCGGGTTAAATCCAAGGATCTCCATACCAGGTTGAACGCCGGATTTCCATTCTTAAGGCGTTAAACAAGCCTATTGCTTGAACACTACTTGACTAAATTGCCGGCAAAGCTTTCTGAGAATCATGTAGAACAACCTCAAGCTCACAGATAAAGATTGATCAAGGTCAAATCTCTCAGTCAACAGACAAACGCGCCTAAAAAATAGCTACACACCAACCCATCATCTCGTAATCGGTATTCGAACTTTATAATCAAAAACTATTTTATTTTATTTTATAACTGTCGTTGAACAGCTGATCCAATTTTTTGGGTATACGACTGCTAATGTTCAACTGTATTTTGAAGCCAGTCCAGAAGACAAGGGAACTCTTTTATCAAATATTGGAAGTAATTTGCTTTCGTGGAGGACTTTTTAATGGAGCTAACGAGCATTTACGTTACATGGAGAGGAGAACTCCAAAAACCTCCCACTATTAGCCTGCTGGGAGGGGGACTCGAACCCGTGAGTCTTCCACTGAGGATATTTTATGTCAGCACTGTGGTCTGTGCAAGCCAGATGCAGAATTCGAATCGACCAGCCATCACTGGGATTCAAACCCGTTTCACTTCGATGGAAGGCGAACGCTCTATCCTCTAAGTCATCACGGCTTCATCAAAAATTATTGTTGTAGGAAAAGAAAAAAAATGAAGAATATACTTCAAATTTCAACTGTCTCTCTATATCAAAAAAAAATTACTGCTGACGTTGTCACCGAGACTGTTTGAGAAAGTTTTCGCTGGTTGAGTTGGGTACTTCCATTATTTAAAAAAAAAAAACTATTGGATGAAACAATATGAAAATGCTTACATTTCTAGAACAATCTGAAAAAAATTTTTATTTGTGCGGTTCCCAATGTTATTAATTATTTTACGTGCAATTTAAATTTTTTTGCTACGTAATTCAATTAAGGGAAAACTATAAGTCATCTAACTGTAATTATTTTCACCTGTACTATTGTGTCTAAGAATGAGCAAGATGTTTTACTTCGATTAGTTTCTAAATTAACTTTGGAGTTAATAAATAGTTCAAATTGGATAAGTTCCTTGACTTGGAATTTTTGATGTTCACTTCGAGATAATCAGACACTGTAGTTCAAACAGATAAAAAAGTTTATTCTCTTTGAAAGTGGAGACATTTCATCCTTATTCTTACTATAAACAAATAATTTTATGTTGAAATAAATACTTTTAAAACAATTTTTTTCCTTTTAATATAAAATATTTCCTAACAATCACAGCTGTATTTTTAATTTTAGCTTCTTCTTCAAATTAAAAATTAATCAGGAATTTACATTTAAAGATTGAGATTCTAATTGATGTATTAAACCGAACAATCAAATCCCTAAGTTTCTGAAAATTGTGAATTGAATTTTATTATTCTTTAAGATTCTAATTAAATGAGTATAATTTTTCTGGTAGAATTATTTAATTTATTGTTTAAAGAATTATAATTAAATATAACGTTGTCACGTGGAAACTATGAACTGAATCGTTCAAAAAGTCAGCTGCCAAACGATTGTAAATATTTCAAAAGTATAGGAAATTTGGAGCTGGTTCCAAAAGCTCTATGTAACAAAACTCTTCCATTAAAGGTTTCTTCGAATTTTTGGAAGTAAAAAAAAATTTTTCTCAGTAAATTAAACTGCATTGCTCTTAGCTACAATATGTTATATAAGAAGATGCAGTGAAATTAATTATTATAAAAGAGGAGTGATAGTGAAAAATGAGCCGTAATCTTTATTTTAGTTAACATTTGAAATTTTAGAGTTCTCCAACACACAGCTCTGCAAGAAACAGTTGCCGTGGCCAGATGTACTAACAAGATTTTGATTTATTATATATTGTTAAAAGTTCAGATTTGAAATCGAGCTCTTATTGTCAATAATATGAAGCATAAAAGATGACGTGAATTAAGCAAGAGAGAGAGAGAGANATACTAACAGGATTTTGATTTATTACATATTGTGAAAAGTTCAGATTTGAAATCTAGCTCTTATTGTCAATAATATGAAGCATAAAAGATGACGTGAATTAAACAAGAGGAATAGATAGAGAGAGATAGAGATAAAGAGAAAGAGAGAGAGGTATTATCATTAAGTGGAGTAATCAGAGCAATTTCAGTGGTTTGCGAGTGACAACGAGTAGTGAGTAGAACCGCTTAGAGATACCGAAAATTGCAAATGGCAAAATCTATGTCACTGGCTAATTGACCTGTTTACACTTAATCTATGCAGAAAAAAAATTAGAATTAAAACATTTTAGTTAAAACTTTGCTGCTTTCAATACCGTAAATGCAATACTGTACAATACTTGGTAGTATATTTAACCCCGAGTATGTTTTATTGGATGAAATAAAAAGGAATTCCATTATTTTATTTAAAATTCTATAGCTTTTTTACTACTTCGTTGTTTTTAATAATTACACACATACGATCAATGCTAGCGGCCATGAAAGCGCAACAAAACCACGTGGAGTTTAGTTGTCAAAAGCAGGTGGTAGATTCATAATAATCTGGATTGTTTTCTCACAATAAAGACTTCACCCAATTTTGAACATCTTAAATGTAAACTGCAAAATGTTTGGGAATGCATTTTTCTCACAGTAAGATTTTTTGGAAGAAAGAAATGCAATAAATTATTTTAATTTATAATTCTTTAACTTTTCATAATTTCGTTGCTTGGCGTTATAATATTTTGTTATTAATTTAAATAAGAATATTTATAAATAGCCACATACATAATTTGAGCTGTACAATATTTGGAAAGATTATATTCCTCTCGTCAATAATAAGAAGATTAATTTATTTTAAAAAATTAGTTTTTTAGCAGAGTTCATTGTTTGCTTTTTAATAATTAAGGACAATTAAGTTGTATTTATTATTAATAATGTAAATGCAATATTCAGGATCACATTTATCCCTAAACAAGCTTCTTTGAACTGAAAAAAGAATAATTCATTTTTAAAAGAATAGTTAAAAGTATCTCTTTGTTGCAAAAATTATCAATGGTGAATCTCTGTACTTATTTTTAGATAATTATGGAAATGACTTTAACACTAAATGTTCAAGATATTGTCTGGCCTGGTGGTGAAACAAAAAAGCCCCGAGGTTACATCGTCCCAACACACTTAAAAGTAAGTTCATTATTTAGGAAATTTTACTTTTATTTTATTGATTAAAAGATACAGTGAAGTTCCTCTCTCAGTTCCCGTAGAAAGATTCACTGTATGGGGAATTTCGTTAAACTGAGATTAGAATTTCTTGCACGTGTTAATGACAGCATTACAAAATTTCTAGTGGGGACGATAGGTTAAAATGTATATGCGAAATATATGATTTTTACTTAAATATGAAGCAAGATATATTATGAAGGAATGAGTACTGCATTTAATGCGTGATTTCCCACATCATAGAATTTATTTGTTATGGATTGTAGCTGGAAGGAAATAGGAGAGTGGTTTTGAAAACGGGCACGAGAACAAATTACGGGCACAGAAATACTAACTTTACTTGTGACTTACAAAAATTTCACAATTAAAAAACTTAATCATCTGAAAAATTCAAGAATGACGAAAACCAAAAAGATAAACTTTTGAAAAATTTCCAGAAAGATTAAAAAAAAAAGATAAATGTCACGAAATTTTAAATATGATAAAAATTGAAAGGAGAAACGTTCAAAAAATTCCATCAATGAGGTAAATTACGAGTAAAAAGATTAAAATGTGAAAAGGTTCAAATATGGGGGAAATTAAAAAGGTAAACGTCAGAAAATTTTAAAAAATGATGAAAACTGTAATTGTAAACACTTGAAAAATTTCAACAATCAGGTAAATTAAAAAGATAAAAGTTAAAAAATGTTAAAAAATTATTCAAATTGATAATCATCTGTCAATTTTTTAATTTGAAGAAAATTGAAAAAAATAAACGTATTGAAAGTTCCGAAAATAAGGTAAATTTAAAAGATGAACGCGTGAAAATTTTTAAAAGTGATTCAAATTGATAAGACAAATGTTTGAAAAATTCCAAAAATTACGCAAATTAAAATGTGAAATATATATATGCACTTTTGTCAGTGTGAAAATTTTCAAGAATTATGCCTGAGAAATTAATTATAGACAGTCTGGGAAATGAGGAGTCTCAGAAAAAGTGATGACTGAGTAATTCCTAATCGGGAGTCTGACAAATGATTAGTCTGAGAAAAAATGAATCTTGACAAATTTATTATAGAGGAATATATCACTGAGTTACATGAAGAATATTTTGAAAATTATCAAACGTTCCTCTAAAAATCTTTTTTATGAGGAGAAATTTGCTGCAGGAAACTTCGTTGAAAGGTGACTCTAGTGCAGGGTTCCTTAACCTGTGGTTCATGAACCCCTAAGGGGTCCATGACTTATATTTTGGGGTCCGCTGACTACTCCTAATTTTTAAAACGTTTGGAAGCCTACCTATTGCTTGTAAAGGGAGTTATGGCAACTATAATTCCGTTTGCTACAGTGTATCTTTGCGAAGCGGGATTTTCCACAATTGTGACAATAAAAACATAACATCGAAATCGATTGAATGTTGAACATGATATGACCGCTTGCTTTGTTGAAAACCATCCCCCAATTCAATTTGTTATGTAAGGAAAAGCAGCAGCAACCTTCACATTAAAAATTTTAATTTTAAAAATTTTGCATACTATTAAAATAATAAAATTAAATGTTTTCAGATAATTGGGTATACTATAGCCTACGTCACAGGTTGTGCTATTCCTACTAAATTTAACCCATGAACGGCATTTTCTGCGAGCCTAACTTCAAGCCACAAATAAACAAACGAAGTGTTTGATCGTTTAAATAGCTGCTCGCCAGATTTTATTGCATTATAAAGAAAAGTAATTGATATTCGATTTTTGATTAATAATTGATTTATGTGGATAGTGGCATNCGTTGACGTCCCGCTGACGCCCAGATAAGGCGCTTGTCCTAAGAAACCAGACCTTAAGAGGGGTTGGGGATATCTTCTGAGCATCACGTTGCAAGGCATCCCAAATATGTTCAATAATGTTCATGTCTGGAGATTTTGGTGGATTTCCGATACTCACGGTATACTCGTGAAATGGTCATACGTGAAAATCCAAATTTCATTGCTATCTCGGAGATGCTATGTCCCATCTTCCGTGCGCCGACTATAACACCAGGTTCAAACTCACTTAAATCTGTATAACCTGCCATTGTAGCTCTAAGAACTGTGCTAGACACTCGTTGTCTTATATATGCGTTGCCGATCGCAGCGCTGTACTTTGATTGGCTCCATATTTGCATACTCATGCCTGTACCAGTTTTTTTGCCTCTTCAGTGTAGTTCAATGTGAAATAAAGTTGCAAAAAAACTTTATTATTTTTTGAAAAAAATAACAGACAAAATTGTCATTTTCAAACAACAGTCAATGGAAAGTCAACAGGTTTGTGTTAAAAAAACAGCTCAACGCCAAATAAATTTACAAAATCTAAATATTTTTGATGATAGAAGCCGTATTAAAACAGTAATATGTATTTGCCTTAACAAAGACATCAATACATATATTTAAAATTAAATACCATGTATCAAAAATAACTTTGCTAATTTATTGCTGTTATTTTTACCCCATTTGCAAATTTGGTGTTTTTTACTGTTTTTATAAAAGTTTAAAACAAAAGATAAAATCTTTTCTCGTATACAAATTGATTTGTAAGATTTTAATTAGAATAACATGTTTTCAAATCTTCTTTTCTATATTAACTGCGAGTAAATAAATGGAGGTATTTATGAACTAAAACCGTAATAGCTCATTGGTTAAAGTCTCTGAAAAGTAACTGGAATTCGAATCTCATATCTCAGTGGTAGCTCAAAGCCCACCCAGCTTCAAATAGATTGTATAAGATCCAGTTTCAGATCGCATACCTACACGGGGAAAAATATTCTGGTAAAATTACCGTAGTGTATGATTATGAAACTTTTGGTAAAAAACCACATTCCAATTAATAAAATTAAAATAATTAAGCCTTTCATTTGGTAATTTTTCCACTGACATAGTGACAGCTCACAGAGGTTTTCAATATTTTAATTTTTATTACCACAGATTTAGTAAAAAATTTAACAAAATAAACACTTAAAAGTAAATTTAAAACCAAATAAATGGATCTTTTTTGCAATGCTCTTAGGTATCATGATAAAATTAACAAATTTTGCCTTATTTACCAAATTTCATTATAGATTATAAATCTAAATTTATTATTAATTTTGCTAAATTCTTTACTAAAGCACTTTTATAAAAATTACCAAGATTTTTAATGTTTCCACTGTTAATGTACTCGGAAAAAATTATCGCATTTTGGAAGTTTTGTTCATACTTTCTTAACAGTATGGGAGGCAAAAGTGGCTTCAATGAAATGTTGACTACATTACCACTTATCAACCGTTGATCACGAAAGTGTGCAGTGCAAATCTCCATGAATTTCTAGGCCAAATATAAGCTATTGCAAAAAAGCTTTATGTTTTATTAATTATAAAATAGTTTATTTAGAGTTTAATTTTATTAGAAATTTTACCAATTATATTTCTTTTTACAGGTGATTTAGATATGTATTGTTGTCGAGGCTATTGCATGGATTTACTGAATGCTTTAGCCAGCGAGTTAAACTTCACGTACAACTTGTATCAAGTTGAAGATGGCCTTTACGGAAGTTTCGATTATGTAAATTATTTTAACTCATTTTTTTTTGCAAAATGCCAGCCAGTAATCCAAAATAGCAAGTATTAACTTTATAATTTTTTTCCAGGTAAATGGTTCTGAGAAAAAGATATGGACAGGTATGGTGGGTGAATTAGTTTATGAACGAGCTGATATGGTTGTTGCTCCCTTGACCATAAACCCTGAAAGATCTCAAGCAATAGAATTTTCTAAACCTTTTAAATACCAAGGAATCACCATTTTAGAGAAAAAGGTATTTTGATTAAATAAGCAAAATATTGACAACTTTAAATGAAGTGATTTTTTAAACGTTTTATTGAAATTGTTATGTTGCTCAAAATATTGTTCGCACCGATTTATAAATTGATATCATACAAACTAACAGGCGCCTGATCACAATACAAACTGTTATGCGGATTACTGTTACTGCTATACAAGTTGTATTGCTAAATAGAATGATCATATATGTAGATGTTGTTAAACAAAGAGGTATACAATGCAAAGTATGAGAAGATATAAATTGGTTAATATTGACTTATGAAAAATTTGTTGTATTAAAAATAATGATTACATTTTGTCATCAGCTGCATCATACATAATGACAGCTTAAAGTTATTTTTTCTCAATAAAGTTGGATTCTGTTTTCCTACATAGTTAAAAATTTCTCAGAAAAAATTGTTAAATAGCAATTTATTCAACTGTTATTTTACCATATTCAAAGAAAACAGTCAAGTAACTATAAGTAACGTGGTAATTCTGTTAACAGTGAGAAAAATAGTTTATTAACTGATTTCGCCTAATACTGTCAAACTACCAGAATTTAACTAAGAATGATATTAATCAGAATTAAACCTGAAATGATCTGAACTAAGCTCACCTAATAAAACCACTTAGTTCCATGCAACTGGGTATAAATCGGAGCCAGGAGGGCTAATCTCTCAGTCTCACGACCGACAGAACTGGGGTTCGTGCCCCAGCTTTGACAGATTTATCTTCAACGCATGAAGAGTTATCAGTGTTCAGTTCACTCCAATTTGTGCCCTGCATTCTCTATTGCCTAGTATTTAACTAAAAGCTAAGTTCCAAGTCGATTAAAAAAAATTTATGATTTTGAAACCATGCTATTTATAAGTGGTTAAAATACCGTATAAGTTCTGTATTCCTGGTTTTATTACCATACAAGTTGTAAGCGATTTCAAAACCGTAAAGATAAAAAAAAACGTTCTTTCCCGTGAATGGACAGATAGCTGCCGCTTATTTTACCATAATATCAGAATGAAAATTCTAACAGTGTAACTGGAGTTTTAATTTTAAAAATAATTCGCAAAAATTTTTTCCTTATGTCTTAATACGTTTAAAGGTATAAAGATATCTGATTTATGCTTATGTCCATTTTGTTTGCAATCTTGGAAAAAATAATTTTTAAAACCTACTGAAGAGAATGTGTTATAATAAATATTAAGGGTCTTCTTGTTAGAAAAAAAACTAAATATAAACGAGAGTTTATGAGGAAGAAATAAACGAAACGAGTGAATTAAAGGTAAATGTAACTGTGAATATTAACAACAACTTTACCTCAATTGATGACAGTACTGCACAAGAAATATTAAACAGTGTATTGATTTATTATATTTTACATTTTCTACAGTTAATATTTAGCTTTTTCTACAGTACACTAATTGATAACTATTAATAGCGAGTAATAAATTGTTTAAACAATTATATCTGTATTAGGAAACTTGTTGTAAGCGATTTGAATGTACCATCGGTATTTTTATTATTAATTTTTTTGCATGATTCAGTAAAATATGATTTATAATTTTCTTTCATATTTTTTATTGCACACAATTTGCAGTCAAACAAACCATTTATTTAACACTAATTGATACAGTAAAAAAAATCCTTCCCTTTTCGGTTTTGCCAGTATTTTACTTTTCATTCAGTTAATGAATTAATTGAATCGAAAAAGAAAAGCATCAAGTATGATGTTAATGGGACATAAAAAGGCGCATAAATTCTTGTCAATTTTGTTTTATGAACAGCAAGAAGTACGATGTTTCTTTTTTATTCAATAAATAAATTAATTGAATGAAAAAAGACAAAAACGATAAAATGTAAAGTAAAAATGATAAATATTCTTTTCTTTTTTATGAATATCAAAATTTTTATTCATTTAATAAATTAATTAAATAGTAAAACCACGGAGTAATACGGTAAGGCAAAGTAAAAACGAAAAAAAAATTGTCCCGGTTGCTTTTTTTTAACATCAAGATATTCTTTTTTATACCATAACATTTTTAGATAATATTTATGAATAGTTTTTGTATACCTATTTAAAACAATAGTATAAAATGTTTAAAATTTTTAAGCAATGGAATAATTATTTTCTGAATATTTTAACAGCATCCCAAAAGTTCAACTCTCGCCTCTTTCTTACAACCTTTCCAAAAGACATTATGGATTCTTGTTATGGTATCGGTTCACGTCGTCGCTCTGGCTCTTTATTTACTAGATCGCTTCAGTCCATTCGGTCGTTATAAGCTGCCTAGCAGTGATGCCACGGAAGAAGATGCCCTTAATCTCTCCAGCGCCATCTGGTTTGCATGGGGCGTACTACTAAATAGTGGTATTGGTGAAGGTAAAATACACAAATAATTGTTAATGTAATTAATATTTTAAATCAATTTTTAAGAATTGAACCCTTATAAAAATGCATGTTGTTTTTGAAGGGTATTTGAGGTTGTTTTGAGATGTCAAAGTTAATTAATATTTATTTAAAGTTGATTTCAAGAACAACCTTAAAAGATCAACCTCCCAAGTTGTATAATCAAGGTGTATGAAGTTGTTTTATTCACATTTGAGGTAATTTTGAGATTTTGAGGTTTGCTTACTTTAGAGCAAGCAGCTTAGAGAGGTTATTTTTGAAGTGAACAGGCTATTTTTTCAACTCTTCAAGTTGTGAATAATTTCACCCAATCTCAACTTAAAAATTTTGAGTTATATATGAGGATGATTTTATGATGTGTAAATGAGGTTGAAATTGAGGTTTATTAATGAGGTTATTTTTGGTACAAAACATAACCTCATTTTCTACCTCAGGTGTATTTTTTGCATCTGTCAAATTCAAAACAACCTCAAAATCACCTTACTTTTTCTGTAAGGTAATTTATAGTTGTTAAAGTATTAACAAACAATTTATTTCTTAAATGTCATCTTATGTAAAAATCTTTAAAATAGTAAATATTAAGATCATAGATACAAACCCTGCATTTTGCAGGAGGCTCTATGATGCAATATTTACTGTATTAGATATTGCAGCACTGAAATCAAGGCAGGTATATTTATAAAATATTTAGCTCAAAATATAATTTCAACCCATCTACTATGTAAAAAGTTTGGTATTAAATATATAAATAAAAACTGTAATATATTTGAAATTTTGATTTTTGGTGCTTGCTACATTATACCATAACTTTATACCATAACTTTATGGTATAACTTAGCAAGCTCTACTTTATACCATAACTTTTTTCTAGTTAAAACTTATTGTATGATTCGTATCTGAAATTTTCAATTGGAAAAGTTTGTATGTGTTGTAGTTAACTGTAGTATATTGTATGGTAGTCACTCATATTAATACTTGTTTTATTGCACGATAAATTTATTAAAAAAAAGAATTATGAACATTTACATTTTATCTTTCATTAATCTTCAATAATATTTGATTTTGAACGTATGCGTGGTTAACAAGTTAAGGAAATTAACAGTTAAGTATATTTTTTATCGAAAGTGGAATTTGTAATTTTTTTCATGCGTATACAGCTAAAACATAAAAAAATGAGAAAATTAGGTCAATGAATTATTTTAATTTTGAGACCCGTATCATCTTTATAACACTTCTACCAATACAACTCAAGAGAGTTATAGGTTTCACACTTTTAGTTTTTAGATTAATTCTTATAGTATGAATAGATATTTTTTTATTCTGTTCTAGAATAATTTAAATTCCTGTTTCAGGTACCCCCAGAAGCTTTAGTGCCCGCGTCTTAGGTATGGTGTGGGCAGGATTCGCTATGATTGTTGTGGCTTCCTACACTGCCAATTTGGCAGCTTTTCTCGTTTTGGACAGACCAGAAACATCTCTCACGGGCATCAACGATGCTAGGGTTTGTTTGTTGTTTTTTTTGTGTGTGTTGAGTTTGGCTATAATATAATATTGAAAAGAAAATTTTATGTTTAAATTCAATTTTTAACTAATTATTTCCAAATTATAATTGAACTTTAATAAGTCAAGTAAAAAGTAAGTTGATATATAATTTTTCAAGGAATATTCATAAAAGATTTGTAATAATATTGTGAATAAGTGGAAATTATTTAAGTAATAATGCTATGAATTGATTTTTACTTTATTTCAATAAAATATCAAAACAAAATGCTTAATCGGAATCGGTAGGGCATATACCAATAATGTTAAAACTGAGCTTTTTCAAGGTACCTTTTCTCAGCATCTAAATAAGATATTGCTTAAGTTTTTTCCCCACATAATATTTAAGCACACATGTTTATACTGTGGTAACTGTTAATACATATCTTCAGCAGAGATTTCTTTTTTAAATTTTCAACTGAAAACTTTAAATTTTTTAAAACAGTTTCATCATTTTTGAGCAAAAATCATTTTAACTCAAAAAGTATTCCTGTTAACTCTAAAACATCGCCACAGTATACAATTTAACTAATCTCAAATATCCCCAAAAGGTTTGAAAGCGATACCATAGAATTTCTCGGAAAAGATACATCGAAAAAAGTAAGTTTTAGCGTTATTGGTATATGCCCAGCTCCCTTTAAATAATTGGAAATATTTATTCATACACGATAAACTAAAAAATAAATAATTTTTTTAAAAAAGAAAGATCGACAGTAACTACGAATAAGATTAATCTTCAAATCAAGAATAAATCAAGAATAATTAAAAGATGAAAAATGCAAAATTGCGACATTTTCATGTTTAAAAGGACAAATTATGCATCGAAATAAACTAAAGATTGGGAAAAATAAAATTAAAATCATTTATATTAAATCGTTATTTGTTTTATGGGCTAAGAAAAAAATATACTTCCGTCTTTAACATTATGCATCTATTAAAAAACATTCAAGAATTTTCAAATGAATTTAAAAAGGAAGCCTAATAAGCACATAATGAAAGATAATTTTTGAAATTCTATAGAACATAATAAAAGAAAAAGACAGAAATCACCATCAAGGAGTAGTAATCATACTATCAAAGAACAGTGCTGTATAATCTTTTAAGACCCAGCGTTCAATATATGTTACTACATTTGACACAACTTTATGAATTAAAATAAAACTTTCAGTTTATTTTTTTATTTGTATGTCCTTGTAAAGCGACTGTCTATGTATAAATATGATTAGATTTACCTTTCTGGTTGGAGTTTTTAATTGCTATGAAAAAAACATGAGAAAAGTAAGAGATACGATTTAAAAAACTTATTGAACAGATTTATTGCTTTTAGTCTTATTATTTGATACTGTGTCATGACTAACATATGAAGAAATGCACTGTAAAAATATCTTGTATTCTGTGAAGAATAATAAAAACAAAAATTTATAAATTTAATTGGAAATAACTAAAAAAGTAAATCAAGTTTAATTAATTACTTTTTAATTAATTAATTTTTTTGAATAAAATAAATCCCATTTAGGAAGTGATTTCCTTAAAGCTATGTATTTTTTAGTAAAAAAACACATTTTCTTTTATTATTTAAAGCTTGCCCCCAGGCAGATATGTTAGAACAGAAAGCGTTGACGTTTTCCTACTTAAAAGAAGAAAAAAAAAGAGCATTTTATTTATTTATTATTAAAATTTTTTTTTTGCTTACAAGTGAAACATTTTGTACTTTTAAGATAATTGTAAATTTTCTTATTTTTTCATAAATGAATAATAAGAAGAATTCTAAATGAATAAAAAAAATTCTATAAATGAAATGAAATTAAGATTTATATTCTTGCATGTTGTTATTTTAAAATCTAAGTTGTTGATGAAACGAACTATTAATACTTTTTCTGCTTATTAATTTTGAATACTTTTTTCTGATCAATAGTTGAGAAATCCAATGGACAACTTCAAGTATGCGACTGTTAAGGGCAGTTCCGTTGACATGTATTTTCGCAGACAAGTGGAACTTTCTAATATGTACAGAACAATGGAAGGTAAAAATTACGATACGGCGGAAGAAGCGATAGCCGCTGTGAAATCAGAGTAAGTGTTAAAGAACCCGTGTAATTATAATTGAACATTATTTAATCTTCGACGCACATAAATACAGAATCTAACTTTTTATCTTTGATATACTTAAAATATTGTCTGCCCAAATTGATTAGCATATTTTAGGTCAGACTCACGAATCATTAAATTTAAGCCACAGTACATGAAAATCCGATCGGTGGATGAAAAGTTATTCTGAATGCTTTATTTTTTTTATTTGGTGCATAACTTAAGGCATATATAACATCTTTGTGTACATTGTTAAAACACTCGTCTGACTTCTTTAAAATGTATAAACAGATTAATAATATATTTTTCAAATTTGCAATTGTAGAAGCAAAGTAAAGAATTTTTTGCTGTAAGTCTCTCACTCATAAAAAGAGAGGAATTAGTAAACACCTACTGAACCTAATACTTTGTAAAGTTTTGCTATTTATTTTAATATGCTTCCAAATACACTCTATAACAATAAAATCGACGCACCAAGAAGCAATCATCCGATTGCTTTGAAATTTCGTACGCATGAATGTTTTGAACAGATATGGCTGGAATGATGCCGACTGGGGACGTATAGTCTTTAGCGACGAATCCCGCTTCCAACTGTGCCCTCACGATCATCGAAGACGTGTTTGGAGACGCACAGGGCAGAGGGAGAATCCTTCCTTCATTATTGCATGCCACACCGACCCTCAACAAGGCATTATGGTCTGGGGTGCCATTTCCTTTGATAGCCGGACTTCTTTGGTCGTCATTAGAGGAACGCTTACTACACAGCGATACGTCGACGACATCCTAAGACCTGTTTTGCTACCGTTCCTTTTGCAGCGCCCTGGGCTGGTTTTTCAGCAGGACAATGCCAGACCACATACGGCACGTGTTGCTATGAACTGTCTGCAAGCTTGTCAAACTCTTCATTTATCAGACTATGCCACGCCGTGTGGCAGCTTGTATCCAGGGTAGAGGAGGTCAACACCTTATTGAACTTGTTACTGTAACTCTGCATTAAATTATTCAATCTTTCTGAAATTCTAATAATTTGCTATTCTGTACATTGTCTTCCTATCCACCAATTTACGTTTCAATCGGACAACTCCTTCTTGGTGCGTCGATTTTTTTTGTTATAGAGTGTATTTGGGTGCTATCAAAACTGCATGTACAACTTGTTAAGCTCAACTTAAAAAAATTATTGGAGTTTGTATAAAACTATAAATCTGTGTTAAATGCTGCTAAGTATAATAAATTCGTTTGATTGTTAATTAAGATTTTCCTATAAATAAATAATGCTGAATAAATAGATTATTAAATAAGCTAAATACTGAGTTGTGTGAAACGCTCGTACTACGCCTTTAAATTGTATTTCATTTACTATATTTAGCGAAAATCAAGGTGAAAACAAAAACTATTTTCACAGAGTTCGGAGGTTTCATTTAACAGAATTTGGTGCTCTTTTCGGCTGGCGAACGCATTATTTATTGTTTTTAATTTTGTGACAGTCTCAATTATTTGGTGCCTAGTTGTTTGCTCTCGGATCACCGAAAAGCACCCAAAATTGAATTCATTTTCAATTGCACAGTTGCATTTCATTAAGTACATCTGTAAACTATATGCCTTGGAAAAATCAAGGTGATCTCGCGTTGTGAAACGATTTTTACAGTCTCAATTAAACTATTTATGAACTATTAGCATTTTAAAAACTATTTTTACTGAGTTCCGAAGTTTCATTTAACAAAGTTTTGTAATCTTTACGGCTAGCTGAGCGCATTGTTTATTATTTTTATTTTATATAAGTGGAGGTCTGAACTATTTGGTGTCTTTTTGCTTAGCCGCTGCTAGCTGAAAAGCGCAAATTTTTTTCTTAAATCGTAAAAAAATTATTTTGAAAAAATTAACTTTTTTTTAAATTTTTTTTTAACTCTTAAGTGGTTTGAGTGCTTTTATATGGGACTCATCGAGATTGGAGTATGAGGCAGCGCAAGACTGTAACTTGGTAACAGCTGGTGAACAGTTTGGACGATCAGGATATGGAATTGGATTACAGAAGCACAGTTTATGGGCCGATCAAGTCACCCTCGCTCTATTAGGGATGCATGAAAGTAAGTTCATAAGCAGAATGTTAGAAATTTCTAGGTAAAAATGGTTAAATAGCAATTTCTTAACTGTTATTTTGCCATTTTCAATCAAAACAGTCAAATAACCTTAAAAAGATGACATTCCAACTGTTAAGTGTAAGGAAAAAGCGTTTTTTGACTGGTTTTACATAATAAGGTTTATACAAACAGAATTCTATGCGGACTAATACATAGTCACTGAGAGTCAAAGACCTCTCAGTGGGTTTGTGACGGCATCCTCAGAAGTGTTAACGAACCATAAGATCACGCGGTAAAGGCCTGGTTTCTTAGGACAGGACGCCGTCAGCTGGAAATCAGCGCTAACCTCTGATTGGTCCATTTGTGAGTTTGATAGTATACGTCAGCGAACGCTCATCTTGAACTACAATTGCCGTCCAACTCAACTGCAGTTGGATTACAACGTGACGTTAACCACAGAAGCAATGGCGGACAACATCCAACAGCACATTGAAATCAGCCAAGATTTTGATTTTGACATTAAACATAGCTTCTTCATTAAACATAGCACTCTTCATTTAGCTCAGCTATAATGTGTTTTTTCTTGGACAAAGTCATTATTTGTTCTCTAAAACACTGGTCGACAATAACAAAATCAATACAAATTCAAAATAAATATTTGTTTACGTTATTAACGCATGCGCAATGAGAGATAATGTCTGCGTTGGACCGACTGCTCACGCTGAGCTAACAAAAAAGTATTTTTTGGCGTCAGCTCTACATCAATTTTCCGCTGACGCCCAGATAAGGCGCTAGTTCTAAGAAACCAAGCCTTGAGCTAAGAAACCAGTATTTTGGTGGCGTCAGCGGGACGTTGACGGCCCGCTGACGTCCAGATAAGGCGCTTGTTCTAAGAAACCAGACCTTAAAGAGAAAACAATAATAAATAGTTCAAACTTTTGAGCGGCGTATAATATTTTTGCTCTAGCTAATTTAATAGCACTTAAATGTTTTTAAGTGGTGACTTTTTAGCTTTTTATTAGAATAAATCAATGTAATTTATCAAGTTATAATTCAATAAAATGAACACGTAGGACTGTTTGATGCTTTTCATGAAGCAATATTATGTGCATTTCATAATAGAAAATGATTTAATAAGAATTTTTTTCTTTTAATTTTAAATCTTGATTCATCATACTTTTTTTAATATCAGACGAATAAACCTTATTTTATTGCATAATTTATTATGTTCTAATATGTAATGAAATATTAGGTATAATCATATATTTGAAAATAAGAAATGATACATTTTAATAAGAAAACGATTACGAGACAGAAATACGTTGTGTCATGAAATCAAGGAGACAAATAAAGAAATTATAAGTTTATTGGCAAATTCATTTTTTATTTTAAAATAGGTTCTAAAGAATTCTTTCAGAATCGTATGTTATACATTTAAATTCCAAATGGAAGTAATCTGAGCACAAACACTGCACAACAAACATAAACACTGCATATTTACAAATAAACGACGCATATAATATTAAAATGGGACAAAATAATTTTGCTAAGTACTAATTATAAAATAAGAGTAATAAATCAATTATAAGTAATTTAGAAAATAATTCGATCCTTAAGATTGTAAAACTTTAAAATAGTATTTATTATTTTAAAATATAAATATATCTTTTTTTAATTGATTATTATAAAAAAGTAAAGTATTTCCAAATCTTAAGTTTTTCTAAAATATAAATTTATTGATGACAATCTTTCTTACAAGACTTGTTAAAAAAATATCCCAAAATAGAGATTCCTCTAAAAAATTAATAGTATAATATTCTGGAGCAGAAACTGTTCAATAATTTAAAAAATTACGCATTGTAAAAGACAAGAAACTATTGAATATTATTTTTATGAATTACATTTGAAATTGTCTACAAGATTTGGTGAATTTATAATTTTTTTACAAGACTTAAGATCGAAAAAAATAAAAGTATTTATTAAAAACATTTTTCCTGTTACTCAATAAGATACATCACATTTGAATGAGTATGCATACACATGTATAAACTTATATATTATTGTTTTAAAGCTTGTTTAGACAAACTCTTCTAGACTTATAAGATAAACATAAAAATGGTAATAAAATGAGAATAGCACATTTAATCTGGAGCAAACTTAAAATTTATTCATGCCATATGAAGTATGAACAAGTGTTTCATTAATATTCATTTAAAATTATAACGTACAAAAATTAAAATGGCTAACAATGAATTAAATTCCTTTTTTATAATAACGATTTAATGCATCGGAGTTTTTTTGCTTTCGAGTATGAATATTTATGAAATTATACTCATATGATAGTAAGCTATCGTTAATAATAAATAAGTCAATCATTGTTATTAATTTTGCTTTCTTTTAAAAATATAACCAAAGCCTTTTTAGCAGTTTTTTAAATAATAAAAATTTTAACTCATAAATGGCATCTGATATTTGTTTATGTTATATTTAAACAAGATAAATAATGTTTAAATTTGTTTTATTTCACGTCTAAAAGTTTTGCAGAAGTACAAATGCTTTTGCTAGTTTTATATTCTAATATTCACTAACAATAAACAACACCTAAAACTTTGTAATTCTTAAATACAACTCGTTTCATTATGTATTTGAAAATCTTGTTATAAAGTCTGCAAAAACGAATATTAAAATATAAAAGATAAATAACACTTACTCGACTATAAACAGTTATTTGATGTCTCGTTTAATGGAATTAATCCTTTTTCGTTTCATTTCCTCATTTTTCGGAAACTTAGAAACTAATACTTTAGGCCCACTTTCGAAGTTCCTTTTACATTCTTTACATCTTTACATTCTTTACATCTTTATTGTTAAAATTCGTGAAATAATGCTATATATATTTTTGATGATGGTTTATTACGACATATCCGACGGACAGACGGGTCTGTTTTGTCAATGAATGACAAATACTTGAAATTCCAAATCCATAAATGTAAAAAATGTCCCTAACCATAACCTTTGTTGTGGGTAACGGATAGACAGACTGTTTCCACTTATTTTATCGTAATTTTAGAATGAAAATTCAAACTGTACACAATAACAATTAGTACACAGTAAAAAATCTTTTATGTTAACAATAGAAATGGCGGCAATTTCTTAACATCTAAATGGTGTTACACTAAAATTTCTACTACGCCAAGAACAGAGGATAGTTCATGGTACAATGATACACCAAGATTGTTCTTGTCTTGGTAGCACTTCACTACTTGGTGTAAGAAAGCCGCCACCATATTTGTTATTTTTTTGTTGCTGTTGTTCGAAACACATTTATCAGTGGTATCAAACTAAAGATGGAGGCTAAAAACAAAATAGAATTGTTATAAGATCTTTATAAGGACATAAGAGCAGGATCATTTTCCTGCCTAACCAATAAATTGCGTTTAAAATATTTATAACTAATGTTGGGAAAAAATTCTTTTAATTCTAATTCATTCATTATCATTACTACCACAAGAAGAAAAATATTTTCTAAAGCTATTTTTCGAATTAAAACTGCACTAATTATAATGATATCAGTAGTACGCATAACCAAAATTAGTTACGCTTCATCTGCTTGAGGCGATTTTCTGGAGTTCCCAAAACGAATAATTACCTTTTCTTCATTAACTTTGCTTTTTAGTACATAGTTTAATTTTTATTTCAATAAATGCAAATTACCAAAATTAACTAAGCATTGGCATCAATAATAATATGGCGGTGTAGAATCAACATCTCCTAGTAGAGAGAAAACCTCAGCTAGGATCAATTTAGTAGTCCAAAGCAACGAACATAAACTGAGCCATGAAGGAAACATAAGAAAGATGTAACTACATTNCTTTTTAAAATAAGAACTTTTTACTTTTTACTCGTTACTTTTTTTAAAAATACTTGTACTTTTACTCGTTACTTTTTAAAAGTAACGTTGCCATATATGATGACGACACAGCTAAAAATATTGAATCCAACACAGATGATATTCTTGAAGCTTTAAATTTGTATCTTCTTAAGTTTTTAACAGTTTTCATTAATATTTCTAATTTGAAGAAGAAATGAATAAATAAAATTTCCTAATCGTGATTTCTTTTCAGAACGTAATTTAAATTATAGTTTCAAAAGAAAACTAAACGTTTTTAAATAAAATAAATATGATAAGAAAAAAAACGCAAAATTAATTGTATATACTAAACTCTACTAAACAAAATTCAGCGGCACGACAGCCCATAGAGGGTCAAGGTCCACTGTACCCATCTCAGTTTTCTTGACCTTGAGCTCTGAGGTGCAGGAGCAGAAGTTTCGGTTAGGTGGTCACCAGAAAGCGAAACCCCCAGTGTTTAGTTCCCAAGCATGCTTGGTACTCATTTATCCACCCACTGAAGAGATGAAAGGCTGAGTCCCTGCTCGAGGACCGAGCCCAGGATCTGTAGCACGGGAGCACGAAGCGCTACCACTCAGCCACCGGGCTTAATAGCATATTATTTGTTATAACTATTTTTAATATGTTATAACAAATTGTATATAACATATTAAAAATAGTTTTCGAAAGGTGTTAAATTGATTCAGAGTTGTTCAGTTTTATCTCATTGATGGAATGCATTGATATTTCACGATTAACTAATGTCCAACTTTTTTACCGATTTTATTATAATCGGACCCTGGTTCTTATAATTTTTTTAGAATGGGGGTGGGTTGAAACTTTGACATATACACCAGGGTAAACGGTTTACCCTGGTGTTACAGAGTTTCTTATATTTACGAAATTACGTTTTCTTATATTCCCGGTTTCACTGGGAATATAAGAAAATTATTTCTTATATTCACTGTAAAATGAATATATTGTTCTATTTTTCAGGTGGTTATATGGAAGATTTAGACAACCGATGGATTTTACAAGGCAGTGAGACTTGTGAAAAAAACGAAAAATTTCCCGCAACTTTGGGCTTGAAGAATATGGCTGGTAAATACATGGATATAAAATATAACAGAATTTTTCTATGAAAATAAGATGTTAACTTTTTCACTAAAATTATCGCTGATTAACTATTCGATATGGTAGTTTATTTCTCTGTAATATGTTAAAAATATTTATGTTGTTGTTGTTTAAACTTAATTTGCAGTCGAAAATTATTTCTTACTATCAAACATTCTCGATATAATTTACTCGAACTATCATCATCATCATTTTATTTTCTTATCATTATCAATCTTGTGATGGATGGTGGTCTTTATCAAACTTTTCCTTATTAAAAGATTATAAAAAGAATGTAATGCAGGTTGAGTAAAAGATAATTTATAATAGCCCAAGACGAAATTCTTGATGGAACTATCAAGATATTTTGATGAATGATTTATGTTGGTTTATTCATGACCCAACACTATTTGATGGTAACTATCATGTAGTAATTGATTTCGATGGGTCAAAAAGCTTCCATTATTTTATGCTGAAGGATGATATTTTATTATATGATGGTCAAGCAAAATGCTAAGTTAAAGATTCGTTGGAAAGCAACTTCCATTTTCTCATGATGTAAAAGTTTGCTTTAGTGCTGTGATGGTCATCCAGAAAGTTTTGTTTGAAATTCTTGGTAAAACAACTTTCATCATTTCATGATGGAAAATGTTGTTTTAGTGCTATGATGGTTAACCATCAAATGATGTTAGGTATTGGTGAACCTAGAACAACCATCATTGGACGATAGAAAGTATTTATTTAGCATTACTAGACTAGTCACCTATCAAGTAATGCTTGCCATTAATAATGAAGTTTTATCCCTTATTTAATAATGTAATTACTTATAATAAACGATGTATGATAAATCATTTCACATTGAATAATGCTGTATTCTTCATCTCATGCTAATAATATTTTGGGTCAAATATTTTTTTTAACATGAAGTAATGTTTACATAACAGTTATGTTTTACAAATATCAATTTGTTTTGTTATGAATACCAACTGTCGGTTAAATAAATTTAAAATTCATTTAACAGAAACTACCTGTAAAAGTCTTATTTTTTTATCAAGGGAAAAAGAGTAGTCTAGTCTTGATGGTTCCAACAAAAAGCATGATGGTTTGTGATGGAAGATTATGATAGTAACCAGTAAATTATTGTGGATCATGATGGAATTTTTCTTGGTTAGCAATCTTGATGGTTCTAACAAAAAGCATGGTGGTTTATGATGGAAAATTATAATAATAACTTTGTTAAATCTTGATGGATTTTTTTTGTTGGCCCATTATAAAAAACCATCATACAATGATGGGTAAGCTATGTTGGCGTAACATAAAATTGTGCCAATTTCAAATGTTGGATAATGGCAGATTTGATATTCCCATCAAGCTGTATGATGGTTTCAGATGGAAATTCAAGTTGGATTGATGGTAAATTCATACATGTTGGTCCATCAATGGAAAACCATTATGATTTGTTGTCATGGGCTCAAAATTATCTCACTTTCTATTTATTTGATCCTGTTGTGCTGCCTTTTTATTATGACTTTAGCCTGATTTTTTGACGCTTACAACTGTTGAAATCACTGACAAGACAGTAATCATAAGTTAATAATAAAAATAATAAAAAAATAATAAACTCACCAAGTTAATGCATAACAAAATTAAAAGTGAAAAAAAAGAATTCTAAAGAAATTATCAAACAGCATCTGTCTCCATAGCAATCCATGTAATGACGACGCATGCGCACTGTTTACTATTACTCTTGAACACAGTTGAAAAGTGTGATGACGTCCAAATAACGTGCGCATGCCATCAAACATAAAACAACACTCATCTTGTCAATGGGTCATAAGCTTACTAAGTAAATCCCTAATTCGTCAATAGCACTTGGGAACGAATTTTTGTTGCATTTATAGAAATACTTGATCTTACCTAATTCGGATATCTTTCTATCTCTGAGTCTATCTTTTGTACAAATGTACAAGTCTAAAAATGTTATAGATAACAAAGGAACACGTAAATGTTGCGACTAACTTCTACGGGAGTTAGGGCAGATCATAAGGATTGAAATTGCATACGAACCAATATCCAAAGATGCAATCGTACGAGACTAAGGGTGCTACCACTATTATGACCTATTCGGATGCAACCAAAGATACTGTTCAAAATAGAGGAAGTGCTACTAGTGGCGTATGATGACAATTTCGGGCATTAGCTCCCAATCATTTTCAATCCTAATCATCTGCCCTAACTTCCCTAGAAGTGTGCCACAACATTTACAGACGATCTCCTGTTGTATATAACATTTTAAATTTGCTCATTTTGTTAAAAAAAAAATAGACTAGAAATGTCGTTTTAAAAATATTGCTTGGAAAGAGAAACTCATTGCAGATTTGAAGCTACGAAAGATGCGATTGCAGATACGAAAGTATCTACGGTCTGTTAAAAACTCACCGAAGTTAAGCATCACTGGCTGTGGTCAGTAAGCGGGTGGTTGACCACTTTGATCAGCCTGTGTAAGGACCGAGGGTGAGTGTTATCGGTTTGTGAAACTGTTCTGCCGGAAAGTGCTCAACTTCACGCACAGTTCGGTGGGCTATCAAAGCAGGGGATCAAGTTTGTGATGGCTTGTCTTCGGATCATCCTCAGGGATGTTTCTCAAACCATTGCCAATACTCCATTGTGCAGCTCTAGTGCGACGTAAATTATATACCAATCAGTTAAAAACTCTTATGCAACAGGAAATAAAACGTTTCCAAGTGTAGTTATCCTAAAAACTAATAATTGTAAATAACAATTAAGCAGTTTTATATAAAATAGTGTGCCAAATTATGATATAACAATAACAATTGTTGCATAAAGAACCGGAATAGAATATAACCTAACAAGTTGTTGTAGAAATATCACGTGTCAATATTTTTATTTTTTAACCTCTGAGTCTTGTGTTGCAGGGGTTTTCATTTTGGTTGGTGCCGGAATAGTGGGTGGAATAGGTCTCATCATAATCGAGATCATCTACAAAAAGCATCAGACAAGGAAGCAGCGAAGATTAGAACTGGCGCGACACGCCGCGGACAAATGGAGAGGAGCTGTTGAGGTAGTTGTATTTACAATGCTCTCTTTATCAATTCCAGCGCCCTCTAGTTTTAAAAAAATGAAGTATTTTTTTTATAAAAACTGTGTTTATTTTTTCTAAACGTTACGCTAACCTTAAAATTGTTTTGCTATTTTCTTGTTTCGGAATTATTAGTTTGGAAAGGAATTACTATTTAAATCTCATCATATTATTGTCATGCTTATTTTTTTATATTTCTTATGATTGAGAATAACTTTGTTTCACTTTTATGACTGTTTTATAGCAGTCCTTGATACTGTATAAAGATAGTTAAAACTCTGTAGTCAACTAAAGGAGGAAATCTCTGATTAACTTTTGATGTATTGATAGGATTTGCATGTACTAAAACACCATCTTAATGGGTAAAAACAGTTGAATCTTAATTTATAAAAAAAAAATAATTTTCTTAACTTTCCGTAATAATTTACATTATTGTTCGATATTAACTATTTATTAAATATAGAAATCAGTGTTAAAAACATACTTCACAAATTAGACATATTTTGCTAATAAGTACAAACTTATTCGTAAATTTGAAATTGTTGAGGTAGTACTCTTTTTAAAAATAAAACTCTCACCTTTGGTAATTAAGGAGTTAGAGCTATGTTTTGTTAGTTTGCGAATCATTTTGTCGCTGCATCGTGTGATTTTTGACAAAACATGAGCTCTCAAGCATTTGACGAAACTACTTCCTCACTTGTGTGTGTTTAAGAATTCTCAGTTCATTGTGTAATTTTATATATTGTTTTCCTCTTGCCTGATCAATAATACAATATTACGATGTTTCTACAGAAATTTTTAGTGTAAATTAAGCTGGAAAAGTAATCGTCATTACCGTCAATGCATGGTAGCTTTCTTCTCTCACAATATGTCATTACGATTGGTTCTCTAACCCCCCCCCCCCNGTTTCCCCCCCCGATTTTTAAACAGCCCGTGCTTCATCATGGGAGGGTACTAGTGATAGTGAACTTGCTTATCAAGCAGATTTCATGGTCTCAATATTCGGCAATGAATGGGCTACAAATCTATCATACCTCGTTTATTAAAGTTGCAATCCTTAACCAATTGTGAAATTCCATTTGTTGCACTGCGCTCAATTGATTTGACAAAATTCGTATTCACAATGAAATGACGATGTTCACTTCCTCAATTTATAGAAATAATTGGTTTGAGCACTCTTGAGGAAAAGGTTTTGTCAAAAAGGAAAAAGAAAAAAAAACCTATTAAATTTGAGTATAGATTTTTCACGACATGTCAATGAAAATTCGTTTATTAGTTCAGAAGTTAATAAGGATGATTTCTTTTTTTTTTTTGATGACAGCTTAAGTCCAAATAAAATCCTTCTGTATTTGTTTAATTCTTAAAAACAGCATGGAAAACTAAAATTTAAATATAAGGTAATCAAACTATTATTTTTTTTATATCCTTGCACATACTTCTACCTTTTTTCAAACACTGACACCTAACGTATTTAAGCATTTCTTTTTTCGTAAATTTTAAAATCTTATGCACCTACATTAAGGGAATTTTGTTTGCATGCTTTCTAACAAACTTGATTTGTAACAATGTCAAGAAATAGTTTGATCTAAAATTGATGTTATCTACAATTGCTACAAGTAATTATGTGTGAAATTACTAAAAAACCGAAGGAAAAGTTAATTTAAATAAGCTAATCAATTTAATATATTTAGGGCTAAACTTCAATCTAAAAATTCATTACTAATTCTTGCAGTTAAATCGAAAAATGATTTTTTTTAATGCAAATGTCTTCTCTTTCATTGTTTTTTTGCTTAGTTCATAAACATGTTAAATAAATAATATGTTAAGTAAAAAGCATGTTAAGTAAATAATATGTTAAGTAAAAAACATGTGAAGTAAGTAATATGCTAAATAAGAAGCATGTTAAGCAAAAATGTTTATTTACTTAACATGTTGTAATTTGCTAAACATGCATAATTTAAAATGATACTCGGACATCGTTCAATAAAAATACATTACAGCAAATTTATGATGTACAACAGAATTGCGATATGCATTTATGCAGCAAAGCCACACTGTTAGAACTTTAATTCTGAAATTATGGTAAAATAACTGGCAGCAGTTTGCCCATCCAATTATTCGCAAATTTACAGTAAAGAATATTTTTACCTTTACGGTTCTGAAACAGTTTACAATTAGAACGGTTAAAATACCATGAATACAAAACTATAAGGCTCTTTTAACCATTTGCAATCAGTATGGTTTCAAAACTGTAAAAAATAAATTTAACCATTTTGGAGATATACTTTGGACTCTGAAGACATAGTTTAGAATCCAGGGCCATAGTTTGTGAGACTATAGAGACATAGTTTAGCAGCTTAATTGTGCTGCCATCTATGCGTGAATAAGAGTGTTCTAATTGCCAAGGTCTAAAATTGGGAAGTGCGGGACATGGGAAACACTTCATATGTTGAAGGAAATAGAAAAAATATTGTTATGTCAACGCTGGAATTCAATTCCCCATTCTGTCGCTCAAGAGATTGACAGATCAGCCCTTTCAGTTATATCATGTTCCCATCTGCAAAGAACTAAGTTGCTTCAATAGGTGGGCCTAGTTGGTGCTATAAAGTTCTTGTTGTTTAACCGTATTAGATGAAAGCAGTTAATAAATTGTTTTTCTCACAATTAACAGTTTGAATACCATCTTATTTATGGTTATTTGACAGTTTTGTTTGTATATGGTAAAATAACAGTTAAATTAATTGTTATTTAATCATTTCTTCCGAAAAAATTTCCAACAATGAAAAATGGATCACTATAGTCACTCTTCTTTATTTTACTTCATTTTTTAACTATAGTAATGTAATCATGAGCCTTTCCCTACAATTTGTTTATATTTTCAAAAAGCAACGCAGGTTATAATTTTATTCTTAATTTGATTTATTTTGAATAAATGTCTTTTTTTATTCTCTCAGAAGAAATTATTTCTATTTTTAAATAAAAACTGTATTGATTTTTTAAAAAAATCCTCACAGCTTCTGGTTACGTCCTTTGGAAACAAATCGTAATTTATGTTTATAAACACATATTCAAAGCAAAAATAAATTTATCAAAACGCAAAAGAATCATATTTTTTCTTTTTTTTTCACTCTACAAAGTTGAATAATTTAAAGGTATTCCCGATTTCGGACTCAAAACCAATAAAAAAATATATATAGATTTATCATCAATTGGTCTTTTTATTTGATCCCTTACTAAATAACTAAATGGTAAAGGTTTGCCATTTAGATATTTAGGAAATTAGAATTTAAAAAGTGCAGATTTTGGCAAATAATCATCTTAGGTGCATTTTTTTTGTAATTTAACTATTCTAAAAAGCGTTTTAAAATTATTCTATTAAAATTACTGACTTATTAACAAGCTTTTGTTTTTGTCATTTTGCCATGATAAGTATAGACACCCGTTACTGATAGTAAAAAATTCGATAATAATTAGTTTTCTGTATTTTTTATATCAGAAAAAATTTTCGAAATCCACTAACATTTCTTCTTTTTTTTTTCTACAGACAAATGTCTTAATGTTCCAAAAACATCATAAAAAGTAAACGATAACCATATCTTCCTTTCTCTCTCTCTCTTTCTGTTTTTCTTTTTTTTTTTTTTTCTTTTTTTTTTTTAAATTTTTGGCTAAAATATGTGCTCGTTGGTCACAAGAGCTTTAATTAAATCGGAATATCGTAAAATACATTATAGATAAAATGTAATACGTAAATTAAAATTATAAATAAAAGAGCTTTAATGAGCTATATAATAAATATCATTTCACAGTCATTATAAAAAAAAGCATTATATAATTTTTACAGTTATTATAAAATAAATAAAAATGAGATATAAATCGCAATAAATCGTCATATTAAAATATTATGAATGAGAAATTAAAATTTTGTAAATAGAATCTATACCGAGATAAATTATCTTAATGATATTAAAAACGTAATGAAACATAAATAAGATATTTACCGTAATGAAACATTTTAAACAATATATGTTAAATGTTAGAAAACATTATAACTTATACCGTAAGATATATACCGTAATAAAACATTTTAAATAATATATAATGCGTAATGAAACATTATAAATAAGATATAAGTAGCAGCAAAACATTGTGATTAGGATATAGATACCATAAAGAACATTGTAAATAAAGTTCACAGAGGAAGAACGGTTTAAGTCCATAAAAGCTTATTAGGAGAAAAAAGGATTTTAACCTCGAAAATAAAAGATTTTTCTACAGGCAGAATCATTATAATGATTTGTCAAAACTTTATAATTCTCAAGATTCAACAGATGTCGATCCAAGCGTCAATTTTTTGAAAAATGGACTTAAATCATTCTTCCGACATGGTTTTCCAATAAGATGCAAATCGTAAGAAAACTTAATAAATACAAGTCGTAATAAAACATTGTAAAAATTGTAAGTTAATATTATAAGTAAGTAATTAATCGCGTTTGTAATATTTATTCATTTTATTATTAGCTATTCCAGCTTTTTAGCAATTTCGACAAAACAATCTTTCTAGAAAATGCAAAATAAGAACAATATATGAAAAAAGTACAATTCCACTATCATTTCTTTCTGTTGCCATTTAGCTAAAATAAATTATGTTAAACTTTATTTAAATATATATATATATATATGTATGAGAGTGTTATATGTTTATTAAACTGTGGATTGAATCGTGATAATTCCACAGAAATCTCCGTTGAACACCGTTCCCAAATCTTTATCACTATTTTCCAAGATAACATCCAAGGAAGAGGTAAGCTGCTCTCCGCAAACAAATATTCGTGGCATGTTCTTCGCTGCAGCTCTTGGAATCTCTTTTCACTTATCTTCTTCTTTGCATGGTCAATAATGTGTACTTTTTCTCTCTCTTCCCCGTGATTGTTCCACCCCTATGTCTTTCCAAGTATCACTCTCACTGTCAAAGGTCAATGTCGTCGAAACAGTCGAAATTTTTTAAACGCAATCCACTTTCATTATTTTATTCAATATTATTGTTTGTTTTTTTTTCTTTTTTCTTCCATTTATAAAGTATGTCAGACAGAAAAAAGAACAAAATTTACAAAATTTAAAAATCATTTTCTTTGATTTCATAAACTTAAAAAATACTTTTTAGAAAAATAATTTTTTTTTATTATTCATATGATGTTGCTACTAACTAAATATGAGATTAAGTTAAAGAATAAGATTACCCAAAATATCAGCGATGTTTTCTTATAACTTAAAAGTAATTTTCTAGAAATGGAAGAAAAAGAATTTAAAAATTGAATTAGGACAGTTTATATTGAGGAGCAATAATTCCCAAAAGAAAAAAGACTTAAGGGGAAAATAATCATTGTTGACGTTCTAAAGATAGTTCCTTTCTCCTATTTACTTTTTCTTCAAAACTTAAAAAAAGAAGAAAAAAAAAGTTTTGATATTTTAAATTCTTATATCAAAAGCTACAGATTTGTTTTGCTAGGAGCTATTAATTTTATTATTGTTTCAAATGAAAAAAAGTATTTATTTAACGACTTAGCGAATAATTGCTTTAATTAGCAATCATATTTTCGTGAAAGGTATGCAATAATTAAAAAATTAAATGCTTGAGAAATAAACTTTTTACAGAAAGTTTTGATGTTTTCAATTGTAATATAGTTCTCATTCACGTTTCATTATCATCGCAATCTAAGTTATTTTCTGTTTAAAGTTGTTGTTTTTCTTATTACTCTAAGTTTATTCCATACATTGCTTTAAAAAATTTAGAAAATGTTTATTTCACACATATTTTTGGTAATAGTTAAAAAAAACTATAACATATACAATTTATTTTATTTTCTTTACTTATAATTTGATACTTTTGATTTTCAGCACATAATTATTCATATTAAACAGTAACTACGGTAAATAAATTGTACTTTACTATTAAGTTTTTGCAAATAATACAGTAACTACGGTGAATAAATTGCACTTTACTATTAAGTTCTTGCAAATAATACAGTAACTACGGTAAATAAATTGTACTTTACTATTAAGCTTTTGCAAATAATACAGTAACTACGGTAAATAAATTGTACTTTACTATTAAGTTTTTGAATTTTAAATGTTGGGAATCTCTCACAAATATTTTGGCTTAAATATACTACATTGCTTATAAATTTTTATCATGCATTATATCCATGTATATATAGCTTTTATGATGTTAAATTGTCATTTCTTTATGTGTAATCTAAAACATGCATTCGTTATTGAAGTAAGCGTGACGTTTTTAAAGTTTTATTAAAACAAATGTAATGTAGATATTTTTAAAGGTAACCTTACGTGGTTGCTTACATTTTTAAAGATGTGCAAAATTTTGCTGATTTAATTTCATTGAAAAAATTACGCTTTCTCCAAATTATTTTCTTGCTTAGTGAAAAAGCATATGTGACTTTTTAACTATTAAATTTAGAAATTTGGTATGGTGATTTGTGAACAGAGTCTGTAATTCAGGCGATTTCCATGAATCAAATAGTGCCTTATTATTAACTAAAAGATACTGCGATACTTGAAATGTCACATAATATAGTTTTCCATTAAGTTTTTCAATCATTAAATAACAACTTTGCTTTTGAAAGAAATATTTGAAGTTTTGAATTTTTAAGAGTATGAAAGCGACATTGGCCTTTACATTCTCTTTAAGACCTAGCATGGCTGAAGGAAAAGAATGTTCTGTGAACAGAATAAAATAAATTTGAATGATGTTTGATCTTTTGCATGAACTTTACTTCTTCCAAGTAACCACGTAAGGTTAATTAATAGTGGCTTTTAAACTATTTTTTTTTCTCAATAAATATGGTTTAGGAATAAAGCAGATCGAAAGCAGAAAGGATTTAATTGAGAACACAAGATAGCAAAAGTGTATTGAACCAATAATCGAAAGCAGACAATTGTCTTTATTATAAAGTTAATATGCATAAACCTTTTTACATAGAGTTTTTTTTTTAATTCAACTTCATAAAGTGAGTAAAAAAAAATGATGTTTTGAGAATAAAATAGCGTAGAATCTATGCTATTTGGAACGTGGTTACTCGGCCATTACGTGAATGATACTGAATTCTGTCTATAGCTGTCAATCTATATATTGTAGAAGTAGAAGTGTTGTTGTGAGGGAGCTGTTTGAAAGGGGGTGGCCTGATTGTTTACACCCCTCTCTGGCCCCATGCATAAAAATTGCACGATATTTTAAAATTTTCTAAGTGAAGAAATGTTTTTTATGATGAAAGAAAAATTTTATAATTACAATTGAATGAACTTAGGTCATTAATTTTATTATCCACGCTGTGAAATAATGATCACATACATAAAATTTAATGTTTGAATTTTAAGATATAGCTTTTATTCGAATATTCTGGCTCGTCCAAAAATGCAGTTAAGTAATATTTTTCATTAAAATCCAATTTTTTTTTGCATTGATACATCATATCAAATTGTGAACTGAAGGAAAAAAATATAGTAAAAGTACCGTACTGTAAAGTAGAGGCGTTTCTAGTAAAAAAAAATTTAAAAATAAAAAACATAATTTCGATTAATAAGACCGAAATATGCGGTATTTAAACAATTAACTTAGTAATATTTCCACTCATATGGTAATGGTTTACAGGAAATTCTGGTTTTCAAAATCAAAATTATGGTTCTTATTATCACTCATTTAGTACAAAATTCAAAGCTCAACAGTAAATTTAATTGAATTATTGATTTTTATGCCATGCTCTGAAGTATCATGCTAAAATTACTAAATTTTACCACATTTAACAAATTCTAACTCATATTCAAGAATCACGGTACATTGGTGTATATATATATACATTATATACTGTTCTGGTGAATTAGATATCAATATCAATTTTAAATGTTTAACAAACGCTTAAAGGCGATACAACAAAGCAAGCATACAATCTTTTCTTTTTTTTAGCAAAAAGTTATATTTAAAGCTGTATGTAAGGTTTAAGATATGTATTTGTATAAAGTTACGCGTAAATTTTTGTTTCGTTTCTGGACGATATTTTTATTTATTTAAAACAGGAATCAGTGTTGGTTTCAGATTTTAAGATAAAATATCTTTAAATGGTTTTGTTGCAGTAAGAAAAGCCTTAAACTAATTCATACGATACACTGAATCGTTTGCAACTAATTGCAATACTTGAAACGCTAGTATTCTATTGGATACGGCAATGCAAATAATTTTTAATAAAATTACGGTATAAATTACTGGCACCTCGAATGCCAGTATTTTCTTCCGTAAAACCCGTTTTTGCCATAAATTGTTACAGAACAAAAAATCTGATATACCGAAATTTTTATAGTAAATAAATCACTATAAAAAATAAGATTTCAAATTTCATTTATCATTTCTCATTTTTTTAAAAATACAAATGCTAGTAAGAAATTTAAAGAAATACATAAAATATACGCATTATATAGATCGCCTTATGTATTCCATCCTTCGTAATTTTTAAAATTGGCATTTTATACAATGCTTTAAAAATGTGTGAAATGTTTAATAGTTTTTTTTTTCTTTTTTTGCAACCTATTTTTTGACATTCTGTGAAATGTTTTTTTTTTTCTTCTTCTTATAGAAAGCCCGAGATTTTGCTGGAAAAAAAATCTATGTGCTTTTTGAGTGATAAAATTATCTTTAGATAATTTTTTGAATCTAAAAGAGTTTATTACTTACATTGCTCGTTCAAACTAAATTATTTGCAGAGACGTTCTAATTTTATGTCCATACGGTGCCACGCTATAGTAAATTTTAGTTTTAAAGCATTGAGTCACAATTTTTTCTCTGCAGCGCCATCTGCTCCTAATTTTCGTTACTATTTTTGAAACTTGTTTCAAAAAATTTTCGGTTTTCTGAGCAGAATACAACAAATCATTTCATCAAATTTTCAAAACGGTGATCAACCATTTGTTTTTGCAATTCATACAGAGTACGTTTCATAAATTGTTCTTTTTTATTTGAAGTTTACTTGTTACTTAAATTGTGCATTTCACATTAACTCTAGAAGAAAAAGACCCTAAGAGCCACTCTGCAAGCGCAGAAGCGGATGAGAGCAAATGGAATGGAGGCCTACACCATCGAACGAGGAATGCAGGGGCTTTTAAGTCAGACAAGCTCTGGAGTTTCACATAGGCCACCACTGCCCCCAAGGGGAGGAATGCGAATGGCAGAGATGTCCCAACCCGTGGAACTCGAGCCTATCCGGGCGCCGGACATTGACACGGATATTCACCATCTACCTCCACCACCGCCTCCACCGGCCTCGAGTCCAGCTGTCCGAATGAGAGGAGGAAGAGTGTCTTACACGCCAAGAAATGAGCATCTATTCACCCCCAGCGGCGATCGTTTCGATATACCGGTCTAAATAAATCAATTATTTGATATTTTAGTCATAGTATTGCGCAGTGGACCCACGGCGCAGTGATGAAAACAAAAAAATGAAGAAAAAAAGAACAAAAAAACAAATAATAATAATTTCACATCATATACACGCACTTTACTTTATATGAATAAAAATAACTTATATTAGCAAAAATAATATTAGCATTCATATGATAGAAAATATGACTCATTAATCATAAATAGAATATTTTCATTTCTCATTTTCTTTTTCTGCCTATGCGATAAAATATGCACATGGATACTGAAATAATAGGACTTTTTACACCATATATAAAAACACTTCGTATAAATAAAATATAATTAATATTAGGGAAAATCCTAACATTTACATGAAAGCACATTTATTATAAGAAGAAAAAGATTTTTTTTTCATAGATGATAAAAAATGCACATGAAAACAAAAAGTAAAGCTAATAATAATGATTTTTACATCATGTACAAGAGCACTCTTTATAAATGATGACAAAAAAGCATTAATAAAAAAAATACTAGTATACACATGATAGAAAAGATGACTAATTTAACAAAAATGCTAGACTTTCCTTATTTATGTTGCACGAGTAATAATGTATACACATCGCTAAAAGTATACAAATTTTTATACAATATATTGTAGAATTTTCTTAGATTGTACTTCATTTTAATCATTAAAGCTAAGTTAAGAGGATTAAGAGTTTTAATTATAACTATAATATAATATAATTAACATTTTTTTAAAAAAGAAGTTCAATTATTTTCTATATTTTTTTTATATTTATTTTTTATTTTCAATAAAAAACTTAAAACTTATTTTCGTATTAAAAATAGATATTTAAATACTTTTGTTGCAGCATCTGATAAGAAACGAATTTAAAAATACTCATAAAATATAAATGTTTATTTGTAAACAAAATATTTATCTACAAAAAGAACCAATTTAAATACATTGAAATTTAATAAAAGTGATATTAACGATACGTTAAAAATGGCAATTTATAAGCTAATGATACATAAAAAATTATACATTAAAGCATAATTTATTATACATTAATATCTTGCAATACATCGAATACTTCTAATCAATTAAAAATAGTGAGTTTTAGAATTTAAAATTTGTATTTGTATTTATGATTACTTTTACGTTACGTTTATGTTTATTTATTTGTATATTACATTTTGTTTGTTTTTATAATACTTTATTTATTTATAAGTTAAATGTAGAATATGTATATATTTTATTTATATACTTATATTTATTCGCTTATTTATATTTATGTTTTTTATTTCATTAAATCAGACAAAGTTACATTTATTTATTTTTATCAAAGATTTAAAAAATAAAATAAATGCAAATATTTCTAATGAAGTAAATGAGAATTTTATACTTAACATTTTATTTTTATGAATATTTTGCTTTACGTCTTTATTTGTTTGTATTTTAACGTTACGTTTTGTACATGTTTTATATAGTTTAACTGTTGAAACTTTTATTTTTATTTCATATGCATATACTTTTAAATAGTTGCATTTGCTTATATTTTATAAAAGAAATTTTAAAAAATGTATAGTGGACTCATGAATAGCTGCCATAATTTAATATTACATAATATTAGGTGTAATTAATATTAGGAGTTTGACTATATCTACTCGTAATTACAGTTATTAAACTTTAGCACTATATTAACATATTCTTTTCCGTCATGTTAAATAAATAAATAGCGATTCTGCACTGAATTATATTTGCGTTTATTTAACGAAAAATATTTAGAGTTAGTGGAAGCACTCATACAATTATAATAATTGAACAAGCATTAACTTAGTTACACCATTTCTGATGAACAAATAACATAATTCTGCACTTAATTATTTTTAGATATATTTTGATCACATATAATTATTTAACTTAAACGTTAACTTAGTAATGATATCTCAGATAAACAAACGTCTAATTTCTGCTCTACATTAATGCTGCGTAATTTTAAGCATAATATTAGAAAAGTGAGAAAACCCATAAATAATAGTTATTAAACTTAAATATTAACTAAACATCTAATGAACAAATAGCCGATTGCTATAAAAACTTAGACAATTTCGAACAAAACCCATGAAAGAGAAAAAAAATCGACTATATAGAATTCAGCTTAGCATGAAACTGTATTAGATCTGCTGAACTATATTATGGCATGTGTCAGACTTAATAATATAGACTATATTCACCGTGCTTTTGCTTAGACAGTGTAAACTTGCATGATTTACTCAACTAATGGCGTGGATTGCTGTGTACAACGCAAACTGTAGTTGCTGTTCATATAGCTGTATTTATAAACATGCCCCATCATCTCTAGAAGCTATAAGCAAAGATGGAGAAAAAAAAACTGGATACATAAAAAAAACCAAACGATATTTTACCCGTGTGAATATTTTTCTGAAAAATAAAGTGGCAACGCTAGAAGATGAAGTATTTTTGTCGCTGCAATTGTAGTTCCCTATGTGACTGAAGACAGAACAAGCTCTGCTGTGTTCCATATTTTACATTCAAGATGAAAGAAACTCTTCCACACATTTTAAACTAACGTTTTTCTTTTCTTTTTTTTTTAAGCGTTGTAGAAGATTCTTAATATGTGTTAGAAAAGGAAAGCTCAAGAATTAACTCTGATTCTTATGCATTATTATTTTTCTTTTGCCTTTTTAGTTCTAATTACAGATATTTATTTTCCATTTAATTACATAAACATTGTTCCATAAAGACTACCTTTAAAATGCTTTTTGAATCTTCATAAAAACTGATGTAAAAAGTATGCATATTCAGAGGATACAGTTGATATTTAAAGTAGGAAAGAAACGGCATGGATATGTAAAGAAACGCTATTGAGAAAGGCGGGCTGAAAACATCAAAACATGTTCGAGTGCTATAGAGGAGTAGAAAGGTGATCCTTAGGAACACCTCCAGATTTTATCAGGCAATGAAGCTGGTTTTGGTGGTTTTCAGCACGCTTTTTTACCAGCACACACATTTGGAAACTTTGAATCGTGTTGAGCCTGTAATATCATTCACATTTGCTACGGTTTTTAATATAGCGCAAAGATAAATTACAAAACTAGACTTTTTAATCTTAATTACATAATACTATGGTTTGAGTTAGACAGGAAAGAAGTTAAATTTTTTCCAGGTTGCAGCAAACGTAAACCATTTTTTGAGGTTTAACTTTAAACTGCTTTCTTTTTTAAATAAAGCGATCTCTAATATGTAACTTCATTGTTTTTAAATTTTTATAATAACATACAGGATGTTTAACAAAGAACACCTTTATTATATTTATTTTAGAATCCAAATAAAAATTCAAAATGAAGCCCATTGGATTTTGCAAATATATAAAAAAAATTTAAATTTTTATTATTAATATTTTCTTATGTAAAGCGACTTCTATTATGTAAACTTTTTTTACTTCATTTTTTCGCGATGATTATTATGATATACAGGATGTTTAATAAAGAAAGCCTTAAATATGTATTTTTAGAATCCTAATAAAAATTTAAAACAAAAAAGTGCAAACATTACATTTCGTAAATTTATATTTAGCACCTTAAAGAGCTCGGGTTTTTCGAGCGTGGTAAACAGAATTCGAGTGAAGTCTTCTTTTTATGTTGCAGTGGTATTTAAATTTGAGTATAATCAAGAATTAGAAACAGCAATATGAAAGTTAAGACTGAAAAACCCTTTTTTTTGTCACTTATCATTTAAAACATATTATTATAATAAAGTATAGTATTATTTCTATTGTAAATATATAAATAAATATTTTAACTGAAATAAGAAGTTTTTTTTTCGAAACAGTTAATTGAAAAGAGGGATAATAAGAGTCGATGCATGTGCAAGATTACAATGTTCTTATTTATAATGTGAATTCAAATCCAAATTTAATATAAACATGCTTTGCTTTTTTTGTTGTAAAAACTAGATGAACATGTATTTAAAAATGTGTTGTTGTTTTTTTTAAAAATGTTTGTCGGTCTTTTTCAAAACATATGGGCGGTAAGGGATAAAAGAATGAAGGAAAAAAAAGCGCAATCGAAATCACAGTATAGGAAGGTGAATGTAGCAAACAACGAGACGTAATTTTTTGCGAGAGGAATCGGGAAGAAATTCAAAACCAAATATTAAAACCATCTTTAAGCTGCAATCTTCAATAAAACCTGTTTTTATTATTATTACATCCGCCTTTCTGTACTTAAATTTGTTTCATTTCAATACAGTTTTTTCCTACCGATAATTTCAATTTATGACCCCCAGTATGCGTACTTTTTGTTCTAGGTTTCGATAAGGAATCTAAAACTACATATTAAGACATAACAATCTATATGTACATACAAGACATGTATAATATTAACATGCATAACATGTCTTAATGAAGCATATTATAAAATGTGATATTATATTATAATAAAGTGCTGATTGTTGTCGCAATACCGCAAATTGCATACCATATTTAACCAATTGTATTATACTACTTATATTTCATTATTTGTTGTACACTATTTTTATGGTACAATTCGTAATATGCTGATTTAATAATTTTTATTAGCAAGTTTAATTTTTCTCTTAAAAGTTTTGCAACAACTTATCGAAAACACATCTATTGTTTCTTTGCAAGGTGGTAAAACTACGGGAAAAAAATTATGTTATTTTATTCAGTTTAAGTTATTAAAAGCTACATCAAGTACTTCTTGATAAAGTTGTAAATAAAAAAAAATGCGTGCTATTAACCTTCACAGATGTTTATATTTTTATCTCAAAAAGAGATGTAAAATATATATAAAAAAAAATAACGGCAGCTATGTCAAATTAGAATATTAATGTAGTAAACCTTTTCTTAATAATTTTTGGATAAAAATTATGCTTAAAATAATGCAGGGTGCGGTAAAAAAAAGACCAGGACAAACAATTTTAATATAACTTAATTAAAATTAAGTAAATTAGAAAATATAACAATTAATAATGAAATGCAGAATATTACTAGTACATAAATTGAATTAGCTTCAAAGCTGAAGCTATGCTAGATCTCAAACGCCTATTGAAATTTTCAGCAATGGACCGCAAGACCTTTAATCTATCTCATTCCTCCTGACGGACCGATTACGTGCAGCGATTCTGTTCAACGATTGTGCACGGCGAATTACTTCAAATTGTCGTTATCCTTGCTTAAACATCTGAAAAGTAGATGTTTTACTGACATTGCAAAAAAACTGTACCTAAACTAAGTGATATATTGTAAAATATATAATAATTATAAGGATAGCCCAAAAGAAACGAACAAATGAATTAAAAAGAAAGAGGTTAACTTGTATGATGCATTAACTTTGTCTGGGTTTTTTCCCGCACCCTGTAAATATTTTTGCATTTACTCATTAAAATGCATAAAAGGCCAATGAATAGATGTCAAAAAAAACTGCCTTAACGTTCTATACTTTTTTTCTCTTCTCTTTTCAATTCACATTTTGCATAAATCAGGAGGTATAAAGAGCAATGAAATGTGGTGCTAAAACTAGTTAGCAAAAGTAAAGTAATTGTATATATTTTTCCCAAGCTAATTATTGCTTATTTGGGTACTATTCTTTTATATAGACCACTCTCTTTTCAAACAGTCGAAATTCCATCGCCAAGTTGGCTATCCTTGTATCCTTAAATTAATTATTATTTGCTGCTAATGTATCGCTACTTGGCGACGCTGATTAGTTCTTCAGACAG